ATTCACTGCAGCTTATCGGCCATGGGAAAACTCGCCACGGGACAATTCAACCATTTTATTTCGTGGCAAGCTGCCCAATTTTTGTCGTTCACGTTTCATTCTGTCCCTCCTATTGCATCCTTCCTTTCATTCTTCTTCTATTTCACCGTTTCTTTGATATTAACTTGTCCTGCGGTGATGGGGTGTGGCCAATTGGCCGCGAATGAATTGTCCTAGACCCTCTGTAGCGTGTTGTCAAGATAACGGCTTCCTGAAATTGCCCTGTCTTCTGATCCCTCCCTCCCTTTCTCGTTTCTTTAGAGCGACGTGCAGCTGATCAAAACCGGAGACAAAGTGGGCGCCAGCGAAGCCACTCTGCTGAACATGTTGAACATCTCGCCCTTCTCCTTCGGGCTCATCATCCAGCAAGTGTTTGATAACGGCAGCATTTACAACCCGGAAGTTCTGGATATCACTGAGGAAACTTTGCACAAGCGCTTTTTGGAAGTAAGCAAAGGCTCTCACGACTTCAATGACCCATCCCATCTGTGCCACGGCCCTTGTGAGGGATCAGAACAAAGCAGCTGAGGAGAGAGTAGGATGGCGGAGAGAAATTTAGGGAGAGTTTTATCTCTGTTGATTAAATTGATTAAGTAGAAAAATAGGGACCACCTTTGGTGGGAAGGGAACAGCGTTCCGTGTGCCTTTGGTGTTTAGTCATACCGGCCACATGACCATGGAGACATCTTTGGACAGCGCTGCCTCTTCGGCTTTGAAACGGAGATGAGCACCGTCCCCTAGAGTCGGGAACAACTGACACATATGTGCAAGGGGAACTTTTACCTTTATGTGTTACTAAGGTGAACCACTAGCAGCCTTTATTTTCAGTTGCTGCTTGAATGTGGAGGTTAGGGGGCCAGACCGAAAGCATCTGAACACTGTCCTGAGAATGGGATGTTTGCAACCTGTCTCTTTTGTCCCTTGTAGGGCGTCCGTAACGTAGCCAGCGTGTGCCTGCAGATCGGCTACCCTACTGTGGCCTCCCTGCCCCACTCCATCATCAATGGGTACAAGCGAGTCCTGGCTGTGGCCGTGGAGACAAACTACTCTTTCCCATTAGCTGAAAAGGTAAGGTTGTTTAAGGCAAGGCTCCCCAACTCCCGGTCCTTGGCCTGCCAGAAACCGGTCCACACAAACAAGCAAAGCCCCATCCGCGAGATGCAGGCGGAGCCACGCCCCCCTCTCCGGTCCACGGAAAACCTCCATGGAACCGGTCCCGGCGGCCCAAAAAAGGTTGGGAGCTGCTGGTTTAAGGGATCTTGACTTCGAACATTAGAAGGATTGGAGTCGTCTTGCTGGCAGGTTTGAGTTTTTTAGGATCTCAAATCACGAGGCTCTTGTCCCTGAACAAAATTTGTATACACCCCATGGAAAACCAAACCCACATAACTCCCAAGCGCAGTGAGAAACCTGAGGAATTAAGCCTGCCTCTGTATTTGGGTTATCCCTTGCAGAGAAATTTACTCTTACTTTTGGCAAATATGGTTCACTGTGCTCTTCAGGATAACCTTGCTGCACAAATGACACAAACTGTTGTACGTTTTGAGGACTTGCAAGTCTGTTGAGGCTAGCTTCCAGTCTACTGTTGGCTTTTTATTCCTGTCGTGGCCGGCCAGTGGAGCGGACAGCAGCGGACAGTGAGGAGGTTGGGGAGGAACCAGGAGCCAGTCCTGGAGTCTGGGGAAGGCTCTGATGAGGGCTCTGCGTTATGCGGACAGGGCCATATGCCAGTTATCAGCTGCCTTCAGAATCAGACATCAGTGAGGCAGACGAACAGCTGGAGCCTGTTCCCAGTTGCGCATGCGCAGAGTTGCCAGACGAAGGGAAGAGCTAAAGAACAAGGGTCGACTCAGGAGTAAAGCCACAGGTGGACGATGAATGGCCCCTCCCAGAGGGAATAAAAGAGGAGCGAAAGGGGAGTGGAGTTTGCAGGAGACAATTAGTTCGCTTAATTGGTTTGTGACTCCGAGACTCCTTGCCAAGTTTTGAAGATATCGGCCTGGCAGCTCTCCAAGCCCGATAAGGTCCGTGACTGTCAATTCTCCCTTGAAAGACTTTGCTGGATGTGAATGAGAGGAATTCACAGTCACTTAATATAAAGTTAATAAAAAGGGGGTTTTGTCGGGATAAGGAGTCTGTTTCATGCTCTTGGGGAAGCCTCGGTCAGAACAATTCCTTTGGGCTCAGTTCCATGTCCCCATAAGACCTTTCAACGTTCTGTGGAAAGTCTGGAAAAGCAGAAAACGGCCAGCTTTGGAAGGATATTTTGACACTTGAAACATGACTGATTTTTTTTCCCTCCCCCTTGCAGGTGAAGGCCTTCTTGGCTGATCCATCAGCTTTTGCCGCTGCTGCCCCGGCAGTGACCGAAGCAGCCGCTCCCGCTGCAGCAGCTCCGGCCAAAGAAGAGGTCAAGGAAGAATCTGAAGAATCTGATGAGGACATGGGCTTTGGGCTTTTTGACTAACCCACCTGTCCTAGGCCGGGTAGAGTGAAATTCAAAAGAGAGAAATAAAAAGTATACTTCTTTACCACATCCTATGGAAGTGGCCGGTTGAGTTTGTCCGAATTATTTTGCCTGAGTTAGCAGGGAAACGCGGTACTATTGGTGTCATTCTGGAGTAGAGTACTCCTCCTGCTTCATTATATAGGCAAAATTGTTAGTCTTAATTCCAGGTTTTGAAATGGTTCAACTTTTTAAATTATGGCAACCAGAAACCTTTTAAAAAAAGTTTTTAGAATCACTTCAATTTAGATCTCCGTTTCTGGAGCAATAGGAATAATCCTTTGCAACATTTGCATGATGTATTGTTAGTTGCGAAATCATGTCCAACCCATCGCAACCCCATGTACGACGTTCCTCCAGGCCTTCCTGTCCTCTACCGTCCTCTGGAGTCCATTGAAAGCTCACACCGTCTGCTTCAGGGACTCCATCCAGCCACCTCGTTCTCTGCCATCCCCTTCTTCTTTTGCCCTCCATCGTTCCCAGCATTCGGCTCTTCTCCAGGGAGTCCTTCCTTCTCATTAGGTGGCCAAAGCATTTGAGTTTCCTCTTCAGGATCTGGCCTTCTAAAGAGCAGTCAAGGTTGATCTCTAGGACTGACCGATTGGATCGCCTTGCAATCCAAGGGACTCGCAGGAGTCTTCTCCAGCACCAGAGTTCAAAGGCCTCCATTCTTTGGCCTCCTCGGCCTTCCTTGTGGTCCAACTTTCACAGCCATCCATTGCAACTGGGAAAACCATCGCCTTGACTATCTCTGTTTAGTGTATTTAGCTAACATTTGATAAAATATTAGGACCAACTGCTGAAGGGTACAAAGGGTTGAAAACATACGAACGGGACAAATCCTTTGTGGTGTCCAGAGTGGATTTTGGAACTCTGAAGATGAAACTACTGAAAGAAAGGCAATAATTGTCAAGTCTGATCTGAAGACAGATAGGTGGGAAGTGGTGCCCTTGAAGAATAGCCAACAACATGTCTATGGAGATTGTCTTGTCATCCAGGTCACAGTTTGTGGTTTTTTTAAGGAGGCAACTGGATTTTCTTGTTTTTTCTTCTGAAGATATTTCGCTTCTCATTCAAGTAGCTTCAGCTCTGGACTGGATGGTGGAGGATGGAAGGATTTATATATTTATATTCCAGCGGGTCATTTGCATCCTTTTAGAGGGTCGTTAAAAAGATGCGGTGGCTCAGTGGCTAAGATGCTGAGCTTGTCGATCGAAAGGTCGGCAGTTCAGCGGTTCGAATCCCTAGTGCCGCGTAACGGGCTGAGCTCCCGTGACTTGTCCCAGCTTCTGCCAACCTAGCAGTTTGAAAGCACATAAAAAAATGCAAGTAGAAAAATAGGGACCACCTTTGGTGGGAAGGGAAGAGCGTTCCGTGCGCCTTTGGCGTTGAGTCCTGCCGGCCACAAGACCACGGAGACGTCTTTGGACAGCGCTGGCTCTTCGGCTTTGAAACGGAGATGAGTAGCGCCCCCTAGAGTCGGGAACAACTAGCACATGTGCGAGGAGAACCTTTACCTTTAGAGGGTCTTTGAGGCCACTTGGAGGTTTATCTGTGTCCTCAGGCTCACCTGAACGGTGCTCCTGGTTCCTGTAGTTTACAATTTTTTCCTCCGGAAATCCATTCCTACCATTCCCATCATTCCAAGGGTGTTCATCCCAAATTGTACAGCTAAACGAATGGTGTGCATGGACTTTTAATGTTTTTAAAATGTTTTTATAATGGTTTTTAAAATAATTTTCCTATGTTCTTTGTTGTATTATTTTTTGCTGTAAGCCGCCCAGAGTCCCGCCTTGGGAGTTGGGCGGCATAGAAATTTGATAAATTAAATTAAATTAAATTAAAAGTCTGTAGGGATTCTCAGTCCTCCAGGTCACGGTTATCCCAAAGGTATAAAAGTGAGGCCACTGGACTTTCTGGTTTTTTTTCTTTTGAAGAGGTTTCACTTATCCTCCAAGAAGCTTCTTCAGATCCCTTACACTCTAGTCAGAGTTGAGGAAGCTCCTTAGGGGAGAAGCGAAACCTCTTCAAAGGAAAAAAAAACCCAGAAAGTCCTGGAAAAAAAGCCCTTCTGGGATCTCCCAACAACATGTAATTTTAAAAATACTGTATTTTGAAACTGGTAAGAATTCATGGGAGGTCTGGAAATTTATGCCATGATTCGAATAAGGGAAAAACCCATTGAGGGCTGATGAATAAGGGAAAGGATAGAAATAAAAATAAGGGAAAGGGAAGGGATAAAATAAATAAAGGGATGAAATAAAATAGATTGAAGGAAAATCTGGCCGTTTCCCTTTTTTTTTTGGCGAGTCAAAAACACCCAATTCCCATCACAAGCTCATTGCTCCCAAAGTGGGGGGGGAAGGAGGAGGAAGCTCAATGCGCAGGCGCGCTCAGGCCTCCGCCTGTCTTCAAGTATCGAAGGTTTCTCTTCTTCCCGCCACTCGAGTGCGCGTTTCGTGACGCTATCAACCCGCGCCGGAAGTGAAGCGGAACAATTTCCGGGCGGAGCCGGCGCGATGGCGGCTGACACGCAGGTGGGTTCTACCGAAGGCCGAAAGAAAAAAAAAGAAGCCGGGCAAAGCAACCCGCCCGCCGCCCGGCTCGGCTCTGTTCCTCGGGCGAGAAGCCGCGTTTCCTTCCGTCGGCTCCTCGCTTGGGTCGGTTCTAAGGAGGCTCCGTGCGGGTTGCAGAGGGCCGCAGGGAGCCTCTCTTTCTCTCTCTATGGATCCCAGCACTATCAGGAGCCCGTGGTGGCCCCATGGTTCCCAGCACGGGCGTCGGGGTAGACATCAGGAGGGGGATGATGGGTTTTGTAGTCAACAAGCCCCGGGCAACGGCGGGGGGGGGGGCCTTGCAAGTCGACCGGGGGGGGGGGGGGGAGAAGCAGGACAGGTAGTCCTCGCTTTACGACCGCAGTCTGTCTGTCTGTCTGTCTCTCTCTCTCTCTCACACACACACACACACACACACACACACAAATTCACATCATTAAGCGAGAAATCTGTTCAGGGAGTGTTTTTTCCCCTGTCCCCATTTTACGACTTAATCTAGCCGCTTTTGTTAAGCGAGTCCCCGCCATCGTTAAGTCATTACTACTAACGACTTAACGATGGCATATAGTATCCTATAAGTAGTAGAGTATAGCCCAGTGGTTCCCAACCCTTTTTTTTTTTTTTTTGGCCATGCCCCACCTAAGTATCTCTAAAATCCTGATGCCCTGCCCCCCCCCCCCAAACGTGACATATAATTCTTATTCAAAAAGTGAACTGCAACTCACTTGGAGGAAGTCTTAAAGGCCATTAACTTGGTTTAAACAAGGTTCCAATTGCCCCAGTTAAAAATCAAATTGCCCCTCTTTTGGGGCCCGGGAACCACTGGTATAGCCTTTATTTGTACTTTGTATATCATATAGACAACGAAATTGGTTTTAGCCTCACTGGTGGCAATCCGTGACAAAAAATACAAACAACATAAATACCCTGTTTCCCCCTCAAAATAAGACATCCCCTGATAATAAGCCCAATTGGGCTTTTGAGCACATGGCAATAAGGCCAAACGCTTATTTCAGGGTTCGGAAAAATATAAGACACTCTGGAGCCTTCTTGGAACTGCTGAAAGGAGCTGTGTTGTGGAGCTGTGCTTTCTGCCCTGTGTCTGTTCACCTGTTGAACACAGGGATCTTTGATGATCTTTACTGGATTATTCTTGATCCTTTTGATTATCTTTTGCATCTCCAAAAGGGACCTCACAGGAACGATCTTCTCTTCCCCTACCCCAAATCTCTTAACATTTGTTTAGGTTTCGGAAACGCTGAAAAGATTTGCAGTGAAAGTGACCACCTCCAGCGTGAAGGAGCGCAGAGAAATCCTCAGCGAACTTGGAAGATGCATTACTGGGAAAGGTACTTATACGATGTCAGAATATGGGTCGTCCCACCACAGGTGCCCCTGACACGATTGTTCAGCTGGCCATGCCCCCCCCCCGTGCCCCCACCCCGAGGTCAAACACAACCCTGATGCGGCCCTCAATGAAATCGAGTTTGACACCCCTGACGTAGGGCGTTAAAACATTGTTTTTGATTTTAAGCATTGCTTTTCATTTAAGTACTGTGTTGAATTTGGTTTGGTCTTTCGTAGATCTGCCAGAAGGCGCAGTGAAGGGACTGTGTAAACTTTTCTGCCTCACTCTGCATCGATACAGGTAATTGTGTCAAACTGGATAGTCGGGAGACTTTGCCCTCCGGTTCAGATAATGTTTATTTGTTCTGGCGCGGTGTATGGAAGCAGATTTAGAGGCTTAATGATAAGACTTCTCTCTCATTTAAAATTGTCTGCTTTTTTTTTTTTAGCACTGTTCCGATTGGCCATAAATTTTTTGTGTGAGATATTATTTGTGTTTTATTGTATAGTATTGTAATGTAATAGGGACGCAGTGGTTCAGTGGCTAAGACGCTGAGCTGTTGATCAAAAGGTCGGCAGTTCAGTGGTTTGAATCCCTACCCTGTTTTCCCCAAAATAAGACATGCTCTGATAATAAGGCCAATCGGCTTTTGAGCGCACGACAATAAGGCCAAGCGCTTATTTCAAGGATCAAAAAAATATAAGACAGGGTCTTATTTTGGGGGAAACACGGTAGTACCACGTAATGGGGTGAGCTCCTGTTACTTGTCCCAGCTTCTGCCAACCTAGCAGTTCGAAAGCAGGTAAAAAATGCAAGTAGAAAAATAGGAACCACCTTTGGTGGGAACGGAACAGCGTTCCGTGCGTCTTTGGCGTTGAGTCATGCCGGCCACATGACCACGGAGATGTCTTTGGTCAGCGCTGGCTCTTCGGCTTTGAAACGGAGATGAGCACTGCCCCCTAGGGTCGGGAACGACTAGCACATATGTGTGAAGGGAACCTTTACCTTTTTATTGTAATGTAGGGTGCTTAGCCAATATGTATACAATTTTATTTATGAACCTTGTGCTTTGATATGGCCTATAGGCTAATCAATAAAGCTATAATAATATTAAAAACTTGATTTTTTCCAAACCATTCTTTTAAAAAAATTATATGGTCTCACCAGACTACCAGAATACACAGTAAATGAGATGGTTTTGAAAAAGCATTTCTTTTATCTTTAACATGTCTGCTGCAAAATTGTTTATAAGGACCGAAGACAAAGCAAAGCAGATTCCTGTAAATAAAGAAATATGTTTTCAGTTCACAGATGAAACTTTTAACTAGTGATCATGTACAATAGCATTGCACAACTTGTTCCTTCTGGATGCAGAATTCCTGCCCAGCATTCATTTTGTGGATTAATTATGAAAGAGTGCTTTTATTCAGAAATTTGCAAGTCTGGCTCATATTTTGACTTTTCCATCTAAAAGAGATGGAAATACAAAACACGGTTCTGTTTACTGCTTTTTAAAATGTACGTTGTAATCTCTTCTGTGTTACAAAAGGGAACTCAGACATATTGTATAGTTATAAATATAATTGTAAAAATATTACAACAGAATAACAGAGCTGGAAAGGACTTTGGAGGTCTTTTAGTCCAACCCTCTGCTCAAGCAGGAGACCCTGTACCATTGCAGACAGGTGGCTGCCCAATCTCTTAAAAGCGCCCACAATTTCTGGAGGCAAGCAGTTCCACTGGTTAATTGTTCTCACTGTCAGGAAATTCCTCCTTAGTTCTAGGTTGCTTCTCTCCTTGATTAATTTCCATCCATTGTTCCTTGTCCTGCGTTTAGGTGCTTTGGAGAAGGGGTTGATCCCCTCTTCTTTGTGGCAGCCCCTCAAATATCGGAAGACTGCTATCATGTCACCCCAATCCTCCTTTTCACCAGATTAGATATACCCAATTCCTGCAGCCATTCTTCATATGTTTTAGCCTCCAAGCCCCTAATCCTCTTGTTAAAGAATAAACCTTTGCTATAGAAATAAACAGGCAGGTTATTAGGAAAGCTTGATTGAGGGCAGGATATTTCAGAACCAAAATTTTTCAGCTCACAATCTCCCCCCTTCCTGTCTCTCAATTGCCGCATTTTTGCTAGAGATGCCGCATCACACAGAGCCCTTCAAACAGCTCTTCGGCAGCTTGCCGAATGCCAGCCAGAAGTGACCGCGAAGAATCTTTTGTGCTCCCTGCAATCTTCAGGAATCAGCAGCAAGTCTGGGGGATCCAGGTGAGAGATGCGCGCTGGGCAAAGATCTCTTTGGGAACAGAACTGAAGAAGCTTCTTGGGTGAGAAGCGAAATTTTTAAAAAAAAAAACCCAGGAAAGTCCAGTTGCCTTTTGGAAAAAAAGTACTTTTGGGATTAGTTCCCAATTACTGACCTTTATCAGGCTTGGAGAGTGGCCAGGCCAATATCTTTCAGACTCCACGCTGTAACTGACAATACTTGGCAAGAATGCAGGAACAGATCTTCACCCAAATGAACTAATTGTCTCCTGCAAACTCCCCTCCCCTTCGTGCCTCTTTATTCCCTCTGGGAGGGGCCATTCACCGACCACCTGTGGCTTTACTCCTGAGTCGACCCTTGTTCTTTAGCTGTTCCCTTCGTCTGGCAACTCTGTGCATGCGCACACTGGGAACAGGCTCCAGCTGTTCATCTGCCTCACTGATGTCTGATTCCGAAGGCAGCTGATAACTGTCAGACGGCCTTGGCCCCATCTCTGCCTCCGACGCAGAGCACTTCCCCAGACTCCAGGACTGGCCCACGTTCCTCCCCAACCTCACTCTCCGAATCGGCTGCCAGATCCGCTGGCTGCTGGCGGGGGATTACAGGGTCATTAAAAGAAGATGATAATGAGATGATCAGATGCCTTGGGCTTTATTTGTCCCTGGCCATTATACAAGCAGTTGAGGAAGTTGTAATCAAATTGTAGCAGGGGGCAATGAAATGAATTCACGTGAATCGATGGTACACTAGAAGTGTGCGTCTTGGTACAGCTGCAATCCTTCGGCTTACTCTGTAACGTTTGACTAACTTTCCCGTCTGCACCCAGCGATGGGAATCACATGATGCTGCCAAAACCCTGAAATATATAATTCCCTTGTTTTTTTCCTTTCTTGTCACAGCAAGAGCAGTGCTTCTGCTGCTTCGCTGGCTCTCTCATGGACCTGCCTGCTCGTTCGCATTGTCTTCCCGACGCAAGACAAGAGGCATGGAGAGACATGGGAGAAACTGGTATGAAGTGTCAGCGTTTCAAATTAGGCTCTTTTCCAGCGCTGACATGATTGAAATGAATGAAAGAGAAGAAGCGTTGATTTATTGCTGAGATGAACTTTTACCTAGTTTTCTGCATACAGCAGATAGTGTTACCTGGGTGACGGAGGGAGGGGGCAAATTCCTGTGAAAGAACGTGCTTGGGATGAAGAGATGGATCTGCATGATGGCCAATGGGACATTGGGGTTGGAGAGCGGAAGGGGAGGGTGTTGGAAGGAGGGGCCAGTTTGGCTGCAACAGAGTTCAGAAATGTCGTTCTCTATTCTTAAATAAAGAAAAAAGATTCATTAGAGACTTTGCGTTTGAAAATGAAGTTTATTTAAGATAGCAATGAAACCTGACAGACAGCCAAACTGGCCCCTCCTTCCAACACCCTCCCCTTCCACTCTCCAACCCCAATGTCCCATTGGCCATCATGCAGATCCATGCCTTGATTCTCCTGTGAGACCTTAATCTTGGTTGGATTACAGGTAGTCCTTTGTGGTCCTTTAGGAACTGGACCCCAAATTTCCGTTGTTTAAGCAAGACAGTTGTTAGGTTGAGTTTTGCCCCGTTTTACGATCTTTCTCGCCCCGATTGTTAAGCAAATCACTGCAGTTGTTGAGGACTAATGGATGACTTGGTACTTGCAGGCATCATGCTGTAGGCCTTGTAGGTAAAACATTCTACATTTGATTATTTGATAGTATAGACCAGTAATGGCTAACCTTTTTGCTGTTGCATGCCAAAAGGGGGGCACGCGGAGGCCAAAACCTTTTTTTGTTGTTTTCCTCTTCTAAATTTACATGCGTCTTATAGTCAGGTGTGTCTTATCGTCTGAAAAATACGATAGTATTCAAAAACAATGGAAGTTGTAGATGATGAGTTTCCTAGACCAAAATATCTGGAGGGATGACAAGATACCAAACTACTAAGTAGTCCAAAATACCGGGAGGGCATCATCCTGGGGAAGACTGAGGCAGACTTCCTGGTCCCCTCAGCCCTTGCTTGCTTCAAAATAATGACCCCATGAAATATGGCTGCTGACCAGCAGTTTCCACAAACTAGAAACAGATCAAGGATTGTCCGTGATATTAAATGATCCCTTTGCTTGTCTTTATTAACAGGTTGAAGTTCAGTGTTTCCTTCTGTTGGAGATCCTGGGCGGCTCCCGCAAACCTGTGGTGAATGGCGCCGTGAAGAAATTGAACAGACTCTGGAAAGAGGTGAAGTTACATTTTCGGCAAACGCCATCCGAGTTTCAATTAGGCCCATCCATCTCATATCTTCCGGATGTGTTGAGATTGTATATCTTGACCGGGCTTGGAAGAAATCATGATCCAATACATTGAGGCAGTGTCCCTTGGATTGCAAGGCGATCCAACCGGTCAGTCCTAGAGGAGATCAACCCTGACTGCTCTTGAGAAGGCCAGATCCTGAAGAGGAAACTCAAATGCTTTGGCCTCCTAATGAGAAGGAAGGACTCCCCAGAGAAGAGCTTAATGCTGGGAACGATTGAGGGCAAAAGAAAAAGGGAACGTCAGAGAACGAGGTGGCTGGATGGAGACACTGAAGCAGTCGGCCTGAGCTTCAATGGACTCCAGAGGATGGTAGAGGACAGGAAGGTCTGGAGGAACATCGTCCATGGGGTCGCAATGGGTCGGACACAACTAAAATACAAAAAAATATCTGCATTGGGGGTATAGGGATTGCAGGTCAAAGCAGGCTCTTCTGTTTGGCTTCTCATAAGCAGTTATTTTTTTTCTTCTTCTTTTGACCTCAGAATCCTGGGCTGGTGGATCAGTATCTCTCCATCATTCTTCATTTGGAAGCCAATCAGGGATATGCGATCATGCTGGGCCTACTTGTGCAGTTCTGTACTAGCCAGAAAGATCTCAGCACCATCAACAAACACAAGGCAAGTTTTTTTTTTTTTTTTTTTTTAAAGGCCATTTGGGGTTGGAGGAAGATAACGGCTGCTCAGGAAATGGCGAGCAGTGCGGTAGGGCGAGAGACAAGTAGACCTCGACTTAACGACCGCAACCGAGCCCAAAATTTCCATTGCTAAACGAGACGGTAGTTGTGAGCTTTGCCTCATTTTACAACTTTTCTTGCCACGACTGTTAAGTGAACCACTGCATTGAACAGAATAGGAATAGGAACAGAACAATAGAATTGGAAGGGACTTTGGAGGTCTTCTAGTCCAGCCCCCTGCTCAGGCAGGAAACCCTACACCACTTCAGACAGACGGTTGTCCAATCCCTTCTTAAAAACCTGAAGCATTCCCAACTTCTGAAGGCGATCTCTTCCACTGATTAATTGTTCTAACTGTTGGGAAATTTCTCCTTAATTCTGTATTGGTTCTCTACTCGATTAGTTTCCATTCATTGTTTATTTTTTTGGCTTCTGGTGCTTTGGAGAGTAGGTGGACCCCCAACTCTTCTTTGTGGCAGCCCCTCAAATATTGGAAGACTGCTATCGCGTCCCCCCTAGTCCTTCTTTTCACTAGACTAGACATACGCAATTCCTGCAGCTGTTCTGTATATGTTGTTAAGTTAAGGTTAACTCCATATTAACTGGAGTGGAACGGGATCTTAAGCCAGAGTGGAACCGAGTACCAATGTGACACCCCCCCCACACACACACACGAAGTTATAAACAAAGCAGGGGTGAAATGCTATCGGTTCAGGCCTGTTCGCCCAAACTGGTAGTAAAAAATGCTACCAGTTCAGGCGAATAGGTAGTAAAAAAAAAATGCTTTAAAAAAGTTTTTTTTAAAAAAAAGGTTCCCACGATCGCTTGGCACAGCTGATTGGCGGAAATGTTTTTAACTTTTTTTAGTTAAAAAATGCTAAAAAAAAAAAAAGTTGGTCATATTCACCCAGTCACATGACTCCCCTACCAAGCCATGCCCACCAAGCCACGCCCCCAGAACCGGTAGGGGAAATTTTTGAATTTCACCGCTGAAACAGAGGCTGTATAACGTTTGTGATTTTCATAGCGAACCCACATTCCCTGACCTACTAGGAAGTGATGTGTGTTGTTACATGTCAGGATCATGACTATTTTCGTTATTCAGGCTGCCCTGCTTGCTTTCTACGTGAAGACCCTCCTGATGAGCAAGACCAAGCCTCATAAACACGTCTTGGTGAGAGAAATTCCTCAAAAGTCCCCTCAAACCATGAAGTCAGGTGCTAATTTGGCCCCAGTAAACTCTGCATAGTCTCGCGGTGCCATAAACCAATTTTAGCAAAAGCTTTTGTAGACCGGAGTCTGCTTTGCCTGTGGCATCTGAGGTGCAGGCCGTCCTCCACTTACGACGACAGTTGAACCCAGAATTCGTGTCGCTAAGTGAGAAATTTGCTCAGTGAGCTTTGCTCCCATTTTACAGCTTTTCTGGCCGCGTTTGTTAAGTGAATCACTGCAGCTGTCAAGGTAGTCACACGGTTGTTAAGTGAACCTGGCTATCCCATTGACTTTACTTGTCAGGTGGTCAGAAATTGCGTGCACCTTGGGGCACTGCAACCGTCGTAAATAGGGACCAGTTGTCAAGCATCCGAATGTAAATCACGTGACCATGGGGATGCTGCCGCGGTCCTAAGTGTGAAAAATGGTCATCAAGTCACTTTTTTCAGTTCCGTTGCAACTCCGAACGGTCACTAACGTGAACCTCCCAAAGGTTGCCCAGATTGCTGGAGGCAATAGGCTGACTCTGTAAACCTCAAGCACTGTGAAGCGGTATATATAAGTCTTAACTGCTATTGCTGTTAAAACGGTGCTGGTTCCTTGCAGGACAATTGCGCGCCTCTGCTCCGGTATGTGTCTCATTCCGAATTCAAGGACCTCATGTTGCCAGCTTTGCAGAAATCTCTCTTGAGGAGCCCGGAGAACGCCATTGAAAGTGAGTGACTGAGGGAAACAGATGGAGCACCTTGTGAAGCATAGCTGGTATGAGTAGATCAGAATCAGAGGTGGGATTCATATACTGCAGCAACCGGTTCGCTCAGCACCGGAAATGTGAGCGCGCGTGCGTGTACGCTTGCTTTGCTCTCGTGCGCCATCCGTGCTTGCATGCAGTGTCAAAAATAGCGATATAGGACAGGATTGCGCCCACTACCGCTTCACTCAAACCAGTCCGAATCGGCTGAATACCACCTCTGATCCGAATCCTGCTGATAGGAGATCCCAGCTGTCAGGTTTCGATGCTATCTCAAAATAAATGAATTTCCAAACTGCCGATCTTTAAGGAAATTTTCTCTTTATTTGAGCACAGCGATCTGACCCTGGCTCTTTCGCGGTCAGTACTGACCTTTGCCCCCCAATCTCTCCCTTTCCGATCCCCAATTCTCTGCTTCTCATTGGCTATCTTCCAAGTCACATTCCTGATCTCTTCTTCATCAGATCACAGGAATGTCTCCCCGCCTCTCCCATCTCCGAGGAGACAGAATCTTCAAAGGGATTTAGTAGGCAAAAGTTCAAGCTTCTTCTCTCTTTATATGTCAGTGCTGGGACGCTGACACCAGCAGGAGAAGAAAATTGGTATTTATTTAGGACTGGCATTGTAGCTTCCAGGAAGGGGAAAATCTGTAACCTTCTGCATTGGACCTTTTGTTCTAGACCAGGGTTAGCAACCTTAAACACTCAAAAGAGCCACAAAGGTCCTAACTAGAAGCCCCCTGTTCATTTCTGGAGCCGACCGGAAGTCCAATTCCCCCACCATGGAGTCTCCTCCTAGCACAGTGTCCTTTTCCCTCTGCCGACCGGAACTCCGGTCTCCCCACCATAGAGTCTCCTCCTAGCGCGGCGTCCTTTTTCCTCTACCTGTCCTAACCGAAAGCCCTATCAATTGTGGAGCCGACCGGTGACAAGGAGCCTCAGCAGAGGGATGAAAGAGCCACATGCGACTCCAGAGCCGTGGGTTGCTGACCCCTGTTCTAGACCGCTTTTGCTGCAACAACCAATCCTTAGTAAAAGTACCTATCACTTCAACCAAAGGGAGTCGAGGGTTTTTCTTTCTTAGGGACCTAATTGGGACAAGCCTGACAGTCCATTACTTACCGGCAGCTCCAGAAGGTCCCTATTTTATTTTTCTATCGGTACCTCCTGTTCTGCCCCCGTCTCACACACGCACACAAACAGTCAGCCAGGAGTTAAAATAAACTTGCAGACAATAATTTCCTTTGATAACAGAATTGGCAGCAACCCAGTAGCTTTTTGCCAAAAACTTTACTCACAGAGGGAGGTGTTTCTCCTCCGTCAGATAAACCAAAATAAATTCACAAAGCCAAAGAATTGTCAAGTCCAGTCCATAATAAATCCAAGGAAGGCATGTAACGAAGTTTCAGGAACACAGTATGACTTGCTAGCTGTTCAGTTTTGTCCATCACAAAGCCTGAATGGCCACCACACCCCCTTTTATCCCCTGTGGGGTGTGGTCCAGTGACTCAGCTTAATCTCTGGCATGCCTCCTTCTCTGCTGCGTGCGCTTGTCTTTCTGACGCTGGCGGGGATCCAGCCAAGACTTATCTCCGTCGCTGTCTAACTGCGGCTGCTCGGAGATGCCTGGCTCCTGGCCTATCTCTTCTCCTTTGGGAGACACCTGAGGCATTGCCAGAGAGGAGGGTCCTGGAGAGGGAGGCCTTGCCAACTCCTCTCCTTCACTTTCGGAGTCTTCTCCCTCTGATAAGATGGGCTTGGGGGTCGGAGTCATAACACCTCCGCAGCTGTGAAGGCAAAATTGGCTGCAGTGGTTGGTTTTAGTGTGGCTGTTGGTGAGTCAGAAAGCTTTTGGACTGAACATTCTTTTCCTTTTCTTTAGCAATTTCTTGTTTACTGGCATCGGTCACCCTCGATCTCAGCCAGTACGCTCTGGACATCCTGAAAGGACTAGCGAGTAAGTGCTTTTGTTTACGTATATGTTCCTTTTAGGTAAGATTCTCTCTAGGGCGTCTACCTTCTTCACCTCAACCTCTCATTATTGTGGGCTTTGCTGCTGTGTTATAATTCCAATAGGAGAGAACACGGTTAACCTATCCATTTCAGCGCATTCTAAAATTTTCCCTATTACTTCTGTTTCACTTGGTATTTTTTCTTGTTTCCAATTTCTTGCGTAGGTTATTCTTGCAGCAGTTAATATGTGAATTGTAAGATATTTGATATCCTTAGGGTATGATTTGTTAAAGATTCCTAATAAAAATGTTTCTGGTTCTTTTTCAATCTGTGTTTTTGTTATTTGTTCCAACCATTTTTTGATGTTAGACCAAAATTTCTTTGGTTAACCAAAGAATTACAAGAAAGAGAAGAATCAGACTATTATAAAATATGGAATAATTGGTATAATTGGTTAAAAATCAGAAATATACAAAAAATATAGGGGATATATTACCGATTGATACATATATATATAATAAAAAATATTATTAGATTAAAGAGAGGTGAAGGAATATATCATAAGTAGAATTGTAGAACGTCACTCTGAAAAAATGCTTAAGAAGAAATTACACTCTTTTTGTGTATATGTTGTATAAATGTTTGTTGTGTATAAGTTACGTATGTCTTTTTTAATATTTATATTCAATAAAAACTACTTTTAACCAAGGAGAGAACACGGGTAGTCCTCGACTTCACCACCACAACTGAGCTCCAAATTTCCATCGCTGAGCGAGGCAGCTGTTAAGTGCCTCACTTTACGACCTTTCTTGCCACCGTTGTTAAACAAATTACTGTTATTAAATTACTAATGCTGAATTTGTTCAGTGGATCGGCTTCCCTGTTGACTTGGCTTGTCGGAAGCTCGCGGAAGGGGATCCCGTGATCATGTGACCGTGGAAATGTTGCAACGGTCGTGAAGGTGAAAAATGATCGTGTAAATCGCTTTTTCCAGTGCTGTTGTAACAGTCTGAACAGTCAGTAAATGAACTGTTGTATGTTGAGGATTACCTGTATTCCCCCTTTTTTAATTTCTTGCTTCCTACCTTGAAACGCTGGTCATCTTCGTGGCTTCAAGTAGATTGAAAACTTAACCTTTCCATTGGTCATGTAACAAATAAAAGAGCCTTGGTAGTACAGGGGTCTAAGGCACCCTGTTATTAAGCTGGTTATTAAGACCAGCTGCCTGCAATTACTGCAGGGTTCGAATCTCGCCAAGGCTCAAGGTTGACTCAGCCTTCCATCCTTTCTAAGGTAGGTAAAATGAGGACCCAGTTGTGGGGGCAATAAGCTGACTTTGTATAAATATACAAAAGGATGAAGGCTATTGCTGAGCACATTGTAAGCCGCCCTGAGTCTTCGGAGAAGGGCGGCATATAAATCAAATTAAAAAAAAATAAAAATGGTGACCACCTTTAAAGCTCTCCATGGCTTAGGGCCGGGGTACCTACGAGACCGCCTTCTGCCACCAATAGTCTCCCACCGGCCAGTACGCTCACATAGAGTGGGCCTCCTCAGGGTGCCGTCCGCCAGACAATGTCGGCTGGCGACCCCCAGGGGGAGAGCCTTCTCTGTGGCGGCGCCCACCCTCTGGAACAACCTCCCCCCAGAGATACGTACAATAACAGACCTCTGGATTTTTCGTCAGGCCCTGAAAACCCATTTATTTCAACTAGCTGGGCTGGCTTGAGTTAAATTTTAAATTGATTTTAAATCGGGTTGTTTTAATTTACGGCCAAAATATCTAATTATTTAAACTGTTTTTAAATTTTGTATGTCCTGTTTTTTACTCTGGCTGTTCACCGCCCTGAGTCCTATTTTTTTTTAATTTGATTTATATGCTGCCCTTCTCCAGAGACTCAGGGCGGCTTACAATGTGTTAAGCAATAGCCTTCATCCTTTTGTATATTTATACGAAGTCAGCTTATTGCCCCCACAATCTGGGTCCTCATTTAACCTACCTTAGAAAGGATGGAAGGCTGAGTCAACCTTGAGCCTTGGAGAGATTCGAACCAGCAGTAATTGCAGGCAGCTGTGTTAATAACAGGGTGCTTAGACCACTGTACTATCAAGGCTCTTTTGGAGAAGGGCGGTATAGAAATTGAAACAAATAAATAAATAAAATAAATAAATGCTTGTAAATGGAGGATTGCCAGTATAGGACTCGGGTATACGATGATTCCAGGGGACAGCAACTACATCTGAGGAATGATCCCCTGGGAAGTTTCACCTGCCCTTATAACAGGCAGGATGGAGTGATTTTATAGACCATCTCTGGCCTATGGGCTGCACAGTTCTTTTCCATTCGGCATCCTCCTCCTGTTGCACCTCTTCCCCAAAAGAAATCCCTACATTTTTAACGGCTTCCGTGTTTGATTTTTAGGCCAGTTGAAATCCAACAGTTCTCACCTGATGGACAAGGCTGTAGTTGCCCTAAAGAATTTGGCTCTGCAGTGCAGCGACCCGTCCACCGTGGAGGCATTCGGGAAACACCTCTTCGCCATTTTGGGAGGTCAGTAATTCTTTCTTTGGGGGGAAAGGGCTTTGCCAGGCTCCAGAAACAAGCAAAGGCCCATTGTGATTTTCCCAAGCAGATTTCCTTATTGTTCCTCCCCTATAGACAGCCCTGCAGTCTGAGGAATTCTGGGAGTTGAAGTCCATAAATCTTAAAAGTTGGGACAAAGTTGGGACATTTCAGCAAGCTGGCCTGGCCTAACTCCCCTCTTTTAAATTATTTTTTAAATTTTTTAATTCGTGATTTTATAAATTGGGTGTTTTAATTTGTGTTTCGGCCAAAATATTTAATAATTTTAAGGGATTTTTAATATTTGTATTATCTGTATTTTATCTTGGCTGTTCACCGCCCTGAGTCCTTCGGGAGTAGGGCGGTATAGAAATTTGATTAAATAAATAAATAAATAAATAAATACATACATACATACATACATACATACATACATACATACATACATAAATAAATACTCCTGGCTTACATACTTCTCTCTTTCTACGTGCTTGCTTGCACTTGACCTCCCTTCTCCTAAAATCCCAACAAAAGGCCCACAAATCATTCAGGCGAAACCGTCTCTCACCATTCTGAATGAATCTAGTTTAGGATTATTTCTTTAAAACTCTTGTCTTAACCTCACAACTCCAATTTTGACAGGTGCGGAAGGAAAGCTGACGGTGGTGGCTCAAAAAATCAGCGTCCTCTCAGGTAAAGTTCTTAAAAGAGACTATCGTAGAGAATGGAATTGCAGTATTTTTCAGACTATTAAGACACACCAAGATTTCTAAGAGGAAAAAACAAAAAAAAAAGTTTTTGCCCTCCCCGGCTTCCAGGAGCACTCTGCAGGCCTCCCAAACCCTCTGCGCGTCCTGTTTTTGCAGAAAATGGGATGCGCAGAGCATTTGGGAGGCCTGCTGAGTGCTCCGGGGGCTTGGAAGAGCAAAAAAGTGACGTGTGGGGGGTTTGAGAGGCCAACAACGGCCCATTCTTCATGAAAATGGGCCCATTTTTGCAAAAATGGGATGCGCAGAGGGTTTGGGAGGCCTGCAGAGTCCTCCTGGGGCCTGGGGAGGGCAAAAACATGCTGGGTTTGGGAGGCCAAAGATAGGCCTGTTTTTCACAAAAACGGGCCCATTTTTGCAAAAACGGAATGCACAGAGGATTTGGGAGGCCTGCAGAGTGCTCCTGGGGCCTGGGGAGGGCAAAAACGTGACGTGGGGGGTTTGGGGGGCCAAAAACAGGCCCGGACTCCCAAATCCCCCATGCGTCCAGTTTTTGCCCTCCCCAGCCCCCAGGAACACTCTGCAGGCCTCCCAAACGCTCCGCGCATCCTGGTTTTGTCAATAACGGGCCTGTTTTTGGCAAAAACGGGACGCGCGGGGCAGGGTTTCAGGAGGCCAATCTCCGGATCCGTTTTGAAATTGAGCGTTTGTCATTTGGCGGCTGCCAGATTGTTGCCGTCGCCTTTGTTTTCATGAAGGAATGGAAAATTGAATTTGTGGCCTCTCGTTCCTTTTAGGGATTGGTAGTTGCAGCCATCATGCAGTCTCGGGGGCATCCAATCAGGTTCTCAGTGGCACCATGGTCGAGCTCTTCATCCCTTTCCTTCAGCAGGAAGGTAAGAACATTTTGGCAATTCTTTCTAAGACCACCCCCAAAAAGCTATTCTGGCTGTGGGATTTCTAGCAAGCCGAGCTTTTACCGGAATCAAATCTAGGAAGCTTTTGGCTAAGACTCTTTTGTCCGCCCCCCCCCCCCACACCCCACCCCCCCAGATAAACCAGACCTGGAAATCCACTCCACGGGAAGGCGAAAGCTACCTTTATCTGAGATTAACAGAATTTTGTAAATCTGATTGTGCTGTACTTTCTTCTCCTTAATAATTCAGTTAATTAGGGAGGCTTCTGCCTGGGTTGCTTCCCCATATTATCTGGCTGTTCTTGGCTTAAAAAATGCTTTAGCCCTTTTGGAGATCATCTTCCTTAGTTGTTGACTCAGCCTTTAAACTGAATCTGGGCTGCTGTACTTACAGTTGGTGATCTCCTTCCCTTCCTCTTCTCTTTCTCCTTCCTTCCTTCCTTCCTTCTTCCTTCCTTCCCTCTCTCCCTCCTTCCCGTCCTTCCTTCCTTCCTTCCTCCCTCCCTCCCTCCCTCCCACACGTCTTTCCTTCCTTCCTTCCTTCCTTCCTTCCTTCCTTCCTTCCTTCCTTCCTTCCTTCCTTCCTTCCTTCCATCCATCTTCCCTCCCTCTTTCTCCTTCCTTCCTTCCTTCCTTCCTTCCATCCATCCCTCCATCCATCCATCCTCCCTCCCTCCCTCCCTCTTTCTCCTTCCTCCCTCCCTCCCTCTTTAAAAATAAACTTTAATACACACTATATATAAAAATGGGAACTTCTTTCCATTTCCACAGAAATTAGGAGAGAAATAACAGGAGTAAGGCACAGCTGGTTTGGGATGAGTGGTTAAGGCACCTGGGAAACGGAGAGACTATGCATTCTAGTCCCTCTTTAGGCATGAAAACCAGCTGGGTGACTTTGAGCCAGTCACTCTCTCTCTCAGCCCAATTTACCTTGCAGGGTTGTTGTTATATGGAAAACAGGAAGAGAAGGATACGTTGCATGCGCTTGCTGCCTTATTTGTTAAAAAATAGTAAAAAAAAAAAGGTGGGATATAAACAAAATAAAATACAATTGGTTTTCCTACGCATTGCAGTGAGTTTGGCCTACACCTGATTCATGGAACTCCTTCCCAGGCTATAGTTATACGATATCCCATTTTTTTCTCTTTCTAAAGAGCGCTTTCTCTTTCCGCAGTCCACGAAGGCACTCTGGTGCACGCCATTTCCATCCTTGCTCTCTGGTGCGGCCGATTCGTCACGGAAGTCCCCAAAACGCTAGTGGAATGGTTCAAGAAAGCATTCAGCCTTAAGGCCTGCACTTCTGCTGTCAGGCACGCCTATCTCCAGTGTATGCTGGCTTCCTTCAAAGGTAAGAAAGAGACGGTGGGACCAGGGTCTTTTTGGAGGCATCTCCTTGGCTGAGATGGAGAGTAGGATAGTAGCAGGGGTGGGCTGCTGGGGGTTTGCAGGAGTTCGGGAGAACCTTTAGCTAAGATTCTGTGCAGCTCAGAGAACCCCTATATCTCACTCCCGGCTGGCCCTGCCCACCCCACCCCTCCCAGGAGTCCCCCACACGGCCCGTTTTGGATAAGTAAGTACAGGGCACGCGCAGAGGCTCGGGGAGGGTTAAAAACAAGCCTACCGGAAGTTTGAGTTTTACCGTTTCCGGCTTCCAGAGGGCCTGGGGCGGCTGCTTTTGCCCTCCCGGAGGCTCGAAGAAATCCTCCGGAGCCCATGGAGGGCAAAAACGTGTCCCACCCCTGCCGTGGTGCAGGAGGCCAACTGGGCCACGCCCACCATGGCCACGTCCACCCAGCAACCGGGCAGAGAACCCCTTGCTAAATTTTTTTGAAGCCCACCCCTGGATGGTGGTTTAAAACGGGCCATTGGTCAGCATCATGGAAGTCATCTTCATGACTATTCCAAAACTTTTTGGGAGGTAGTCCTCTCCTTAGGACCACAATCGAGCCCAAAATTTACTTTGCCCAGCAAGACAGTTGTGAGGTCAGTTTTGCCCCATTTTACGGCCTTTCGGGCCACAGTTGTTAAGCGAATCGCTGCAGTTATTAAGCTAGCGAGGCCGATGTCAATCTGGTGGTCCTCGACTTACGACAATTGAGCCCAAAATTTGCATTGCTAAGCAAGACGGTTAAATGAATCCTTAAATTAGCCACAAGGTTGTTAAGTGAATCTGGCTTTTCCCCTTGACTTTGCTCTTCAGAAGGTCGCATTAGGGCTTATTTTCCTGTTCGGTCTTATTTTATACGGTACTAAATGCGCCCTGGCTGACCGTCTTTAACTGGGGCTTATTTTTGGGGTAGGGCTTACATTACGAGCATCCTGAAGAAATCGTGTTAGGGCTTATTTTCCAGTTGGGTCTTATTTTAGGGAAACACGGTATCTTGATCAGATCAGTTCTTTTTTTTTTCTGAACGGGAAAGCTCACCAACTAGAATATATGGGGTTTTTTTTTATTTTCTGCTTCTGTAGGCAATGTCCTCCTACAAGGGGCAGAGATGCTGCCCTTACTGATCCAGACCGTGGAGAAAGCAGGAGCTCAGAGCACTCAGATTCCCCTGGTAACTGAAGGCGTTGCTGCAGCTTTGCTAATCTGCAGACTTTCGGTAGCCGATGCGCAAATAGGTAAGATCCCCCCTGCAGTGAAATGGAAGCTGCTTTCAGCTGTTTTCAGCCGACTATCAGGTTTCGAGGTCGTCTCAAATAAATTGCATTTCAAACAAAAGTCTTTGATAAAAACTCCCATTTATTGAGCACGACATTCTAAATCCGACTCCATCGAAGCCAACACTGACTTCCAGACCCAAAACCCTCCCTTTCCGTTCCCCACTCCCCTGCACTCGTTGGCCATCTTCCAAGTCACTCTCCCCTTCTCTACTGCTCCAGCTCAAAGGAATTTTCCCCCTCCCATCCCATCTCCTAGGGGATATTACCTCCAGGGAAAATAAGGAGGTGAAAAGTCAAACGTCCCTTTCCAGACGCCTCCGCTTCTCCTTCTTATCTCAGCACTAGAGTAAATGCAACTTGAAGTGCTGACACCGAGTTCCATTTCCTTTAGGCTAATGAATTATTAGGTACCATCTGTAGGACTTAATTGTGTAATTGGCCCCACTCGCTCCCGTCTTCTGTGCCATATCCTGTAATCTTTGGATATTTTTTAAAAGATTTGTAGTACCACCCAACTCACAAAAATGCAACTCCAGGCAGCCATAAAGCAAATCACAACTGTCTCAACAATAACAAACCAATAATGAGAGAGAGGGGGGGAGGGAGAGAGGGAGAGAGAGAGAGAGAGAAAGAATGAATGAATGAATGAATGAATGAATGAATGAATGAATGAATGAATATCACACAATTGAGGGATAATCTTATATACCCTCCAGGATAAACTCACCTAGTATCCTGGCCCTCACCTTGATGCAGAATTGTGATACATAATTCCTCCTCTTTTGACATTTTATCTCTCCCTGTAATATTGACTGATTATTAAAACTTGTTTCTGGCGACCAATGGCAGTTAATGCTAACCAGATTCGTCTTTCCTGGAGGATTTGAAATCTGTTTAAGGCTATCCATATTTTTATTTTTATAAAAATAATAAAGGGTGGGATACAAATGAAATAAATAAACGGATTGGCTCAGGTTGCCTTACAGAAGGTGTGATAGCCGTTAAGTATAGGGTTGAACTATCGGCTCAGTTGTAATTTCCTTTTTTTTTTTTTAATCCTGCACTTTTCAGAAAACAAACTGAACAGCTTATGGCAGCTTATTTTGGATGAGAAAAAACAGATCTTCACTTCCGAGAAGTTCCTGCAGTCTGCTTCAGAGGAAGGTAAGAAGGAATAGGAGTAGGAGTAGAGTAGAGTGGAATAGGAATAAGAATATTCTCGCAGTATAACTACAAACAACATATTGGTAAGACATAGAGCATAAATCATCAGGTACAATTGTTCTGATCTAGGCTTCCCCAAAAAGCACAAAGCAGAATCCTGGTCCTGACAAAACCCCTTTTATTAAACAAACAGTGAATTCCTCTCAGTCACCTTCAACAAAGTCTTTCAAGGGAGAATTGACAGTCACAGACCTTATCTGGCTTGGAGAGCTGCCAGGCCGGTATCTTCAAAACTTGGCAAGGAGTCTCGGAGAGTCACAAACCAATTAAGCGAACTAATTTTCTCCTGCAAACTCCACTCCCCTTTTGCTCCTCTTTTATTCCCTCTGGGAGGGGCCATTCATCATCCACCTGTGGCTTTACTCCCGAGTTAGCCCTTGTTTCTTAGCTGTTTCCTTCATCTGGCAACTCTGCAGGCGCACACTGGGAACAGGCTCCAGCTGTTCCTCTGCCTCAGTGATGTCTGACTCCGAAGGCAGCTGATAACTGTCAGACGGCCCTGGCCCCCTCTCTGCCTCCGACGCAGAGCTCTCATCAGAGCCTTCCCCAGACTCCAGGACTGGCCCATGTTCCTCCCCAACCTCCTCACTGTCCGAATCTGCTGCCAGCTCTGCTGGCCGCTGGCGGGCCACAACAGCAGTCATAAATCATAAGATATAAACGACAAGGGATAAATCATAAGAAACTAATAGGGGAAGGTAGTAGGAAAGATGAGAAAAATGAGGAAATGAGAAAGATGTGAAGGATAATAGCAAAACACAATATCTTTATAAGGCAGTGCTGAGGGAACTCAGCAGAGATGCCACAGGGGAGAAAAACTATCTTTGTGTCTTGTTGTCTTGGCATGCTGTGCCCTGGAGCAGTGAGGGGAGAAATTTAAATAGTTTATGCCCAGGATGTGAGGGGTCCGTAGATACTTTCTCAGCCCTCTTTCCGTCAAAAACAAAACCAGTTTATTACCTCTGATAAATGGCACCTTTACCAAATTCTGGAATTCGGCAAAACGGTTTTATTGGCACAACCGAACTGTTAGGGACACCAAAGGCCAGATGTGTTGCTGTTCCTTGGTTAGTTCTTTTCCTTATTAAACCCCTGGAGATCTGCAGATCCTTTAGATCCCAACTGCGCCGAATGAGTCTGTAGAACAGAGGTAGGGTACTTTCCAAGCCATCAATTCTGGCCCTCAATTCTTATCAATTGTGCTGCGTATTCTACATCAGTGCTTCTTAACTTCGGCAACTTTGGGATGCGTGGACTTCAACTCCCAGAATTCCCCGGTCCCAGCCCGAGAGTTGGAGACCCCGATATAGAAGGCATCCACAGATAGCCTTCAATTTCGGACCGGTCACTTAGCAAGCATTCAAAGTTTGGACGGATGCCAACTGATTTCCATACACTGAAGGCCTATTTTCCCTTCCCTGCAGTGATGTGTACAGTTCTGCAGCTGACCGAACGCCTTCTCTTAGACCACGAATCTCGGCTACCTGGAGCTAAAATCCAGTAAGTGTACCTTAGCGTGCTTTTGTTACTTATACCTCACACAGGTTGGATATATCTAAGAGCTGTGGTGGCGCAGTGGTTAGAATGAGGTATTGCAGGCTACTTCTGCTGACTGCCGGCTGCCGGCAGTTCGATTCTCACCGCCTCAAGGTTGACCTTGGAAAGGATGGAAGGCTGAGTCAACCTTGATCCATGTTAGGATCAAACTCCAGGCTGTGGGCAGAGTTTGCCTGCCATCCTGCGCTTTAACCACTGAGCCACTAGGGCTCTTCTTTTGTTAAATATTTTTTATTGTTTTATATCACATATTCCATTTCTATGTTGAACAGTGTGTTTTCTAGGTGTCCAAAGTACTAACATATAAACATAAACATTATACTCATATATACATAAACATGTATGCGATCATATCAGTCATTATTGAAAAGTATAGTATCTTCCATTATAGTATCGATTACATAACCATCAAAATATTTACTCATCAATTTTTCTTTGTCATGTAGTCCATATTTCACATAAATCCACTCCTCTAACCTCAGTATCTGTCACTTAACCATTTGTAGAACAGTTCCCATTTTATAAAATATTCCGAGTCTTCTTTTCCTTTGATTTTTAGGGTTAACTTATCCATTTCTGCACATTTCAGAATTTTTTTGATTACAATATCATCTGTAGGGGTTTCTGGATTTTTCCAGTGTTGTTTTGTCATGATCTCCAGCCACGTGTATTTTCTTCCAGTATTTTTTTTTTTTTTTTGCTTTGGGACATGTCCACCACATATGATAATATGTGCCTGGTATTTGGTTGCCTTTCCAATATTTCACAGATTTATTTTTATGCATATTCACTAATCTTGCGGGTGAGTAATGCCATCTGTAAAACATTTTACAGAGGTTTTATTTATACGCTGTTGACATTGTGAGTTTATGATTTCTGTCCCACAATTTCTGCCACCCGTCCAAATCTATCGTACAGCCAAAGTTCTTAGCCCAAATAATCATAGTTTCTGGGCTCTTCCGTTGTCACCTACTGTCATTCACTCACTTCCCGTTTTGTCCCCTTCCTATTTTGAACTGGCTGTCTTCTCACTTCTAGGCAGTATTACAGAGCCTTGACTGCTGTCCTCCTCAGCCGGTCCTGGAGCGTTCGGAGGCTTGCTCAGCAGACTGTGAGAAAACTCTTATCTTTGCCAAGAGGATTCAAGTTAGCCTGCGGCCTCTTAGAAGAGCTAAAAGCGGTTCTCGTTTCACACAAGGTAAAAAAAAAAAAAAACTGGCCTCGTAGCTAACTTCAGAGCTGCTTAGTGATGACAAACCTTTTGCCCTGTAGCCAAGAAAACTACACAGGGGTGTGCTCTGGGGCTTCGCAGGGGTTCGGGAGAACCTCTAGCTAAGATTCTGTGCAGTTTGGAGAACCCCCGAATCCCACTCCTGGCTGGCCCCTCCCCTCCCAGGAGTACCCACATGGCCCGTTTTGGATGCAGGGCGCGCGTGGAGGCTCGGGAGGGCGAAAAATGGGCCTACTGGAAGTTTGGGAAGGCCAGAAACGGGTTCCAGAGGGCCTCCGGAGCCTGCGGAGGCAGTTTTCACCTTCCCAGAGGCTCAAGGAAAGCCTCTGGAGTCCGGGGAGGGCAAAAATGCCCATCCCCGTGGTGGTGCAGGAGGCTGACTAGGCTCCGCCCACCATGGCCACACCCACCCAGCAACCGGGCAGAGAACCCCTTGCTAAAATTTTTGAAGCCCACCCCTGGCTGTGCTCATGTCACTTTTTAACTTGTGGCCCGATAGATAGTTGTTGTTTTTTTATGCTGTCATTCTCCTGTATTGAAACGCTCTCCAAATTGTTTGGACCCCAAATTACCATCCGGTGCTTCATTGTTAGGTGCTCCCACCTGAGGCCTTGGTAACCGAATCTGGAGAGTTGTCGGAACAGGGCAAAACATACATCCCTCCGCGTATACTTCAGGAAGCCTTGTGCGTCATCGCCTGTGGGCCAGGGATGGAAGGAGAACCGGAGGAGAAAGAAAAACTGGTCTTGGAAATGCTGCTCGTGAGCAGTCATCCTTCTTTGGGTGAGCAAAAGAGGGAGAGGTCGCACCCGGGCATGCGAAAGAAGGGCATTGGGTGGGCTTTGGGGATGCTCCTGGCTTTCTGTCAGAGTTTGTTGCAGAAATCACATCCAGAAATCACACACAGATAACTGATTCAGCAGGATTCATTAACTTCTCTTTATATACATAATAACACATACAATACCAACATCAGATTCTTCCAACGTGGTAGTAGTTACAGGCAAAACACAGGCAGAGAAGAGAACAGTTTTAGTTCAGTGTTGCAGACTAGTTTCAGTTTCAATTCTCAGCACAGCACTCAGAGCTAAGCACAGCCAAGCCACGCCCAGACTCCCAACTGTTTCAGCTTCCAAACAGCCCTCATTGGCTGACTTAGTTGCTATGCCTATTCATTGGCTGACCTTGTCACCATGTCTTCCCGATCATGAACTCTCATACACACTGACAGTTTCTCCCTTTTTAGTGGCAGGACAGCCTGGCCTTTGGCCTGCCCTCCTGATCAAGATGAAGCTGGACCCTATTGACTTCATCACCAAACATCTGGAAAAAATCTTCGACCGCATCGTCGTCACTCAGAGCCCAATGAATCAGGTGACTGAATTTGACCAGGGGGAATGGGATGGAATGGAATGAGGAAGTGGATCCCCAGGAGGGCGTGTGTGTGTGTGTGTGTGTATATTCCAGAGTAGGAAGAGGCAACTCAGCCCAGATATCAGGTGGTGAAAGAAAGGAAGTGAAGACAGTTCCTCCTTAAGAGGATATCATAGATGCAAAAAGGAGAGCCTTTAGTCTGGCAAGATTCTGTCTGCAGGAGTGAAACAATAAAGAACTCAGCTTGGAAGAATCACTATGCGTCATTCTTGGTTTGGGACCTGACCCATGGTGACTGAGGAATCCTGGGAGTTGAAGTCCACACATGGTGGCTGAAGAATTCCATTCCATTCCAGAAGAGGAAGAGGCAACTTAGCTCGGATGTTATGTGAGAGAGAAGGAGGGCGAAGACAGCTCCTCCTTAAGAGTTCCCAGAGTATATTGTAGATGCAGAGGGTAGAGCCTCCAGTCTGGCAGGATTCTGTCTACAGGAGTGAAACAATAAAGAACTCGGCTTGGAAGAATAGCTCCAAATCATTCTTGGCTTCCAACAATGATCACACTTCTGTGTCTGGAACACCAGACTCGGTGTGATGACCGAGTTGCGGCCGCTCTCCTGCAATTAGTAAATCCAGAACAAATGTCGCAGAGCATCGATGTTGAATGTTGCGAGTTTAATTCTTCATGAGAGGAGACCCAAGACCCAACGTTCTTCTCTCTTTTCCTTCTTGCAGTCCTCTCTGAATGCAGTTGGCTTGATCTCTGTCCTTCTACCTGCCAAAGTCCTCCCTCAGCTGATCAGCACCATTTCCGCCTCCCTTGAAAACCCGGCCCTGTGTCTCGTGACCCAAGAAGAATTCGCGATCATGAAGATGCCGGAAGGGGAACTCTATGACAAGTCTATCTTGCACAGGTCAGTCAGTAGGAAATCTGGGCAGGTTGATATTTATTTCTTTATTTATTTTTAAATTTGTATACCGCCCTTCTCCCTGAGGACTCAGGGCGGTGAACAGCCAAGTAAAAACATAAACTACAAACATTAAAATACAATCAAAAAGATATATATAAATTTGGCCCCATGATTAAAAACAATAACAGACAATTAAAAACATTTTAAAAAGTGTTAGGCCAGCCCGGCTTGCTGGAAAAAGAAGGTTTTAAGGGCACGGTGGAAGGCACCGGGGTCTTGGATTCTCCTTATCTCTGGGGGCAGCTGATTCCAGAGGGTAGGTGCTCCCACAGAGAAGGCCCTCCCCCTGGGGGTCACCAGCCTACATTGTTTGGCTGATGGCACCCCGAGGAGGCCCCCTCTGTGGGAGCGCACAGGTCGATGGGAGGCCGTCGGTAGCAGCAGGCGGTCTCGAAGATAGCTAGGCCCTATGCCATGGAGCGCTTTAAAGGTGATAACCAACACCTTGAAGTGCACATATGTGGCAGGATATGGTGGAATCGCCATCCGGTGTGAAAAAAAGAGAGTGAAGATAGCTCCTCCTCAAGAGTTCCCAGAGTATATTGTAGATGGAGGGCGTAGAGCCTTCAGTCTGGCAAGATTCTGTCTACAGGAGTGAAACTATAAAGGAACTCGGCTGGGAAGAATCGGTATATGTCACCGGGGGAGCGGTGAAAAGAATTTGAGCTCCTTTCAGGGAAGGAAGCAACAGAGGCCAGACCTTCTCCCCCCCCCCTTTTAGAATTCCTAAATCCTTTACATAACTCAGGGCTCTCCAAACTTGGCAACCTTAAGACTTTGTAAATTTCAACTCCCCCAATTGCTCAGCTAGCATGGTTTAGTGCAGGGGTCCTTAAAGGCAACCTTAAACACTCAAAAGGGCCACAAAGGTCCTAACCCAGGAGTAAGCAACTCGCGGCTCTGGAGCCGCATGTGGCTCTTTCATCCCTTTGCTGCGGCTCCCTGTCATTCTTCGGTGCGACAATTTGGAGAGGAGCTTCCGGTTAGGGGAGGAAAAGCACGGCGTGCCAGGAGGAGACTCTATGGCAAGGGGAAGGGTTTCTGGTCGGCCCCACAATTGATAGGGCTTTTGGTTAGGACGGGTAGAGGAAAAAGGACACCGCACTAGGAGGAGACTCTATGGTGGGGGAAACTGGACTTCCGGTCAGCTCCAGAATTGAACGGGGGGCTTCCGGTTAGGACCTTTGTGGCTGTTTGAGGGTTTAAGGTTGCCAACCCCTGTCCTAACCAGAAGCCCCCCCCCCCCCCCCCCCCAATTCAATTCTGGAGCCGACCAGAAGTCTGGTTCCCCCACCATAGAATCTCCTCCTAGCGCAGCGTCCTTTTTCCTCTACCGGTCCTAACCGAAAGCCCTATCAATTGTGGAGCCGACCGGCGACAGGGAGCCGCAGCAGAGGGATGAAAGAGCCACATGCGGCTCCAGAGCCGCAGGTTGCTGACCGCTTTTGCTGCAACCACCAATCCTTAGTAAAAGTACCTATCACTTCAACCAAAGGGAGTCGAGGGTTTTTCTTTCCTAGGGACCTAGTTGGGACAAGCCTGACAGTCCGTTACATACCGACAGCTCCAGAGGGTCCCTATTTTATTTTTCTATCTGGTTTAGTGGCTTAGTAGGAGGCTCAGAGGCTAAGACGCTGAGCTTGTCGATTGGAAAGGTCAGCAGTTTGGCGGTTCGAATCCCTAGTACAGGTCTCCTGCGTGACGGGGGTGGGGGGGTTGACCAGATGACCTCCAAGGTCATCCCTTCCAACTCTGTTACTGTTCACAGTTCCACCCCTGAGTTGGGGTGGCACTTAAGGACATTCTTATGCCCTTGGCTGTGTGGTTGATCCATATGTTTGAAAGGGCGATGTCTCCTCTCTTTTCAGTGCCCAGCAGGATAGCCTGAAAAAGGCCAACATGAAGAGAGAGAACAAGGCCTACTCTTTTAAGGAGCAGATCATCGAACTGGAACTCAAAGAGGTATGGTCTGGTCAGCCGACGGGGAGAAAAGGGATGTGTGTGTGTGTGTGTGTGAGTGAGACGCTGGTCTGGGATTGATCTGGATTCAAAAACATACGAAGAACGGTTGCAGGAACTGGGTATGTCTAGTTTATTGAAAAGAAGGATTAAGAGAGATATGATAGCAGTCTTCCAATATCTCAGGGGCTGCCCCAAAGAAGAGGGAGTCAAGCTATTCTCCAAAGCACCCGAAGGCAGGACAAGAAGTAACGGGTGGAAACTAACCAAGGAGAGAAGCAACTTAGAACTAAGGAGGAATTTCCTGACATTTAGAACAATTAACCAGTGGAACAACTTGCCTCCAGAAGTTGTGAATGCTCCAACACTGGAGGCTTTTAAGAAGAAATGATGTAGGGCCGTGATGGCAAACCTATGGCATGCAGGCCAGAGGTGGCTCGCAGAACCCTCTCTGTGGGCACGCGCGCCATCGCCAGCTGGTCTTCTGGTTTCCAGCGTGCGCATGTGCACCAGCCAGCTAGTTTTCGTGCACGCTGGAGCACCGGAAATCTGAAGGCCAGTTGGCCGGTGTGTGCTTGCGTGCACACATTCCAGTTTGGGCACTCTGTGCTGAAAACGAGCCTTGGTAGTACAGTGGTCTAAAGCACCCTGTTATTAAGACCAGCTGCCTGCAATTACTGCAGGTTCGAATCTCGCCAGGCTCAAGGTTGACTCAGCCTTCCATCCTTTCTAAGGTAGGTGAAATGAGGACTTGGATTGTGGGGGCAATAAGCTGACTTTGTATAAATATACAAAAGGATGAAGGCTATTGCTTAACGCATTGTAAGCCGCCCTGAGTCTCCGGAGAAGGGCGGCATATAAATCAAATTAAAAAAAAAAAAGGTTTGCCCTCCCTGGTGTAGGGCTTCCTGCCTAAACAGGGTTGGACTAGACGACCTCCGAGGTCCCTTTGAACTTGGGTATTCTGTATTCTTGTCGACAAGATCTCCCCTCCCTCTTGACGAACTAAATGGCCATCCATTGCAGGAGATCAAGAAGAAGAAAGGAATCAAGGAAGAGATTCAGCTGACGAGTAAACAAAAGGAGATGTTGACTGCCCAGCTGGAGAAGGAATCTCAGATGAGAAAGCAATTGAAAGAGGTAATTCCGAGTCTTTTTCTTTTCTTTTTTTTATGGAACACTTAAGAAAAGCAGGAAGGAGTGGAAGAAGGAAAGATCTGAGGACAGATTGCAGTCTTATTGGATGTCTGTGGATGTCAGTCCTCCAGCTCATAGTTGTCTCAAAGGTGCTTTATTTTTTCAAAAGGCACATCTGGAACTCTTGTGCTGTTGTTCTCTTGCAGCTGGACACTGAATTGGAATCCACCCTGGGTCTTTTTGACGCCGTCCTCAAGAGGAACCCTCCCAGCCTCTCCCAGTACATCCCTGCCCTTGTCGGCTGCTTCCTACCTCTGTTCAAATCCCCGCTGGCAGCTCCGAGGATTAAGGCCCCCTTCCTTTCTCTGGTGTCGTGCGTGATGCCCGATCACTTAAAGACTTTTGGTGAGTCTGTTTTTTTTTTTTCAAACTCTCTATTCGGCTCAATAAATCAGGAAGCAAGGCCGTTCGAACGACCAGAGTTTGATCGCAAGCTAAGGCTTTCTACACCCCAACCCCAGGGCCTCAGAGCCCACTACTGGGTCACGGCCTATTTGAACCTGGGCCTCTGCCCGCCAGTGGATCTGTGCACATGCGTGTGCGCCTGCCACTCACACGCCCTCCACCTCAAGCTGGAAAGGTTGGGGACCACTGCGTTTAATAGTTCAGATTCCTGCAGAAGAGTGTAGTTGTAGTTTACTTTAATTGTCATTCAACCTCGTACAACGAAATTAAATGCAGAGTTCAGTGTACATTATAGCTATAAAAATAAAACAAAAACACCCATCCTTCACATTCTATGCAATTGAACTGAAAACCCCTGATATTGCGTTAATATTGCACTATACAGTAGAATTCAATAAGGTCATTGCCCTGGGATAGAAGCTGTTTTTCAGCCCTTTTGTCCTCGTTTTTATTGTCCTGTACCGGCTGCCAGATGGTAATAGTTAAAAAAAAAAAAAGGATACCCAGGATGAGATGGATCTTTAAGAATGTTTTGAACTTTCTTAAGGCAGCGGGAGCTATAAAAGCTCTTCTAAGGAGGGGGAGAGGGCAACCCATGATCCTCTGGGCAATGACGTTGACCCTCTAGAGCGCCGACCTATCTGCCGCTGTGCCATTGGCAAACCAGACACAGGTGGAGTTAAGTTAAAATACTCTCTATGGTGCAGCGGTAGAAGGTCTCCAGCGGTTTTCCATTCAGTTGTTGTTTCCTGAGAAGTCCCAGGTAGTATAATCTCTGCTGGGCCCTTTTGACCAGTGCTGCAATGTGCAGTGCAAACCTTTGGGCACCAGGGACCGGTTCGGTGGAGAGAAGTTTTGCCATGGATTGGGAGGGACGTGGTTTTGTGTTCTGCTTGCTTTTCACTTGTTTGCACAGACTGGTTTCTGGACCGCTGCCAGTCCACAAACCAGGGGTGGGGGTGGGGTGTTGGGGACCCCTGGACTAGAAGACCTCTAAAGTCCCATCCAACTCTGTTATTCTGCAGTCAGCAAATGGCGTTTCTTCGGTGAGATTCCGCCATGGTTTCAATGTGTGTTTCAACACACAGATACAGTTGTGTTTACTTTCAGAAAATAGTTATAAGGCACAGTCCAATAAACAGTCCAGGTCATACACAGATAAAGTAGTAGATTGTAAAAAATAGTCCGGGGATATTCCAATATACAAAGTCTTCTTACCAGTTGTTGTAGTCATACACATAAACAGTTGCAAACAGTAGCAAATAGCAAAATAGCTTCAAAGAGCATTCAAAAGAGTGTCAAAGAGTCAGAGAGTAGTAAAGAGAAACAAACCATGTTTCTAGCTTCTTCTTAAGAACATTGGCTACAGAGCTAACCAATCAGGACACAGGATGACACAACAATACAGTAGTCTTAAAGCTATATTGATGGTTTATATATTGCCAACCCAACAAGTTAGTTAAAATCATTTCCTAACAGTGTCCTTTCCTTTCGTCTTCCAGGGACCGTAGCGAGTCACGTGACTTTGCGAATGATGAAACCCGAATGCGATTTGGATGAATCCTGGTGCCAGGAAGATTTGCCCACGGCTGTGAACCGAGTGATCGGTTTGCTGCACGCACACACCGTGCCAACCCGGATAACCAAAGGAGAGGAAGGTGAGGCCCTTTTGATGACCTTCTCAACGTGTAACCATTCTTGTGCCGGAACTCCTCGGCTTAACGACCTTCCGTTTAGCGACCGTTCAAAACTGACAACGCCGCTGAACAAAGTGACTTAACGACCGTCGTTCGCACCACCGTTGCAGCATCCCCACGATCACACGATCAAACTTGGCAACTGGCCCCTATTTATTTATTTTATTTTTTATTTTATATTGGATTTCTATACCGCCCTTCTCCCTAAGGACTCAGGGCGGTGTACAGCCAGATTAAAAAAAACATGCAGAACAAATATTAAAAACAATTAAAAGATATATAAATTTGGCCCAATTAAAACTCATTTACCAATTAAAAACGTTTAAAACATTTAAAAACAGTTAAAAATTTCATCTTAAGCCAGCCCGGCTTGTTTAAATAAATGGGTTTTAAGGGCGCGACGGAAGGCACTGAGGTCTTGGATTCTCCTTATCTCCGGGGGGCAACTGATTCCAGAGGGTGGGAGCCCCCACAGAGAAGGCTCTCCCCCTGGGGGTCACCAGCCTGCATTGTTTGGCTGATGGCACCCCGAGGAGGCCCTCTCTGTGGGAGCGCACGGGTCGCTGGGAGGTCGTCGGTAGCAGCAGGCGGTCTCGGAGATAGCTAGGCCCTATGCCATGGAGCGCTTTAAAGGTGATAACCAACACCTTGAAGCGCACCCGGAAGACAACTGGGAGCCAGTGCAGCTCGCGCAGGAGCGGTGTTACATGGGAGCGCCATGCTGCTCCCGTCACTACCCGCGCTGCTGCGTTCTGGACCAGCTGGAGCCTCCGGGTGCTCCTCAAGGGGAGCCCCATGTAGAGAGCGTTGCAGTAGTCAAGGCGAGAGGTGACGAGGGCATGAGTGACTGTGCACAGGGAATCCCGATCAAGAAAGGGCCGCAACTGGCGAATCAGGCGAACCTGACAAAAGGTCCCCCTGGTTACAGCCGTCAGATGTTCCTCCAAGGACAGCTGCATATCCAGGAGGACTCCCAGATTGCGAGCCCTCTCTGTGGGGGCCAATGACTCGCCCCCAATAGTCAGTGATGGAGTCAACTGACTATATCGGGATGCCGGGAGCCACAGCCACTCAGTCTTGGAAGGGTTGAGCCTGAGCCTGTTCCTCCCCATCCAGACCCGTACAGCCTCCAGGCACTGGGACATCACTTCAAGGGCATCGTTGGGGTGGCCTGGGGTGGAGATGTACAGCTGGGTGTCATCAGCGTACTGGTGGTATCTCACCCCAAAGCCACGGATGATCTCACCCAGCGGCTTCACATAAATGTTGAACAGAAGGGGCGAGAGGACCGATCCCTGCGGCACTCCACAAATGAGAGGCCTCGAGGTCGACCTCTGCCCCCCTGCCAACACAAACTGCGACCGGTCGGAGAGAAAGGAGGAGAACCACCGCAACACGGTGCCTCCCACCCCCAACTCTTCCAGCCGGTGCAGCATGATACCATGGTCGATGGTATCAAAAGCCGCTGAGAGGTCTAACAGGACCAGAACAGAGGAACAACCCCTGTCCCGAGCCCTCCAGAGATCATCAACCAACGCGACCAATGCCGTTTCTGTGCTGTGCCCAGACCTGAAACCCGACTGGAACGGATCTAGATAAGATGTTTCCTCCAGGAATTGCGGAAACTGTCGTGCGACCACACTCTCAACAACCTTCGCCATAAAGCGAAGGTTGGAGACAGGACGATAGTTGGCCAATATTGCCGGATCCAGGGACGGCTTCTTGAGGAGAGGCCTCACCACCGCCTCTTTCAAGGCGGTGGGGAAGTAACCCTCACTCAACGAAGCGTTGATAACACCCTGAAGCCAGCCTCGTGTAACCTCCCGGGAAGCCAGTACCAACCAGGAGGGACACGGGTCCAGTAAACATGTGGCCGCACTAAGTCTCCCCAAAATCCTGTCCACATCATCAGGAGTCACAGCATCAAACTCCTCCCAGATAACATTCTCAAGACTATTCCTCGTCACCCTGCCCTGATCTACCCAGTCAGAGTCCAAATCCCCCCGGATCTGGGCGATTTTGTCATACAGGTATTGTCCGAAATCCTCCGCCCTGCCTTCTAAGGGATCCTCCCGCACTCCTGGATGGAGCAGGGCGCGGGTCACCCTAAACAGGGCAGCCGGACGATTCCCTGATGACGCAATAGAGGCGGAAAAGTAGTTAGACTTTGCCGTCTCTATCGCCACTAGGTAGGCCTTAATATGCGACCTTACCAGTGTTCGATCAGATTCAGCGAGACTGGCCCTCCAACCGCTCTCACCCAGCAGCGCTGGGTGGGGGGTTCTGGGAGTTGAAGTCCACCCATCTTCAAGCTTCTAAGGTTGAGAAACACTGGATTACAGGGTCATTAAATGATTGGGGGAGGGGGAATGTCATAAGCCGAGGATTCCCTGTAAATATTTGGGATTGGTCTACATCCTTCTTTGTTTTCTCGCCCTTCTGTTGACAGGTCCCATGCCATTATCGGCCCCGGCCTTTTCCTTAGTCTTTCCTCTTCTGAAGATGGTGCTACTGGAAACCCCCAACGACAGCGAAGAGAAGGAGGAGCTCATGGTGAAGGTTTTGCAGATCATCACCGTCCACGCTCAGCTGCGGTCCTCTACGAATGACGAGAACTGGCTGGTGGATGAGGTGAAGCTCCTTTGATTCTTTTCCAAGTGATCGACCGCCAAGAGACGTAAAATTGGGCATGGTCATGTGACTTTCTTAATCCCCCGCCCACCACTTAACGGCCATAATTCTGGGATTAGGGACGGTTGTAAATCGAGGATTTCCATTAACTCTGATTTTTCTTTGCCTCTTTTCTTCCTCCTTTCTCATAGTTTTCTTCCTCCTCTCTCACATTTTTGTTTCTTGTTTCCCACATTTTTCTTCCTCCTTTTTCACATTTTTCTTCTTTCTTTCTCACATTTTTCTTCCTCCTTTCTCAACATTTTTCTTCTTTCTTTCTCACATTTTTCTTCCTCCTTTCTCACATTTTTCTTCTTTCTTTCCCACATTTTTCTTCCTCTTTTCCCACATTTTTCTTCTTTCTTTCTCACATTTTTCTTCCTCTTTTCCCACATTTTTCTTCCTTCTTTCTCACATTTTTCTTCTTTCTTTCTCACATTTTTCTTCCTCTTTTCCCACATTTTTCTTCCTTCTTTCTCACATTTTTCTTCTTTCTTTCTCACATTTTTCTTCCTCTTTTCCCAGATTTTTCTTCCTCCTTTCTCACATTTTTCTTCTTTCTTTCCCACATTTTTCTTCCTCTTTCCCACATTTTTCTTCCTTCTTTCTCACATTTTTCTTCTTTCTTTCCCACATTTTTCTTCCTCTTTTCCCACATTTTTCGTCCTTCCTTCTCACATTTTTCTTCCTTCTTTCTCACATTTTCCCAAACTATTCTGGAGAATTTGAAAATCCCACTCTATTCATGGCGTTTGTGTTGATCTCCGAAAATATTTTATTACGTTGCTTTCAAAGTGGGATTCTTCCTCCTCCCCACCCCTACCCTCCGTTGAATCAACTTAACTAAAGGTTTCTTTTTAAAAGTCCTCAACCTACAACCATTCGTTTAGTGTCCATTCAAAGTTACAACAGCACAGGAAAAAAAAATGACAATTTTTTCACACTTATGACCGTTGCAGCATCGCCTTGGTCATGTGATCAGTTGCTTGGCAACTGACTTATGACGATTTTGGCGTCCTGGGGGGAAAATCACGTGGTCCCCTTTTGCGACCCTCTGACAATCAAAAAAAGTCAAAGAGGAAACTGGATTCACTTAACAACTGTGTGATTAACTTGACAAAGTGCTGCAATTCACTTAACGACAGCAAGCAAGGTTGTAAAATGGGACAAAGCTTGTGTCACAATAGTTCTTGTTTAGCGGCGGAAATGTTGGGCTTGATTGTGGTCATAAGCCGGAGGACTAAGTTACCTTTGCAGTTCGATAGCAACCAAACTCTTCTCTCTCTGTTTTTTTGCGGCCATCATCCAGAACGGTCCCGAGTTACTTCCTCGTACGGACATGCTGTTGCTCTTGACTAAAGTTATCGGGACAGGATCACCCCGTGTACAGGGCAGTGGGTCACCCCCCCCCCCTTTGATCAGAGAAGTGAGAGGGGGGGAGATGCAAATCCTCAAAGAGAGTCCTACCCACGGGTGAAAATATAATTAGAAAAATACTAGAATGTGCGAAGATGGATCAATTGACATTAAAAATAAAAGACAAGGAAGAGTCCTGCTTCATCCATCCATGCCCTTGGATCATCCTCACCTGATTAAAGCTCTTATTCTTGGCCAGGTTTTGGGTTCGGTGGCGCTAACAGCCCTGTGCGCCAGTAGCGGCGGCGAAGATGGCTGCGCCTATGCGGAACAAGAGGAGATAAATGTCCTTCTTCAGGCTCTGCAGTCACCCTGCATGAACGTTCGAGATGCAGCTCTCCGGGTCAGTGGGAATCTCTTGGGAGTTGAGGGGACATTCGGGGACAGGATCTGAATGTTTTGTCTGCCACTCACCTGGTGCCGCCTTCATTCGTACCCTGCCACTCACCTGGTGCCGCCTTCATTCGTACCCTGCCTTTATTATTTTTACAAATTTTTTACAAATACCGTATTTTTCGGCGTATAAGACGCACCGGACTATAAGACGCACCTACCTTTTTTGGTGAGGAAGACAAGGAAAAGAAATCTGCCTCTGCCTCCCAGCAATTTTGCCTCCTTGCAGCAAACAGCAAACAGCCTGCTTTACTTTCGTTTTCAGCATCGCTTGATTAGCACAAGGGAAAAAAAAAATCTGCTCCCAGCAATTTACCTCCTTGCAGCAAGCAGCAGAGCCCTGCGCAAAACAGCTGAGAGCAAAACAGTTGAGTGTCGGGAGGCCGATCCAATCAACTTGGTGCTAATCAGGCTGTGCTGAAGCTGAAACGAGCTGTTTCTTGTTGCTGTTTGCTGCAAGGAGTTAAACTGCTGGGAGGCAGAGGCCGAAGGGTGGGGGCCAGTGGGTGGGCGGGGTTACATTCGGTGTATAAGACGCACCTAAATTTTCACCCCCTTTTAGGGGAGAAAAAGGTGCGTCTTATATTCCGAAAAATACGGTAACTCAAGGCTGCAAACATATTCACCTTCCTCCTCTTATTTCCTCCCCCCCTCCCCAACAACAATCCTGTGAGGTGAGAGGAGAGGGACTGGCCCAAAGTCACCCAGTCTGGCTTTCGTGCCAAAGGCGGGACTAGAACTCTCCATCTCCTAATGATTGCCCTAAAGTCGTAGGCCGAGGACTAACTGTATGGGGGGGTGGAAAATACAGCTTCAATTCAGAAGAATTCTGCTCATAACAGTCTTAATTCTTTGCCCGCAGGGTTTGACGGAACTCCAGATGGTCTTGCCCACTCCGGACAGCGATGAGAAGAACGGCATGAACCTTTTGCGCCGGCTCTGGGTGGTGAAGTTTGACAGGGAAGAAGAAATCCGCATGTTGGCAGAGAGGTAGGCATGCCTGTCCTTTGAAAGAGGAAACCATAACCTCATAATCCTAGGCCAGGGGGTCAGCAACCTGCGGCTCTGGAGCCGCATGTGGCTCTTTCACCCCTCTGCTGCGGCTCCCTGTCGCTCAAAATGTGCGTCACAATCGCCAATGTGCGACACACACATACACACACACACACACACACACACCGGCACACGATTTATTGAGCTTTTCAACCCCTGGTAGGCCAACCATGGATAAATCCCAGAAAAGAAAAGTTTCAGAAGAAAACAGAACGTTTAATTTGACTACATATGCTAGTTTTGGAGTGAAATAGTCAGGCACAGGAAGGGTTTTGTGGCTCCCGGCATTATATGGGGAGGAAGGGCAGAGACCGAGCGAGCAACTCCAGTCTTTTCACCCGAGAAGATCTTTCTGGAAGATGACGATGCTCCACTTTCCCTCTCTCTCTCTCTCTAGGCTGTGGGTATCGATGGGTTTAGAGTTGCAGCCAGACATCTGCTCCATCCTCATCAAGGATGTCATCCACCACGAGCAGGCGGTGCGCCAGGCTGGAGCCGAAGCCCTTTCCAAGGGGGTTGAACAATATCGAAGCCAGACAAAGGATGTCATAGCCAAACTGATGGAGATTTATCAAGAGAAGCTCTATGTAAGCCCTGGTAGTAGGAAGCATGTGCCTGGTTGATCCATCAGTCCATATGTTACCGATGGAAGATTTGTAGCTCTCTGAATTGACCCTTGGTGCTCTCTGAGCTTGGTTTCCTTGCTAGACGTTTCATTACCCAACTATGTAACATCATCAATGCTAGGAAGGTTTGCAGAGAGGAGGAGGACTGTGGGGTCCTTGATGCTCTCTGAGCTTGGTGGTTTTCTTGCAGATGTTTCATTACCCAGCTAGCTAACATTATCAGTGCCAGAAGGGAATGGGGTTTGCAGACAGGAGGAAGGAAGGGAAGGGAAGGGAAGGGAGGAAGGAAGGGGAGGAGGACAATGATTGTGGGTCCTTGATGCTCTCTGAGCTGGATGGTTTTCTGGCAGATCATTATCCAACTAGCTAACATCATCAGTGTTAGAAGGGAGTGGGGTTTGCAGGCAGGAGGAAGGAAGGGAAGGGAAGGAAGGAAGGGAGGAGGAAGACAACAATTGTGAGATCCTTGGTGCTCTCTGAGCTTAGTAGTTTTCGTTTGGACATTTCATCATCCAACTATATAACGTCATCAGTGCTGGATGGGGGTACGTTCTCTGTTTATATACAAGGCTTGCCCTGTCAGTGTTGGCGGGAGTATTCTTGATAGTTCCTAACAGTAAAGAACAGAGTAATCGCTTAAGAACACACTCCCACTGAAGAAATGCAGCATCTGAAACGCTTACTGACCTCACGGTGGTGGGACAAGGATCGTCATCCAATGCTTTTCCTCCTTCCCCAGAGACCCCCGCCTGTTTTGGATGCCTTGGGACGGGTGATCTTGGAGTCTCCCCCTGACCAGTGGGAAGCCAGGTAGGACTACTTACCCTTCTCATCCTTTCCACACAAAATGGTGAACTTCAGAGTTTTTTTTTTTCAAGGCAAGGTAGTAGAAACTTAAGGATAAACATCTCCAGATGGTGTCAAGTTTCCGAAAGATGCCCTAATTAATTCATGAGCCATGATCCAAACTTCAAAGGAAATATAATCATTTATTAGGAGCAACATTCCGGCAATACTGGGATGCAGTTAGGACTGATCCTCCGTAGATTTACGTTCCCCTATGACCCTGTCTCTCCCCTCCTCTCTGGCCATGTCATAAATCACATTCTCCAATTAACCACTTTGGCTGGCTGTGAAACCTAACACCCTCCTTCTGATTGCGGTCAGAAAGAATGTATGGAATTCACTTCAGTTCTCCCTCCCTCCTGCTCATGGCAACTTGAAAGCTTTGCAAGTTGGCAGATGGTTTTAATTCAACCCAAGGGCCTACTAGTTGGGCTTTGAGGGAGAATAAAATTCTGTATGATTGAATGTCACTACACTGGCAAAAATAGCAAAAGCACTTAGACTTATATGCCGCTTCACAGCCCTCTCTAAGTGGTTTACAGAGTCAGCCTCTTGCCCCCCAACAATCTGGGTCCTCTTTTTACCCACCTCGGAAGGATAGAAGGCGGAGTCAACCTGAGCTGGTCAGGATCGAATTCTTGGCAGTGAGCAGAATTAGCCTGCAATCCTGCATTCTAACCACTGTTCCACCACAGGAGGGAGGGGAGGGAAGGGAAGGGAAGGGCCTGGATAGCTCTGCAGACAAGGCACTGTAATTTAACACCAGCTGTCTGCAATTAAAGTAAGTTCGAATCTCACCAGGCTCAAGGTTGACTCAGCCTTCCATCCTTTCAAAGGTAGGTGAAATGAGGACCCAGATTGTGGGGGCAATAAGCTGACTTTGTATAAAATATACAAAAGGATGAAGGCTATTGCTTAACGCATTGTAAGCCGCCCTGAGTCTCCGGAGAAGGGCGGCATATAAATCAAAAAAAAAAAAGAAGAAGAAGGAAGGAAGGAAGGGCAATAGCACTTAGACTTATATACCGCTTTACAGTGCTTTACAGCCCTCTAAGCGGTTTACAGAGTCAGCCTCTCTCCCCCAACAATCTGGGTCCTCATTTTACTCCTGGCAGTGGGCAGAGTTAGTCTGCAATAATGCATTCAGATAGATCGAGAGACAGAGAGACATAGATAGATAGCAATAGCACTTAAGATTTATATACCACTTCATAGTGTTTTTACAGCCCTCTCTAAGCGGTTTACAGAGCCAGCCTCTTGCCCTCCAACAATCTGGGTCCTCATTTTACCCACCTCGGAAGGATGGAAGGCTGAGTCTACCTTGAGCCGGTGAGATTCGATCTACTGAACTGCAGCCAGCAGTCAGCAGAAGTAGCCTGCAGTACTGCACTCTAACCACCGCACCAGCGCTTAGACTTATACACTGCTTCATACAGCCTTCTCTAAGCGATTTACAGAGTCAGCCTCTTGCCCCCAACCATCGGGGTCCTCATTTTACCAACATGGGAAGGATGGAAGGTCTGAGTCAACCTTGAGCCGGTCAGGATCGAACTGCTGTCAATGGGCAGAGTCAGCCTGCAATCCCGCCTTCTAACCACTGTACCACCACATCTCTTGTCAACAACTGTTGATGATGATATGATGATATGAACTTGAATGAAATTCTCTCTTCAGGTGCGGCATCGCTTTGGCCTTGAACAAGCTTTCTCAGCACCTGGAAAGCTGCCAGGTGAAGCCTCTTTTTGAGTTCTTTGTCCCCGATGCCCTCAACGATCGTCACCCCGAAGTTCGAAAGTGCATGCTGGACGCTGCCCTCTCAGCCCTTAATACCCATGGCAAGGTAGGTTGTCCTTCGTCCAAAATCCTGTCTGTTGAGCTCAGGAACTGTTTGACGGTGCAGGGAGGTTCCCATCAGGGAACCATTAACATTTGGGTGTAGCCAACAAAAGCCAGGAGAGCCCGTGGCTTAGAGGTTAATACATCTACCTAATATGCAAGCAGTCTGGGTTCGAATCCCAGAAGGATAGGGCTAGCTGACGAGAGCCAAATAGCTTGAAATAGATCTATACTAGTTCTCCCTGTATTTCTTTTGTCGATAAAAATAAATTTTAACATTTGAGTGAAATGTTTGGGAGCTTTCTCAGAGAAGCAGCCAAAATGGACAAGTGGATCTTTTGTTCGATTAAATCCAATGATGGGGTCCTTGGTGCTCTCTGAGCGTGGTGTTCTATCAGAGTTTCTTGCAAAATCAAATCCAGAAGCGCACACAGATAACTGATTCAGCTGTATTCATTCACTTCTTTATATACATAATAACAGATGAAGTATTTACAATACCAATAGTTGGTTCTTCCAACGTGGTAAGAATTTACAGGCAGAGCACAAGGCAGGAGAGAACAGTTAGCTTCATTTCAGCAGAGTAGACAGCATGCACAGACTGCTTAGTTTCAGTTTCAATTCTCTGCACAGACTCAGAAGCTGCAGACTAAGACACGCCCTGGCTCCAGTCTGTCTCAGCTCCCAATTGGCTGACTTAGTTGCTATGCCTATTCATTAGCTGACCTTGTTACCATGTCTCTGCCAGTTCATGAATAATCTGACTTTTTTCTTGCTGACGTTGCCTTCCTGATGCACTGGTGACGTTACCTAGTTTGGTAATGAATGACTTGGGAGTCCAAAGTTAGGTTTTTCAGCCATTTTCCATAGTCACCCACTTCCTCTGGCTCCTGTTTTTTTCAGGAGAGTGTCAACTCCTTGCTGCCAGTCTTTGAGGAGTTCCTTAAGAATGCCCCCAACGATGCCAGCTACGATGCCGTCCGGCAGAGCGTGGTCATTCTCATGGGGTCGCTGGCCAAACATTTGGACAAAAGCGATCCGAAAGTGAAACCCATCGTGGCCAAGCTGATCGCAGCGCTCTCGACGCCATCCCAACAGGTGAGCCCTCCTTGGCTTGGAGATGTTTCCCGAGAGATGTGAGCATCCTGACTCTAGAACCACCTACTAACACAATGAAAGGGAGCTACGTGGCTTAGGAACTCACAAGTGTTTCCTCCTTTTCTAACAACTTCCTTCCTTCCTTCCTTCCTTCCTTCCTTCCTTCCTTCCTTCCTTCCTTCCTTCCTTCCTTCTTCTTTCTTTCTTTCTTTCTTTCTTTCTTTCTTTCTTCTTTCTTTCTTCTTTCTTTCTCTCTCTCTCTCTCTCTCTCTCTCTCTCTCTCTCTTTCTTTCTTTCTTTCTCTTGGAGAAATATTACATTGTAAAAGCACCATTCACCTAAACATGGTACCATCTGAATTAGATTTATTTATTTATTTTTATATGCCGCCCTTCTCCGGAGACTCAGGGCGGCTTACAATGCGTTAAGCAATAGCCTTCATACTTTTGTATATTTTATACAAAGTCAGCTTATTGCCTCCACAAACCGGGTCCTCAATTCAAAGAGATGAGGCCAGGGCCCTCTGGCAGTTATCAGCTGCCTTCAGAATCAGACATCAGTGACGCAGATGAACAGCTGGAGCCTGTTCCCAGTGTGTGCATGCACAGAGTTACCAGACGAAGGAAACAGCTAAAGAACAAGGGTCGACTCAGGAGTAAAGCCACAGGTGGACAGTGAAGGGCTTCTCCCAGAGGGAATAAAAGAGGAGCGAAAGGGGAGTGGAGTTTGCAGGAGGCAATTAATTCGCTTAATTGGATCGTGACTCCTTGCCAAGTTTTGAAGATATCGGCCTGGCAGCTCTCCAAGCCCGATAAGGTCCGTGACTGTAAATTCTCCCTGGAAAGACTTTGCTGGATGTGAATGAGAGGAATTCACAGTCACTTAATAAAAAGGGTTTTTTTGTCGGGACAAGGAGTCTGCTTCGTGGTTTGGGTCAACGCCTAGGTCAGAACTCTAAGCAGCCATTTAGCCGCCCACCTAGAACGATCTGCTTGGGGGGTCTTTTGCAGGTTCAGGAGTCGGTGGCCAGCTGCTTACCGCCTCTCGTGCCGGCCATCAAAGAAGACGCTGGCAGCATGATCCAGAAGCTGCTGCAACTTTTGCTGGAATCCGATAAGTACGCGGAGCGAAAAGGAGCTGCTTACGGGCTGGCGGGCCTAGTGAAAGGGCTGGGCATCCTTTCCCTGAAGCAGCAGGAAATGATGGCCAAGCTGACCGATGCAATCCAGGACAAGAAGAATTTCCGGCGGCGGGAAGGTGAGTCGAAGAATCCTCATTCTTCCCCTCTCAACTTCTTGAGGACTTTTGATCTTCCAGATTTAGGCCCTAAATTGCTTCGTTCTGGTAAGACATAGAATCCTAGGGCTGGAAGAGACCTCAGAGGTCTTCTAGTCTAACCCCCTGTTGCTGTTGTTAGTTGCAAAGTTGTGTCCGACCCATCGTGACCCCATGGACAACGTTCTTCCAGGCCTTTCTGTCCACCACCATCCTCTGTAGTCCATTTAAGCTCACGCCTACTGCTTCAGTGACTCCATCCAGCCACCTCGTTCTCCACCGTCCCCTTCTTCTTCTTTTGCCCTCAGTCGTTTCCAGCATTAGGCTCTTCTCCAGGGAGTCCTTCCTTCTCATTAGGTGGCCAAAGTATTTGAGTTTCTCCTTCAGGATCTGGCCTTCTAAAGAGCAATCAGGGTTGATCTTCTCTAGGACTGACCGGTTGGATCGCCTTGCAGTCCAAGGGACTCGCAGGAGTCTTCTCCAGCACCAGAGTTCAAAGGCCTCCATTCTTTGGCCTTCTCAGCCTTCCTTGTGGTCCAACTTTCACAGCCATCCAATGCATTATTGGTTGACTGTTCTTGTGCCATCTTCACTTGGACAATAAACCACAAAAACAGCTGTCTGAATATGGTACTGTGTATTCACACTAATTCTCAGTATCCTGGGCCCATAACCAATGTTGAAGAATTCGCAGAGCAACCCTTGAGTAGCAAGGGTGTGCACATGAAAAGCGATTGAGAGGAAATAACACAGCCAACACACAGATACACTGAGTTGTGTTTACTTTCAGGAAATAGTAATAAGGCACAGTCCAATAAACAGTCCAGGTCATACACGTATAAAGCAGTAGATATCAAACAATAGTCCAGGGATAATCCAATAACAAAGTCTTCTTACCAGTTGTCATAGTCATAGACAATAATCAGTTGCAAACAGTAGCAAACCCAGCAAAACAGCAAAGATATCAAAGAGATAAGCAAAGAGTCAGTAAAGGGAAACAAACTAGATGTCAGCATTCTGATGCTGCCATAAAAAGACAAGGTTTGACTTTTCACCTACTTATTTTCTCTGTAGATAATATCCCCTAGGAGATGGGATGGGAGGGGGGAACATTCCTGTGGGGTGAGGTCAGAAGCTGGGAAGACTGACTTGGAAGATGGCCAATGAGAAGATGAGAATTGGGGAACGGAAAGGGAAGGGTTTGGGGGTCAGAGGGTTAGTATCGGCTACGACGAAGTCGGGGCCAGATCTGTCGTACTCAATAAATGGAATACTTTATACTTTATTCAGGACACAGTATGATGCAATACAGCTGTACAGCCGTCTTAAAGCTATATTGAGGGTTTATAGATTGCCAACCCAACAAGTTAGGTAAAATCATTTCCTAACAACTAGTCTCCCTTTATTTCTTGGTCGGTAAATATTTAGGCAGCTGTTTCTATTCTCTTTTATCCCAGGGGCTTTGTTCGCCTTTGAGATGCTCTGCACCATGCTGGGGAAGCTCTTTGAGCCCTATGTGGTTCATGTACTGCCACATTTACTGCTCTGTTTCGGAGACGGCAATCAGTATGTCCGGGAGGTAAGTCATCCTCGGCTGGCAGTTCCCGGAGAAGTAGAGAGAGTTTGGGTTCTGCAGAACCTTGACTTGTTCTGCCCATATTCTGGTTGGCTTCAGAGGTTCTGGTAGGTCATCGGGTGCTTTGATGGGAGGAGTGGTGCGGTGGCCCAGAGGTGGAGCTCTTGCCTCACAATCAGGAGGCTGTGAGTTCGAGCCTAGGCAGAGGCAGATATTTCTCTTTCTGGCAGGGTGGATAAAAATCAATGATTTTTTTTTAAAAAATTGAAAAAATCAGATTTTTTTTTATTTAAATCGGATTTTTTTTTATTTTTATCGCACTTATTTTAATAAAAAGCTTTTGGGGTAAAAATCTATCGTAAGATAGTTTTCTATTTAAGATACATAAATAATTTAGTTTATTCCGCATGAAATGGAGCTCAGTTACGTAGCAGGAGGCTGTATATTCTGCAACACTGGGACTATCGGTGAGTCAACAGTGGGTCAAAGGAGTAGCAGAGATGACAGTTGCTCTTTCAAAATTAGGATTTAAATCGAGTTGATTTAAATCAAGCCTTTTTACTCATGATTTAAATCATGATTGAAATTGTGATTTAAATCAACTCGATTGAAATCAAATCCACCCTGCTTTCTGGGCATGTTGAGAATATATCTGCTGAACAAAACTCCATACTGGCAACAGGAAGGGTATCCGGCCATTAAACACTCTGCTAGCTCCGTTCAGTTGCCTGGACTCCACCCCACAAGGGATTAAAAGGATACACACACAGACACACAGAGAGAGAGAGTGGTGCAGTGGCCTAGAGGTGGAGCTCTTGCCTCACAATCAGGAGGCTGTGAGTTCGATCCTAGGTAGAGGCAGATATTTCTCTTTCTGGGCATGTTGAGAATATATCTGCTGAACAAAACTCCGCACTGGCGACAGGAAAGGCATCCGGCCAGTAAACACTCAGCTCTGACTCTTTATCTCGCATGGGATTATGGGGTCGTTAAAAGAAGATGATGATCGGGTGCTTTGATGGACTTGGGAGTTCACCAGGTTGAGTAAATCCAGCCATTGTGGTTTCATAAACCGTATGTGAAACCATGTGGCTCGTTCCGCAGGTCAGCCAAAGACTAGCATGTTACATGCTTATCTGTGTGCATGCTATCACAGATGGCATTCCTATCGCGAAGCCTTTGCACAAGTTCGTTGTTGACTAAATGCCCCCTGAGAATCTCACCACAGCAGCGTATCGGCTGTGCTTGTAACACGAAGTGTGAACCCCAAGCCATTGTAGTTTATCCAACAAACAGTGTTTAAAATAACGCCTGGCTGGATGTGATGCATAATTCCACATAGTTTGAATTTATTTATTTATTTATTTATTAGTTCAATTTATATGCCGCCCTCCTCCAAAGACTCAGGGCGGCTTACAATGCGTTAAGCAATAGCCTTCATACTTTTGTATATACCTGTTTAGTAGGGCTTTCGCCCCCACCCCCCCCAAAGCGGTGTTCTTTTTTATACAAAGTCAGCTTATTGCCCCCACAATCCGGGTCCTCAATTTACCTACCTCGGAAGGATGAAAGGCTGAGTCAACCTTGAGCCTGGTGAGATTTGAACTCGCACGAATTGCAGGCAGCTGGCAGCTAAATGCTACATAACAGCACTTTAGTCCGCTGCACCCCCAAGGCACCACCAAGAATAGGTTCTGCTTTGTGTTGGCCATTGAAGCTTGAGGTTTTGATTTGTGGGGTCCTTGGTGCTCTCTGAGTTTGGTGGCTTTCTTGCAAACATTTCATGACCCAACTAGGTTACATCATCAGTGCTGGAAGGGAGTGGGGTTTGCTCTCTGACAGTGGAAATGGTCTTGGTGTCTCCTTCATTAGGCTGTTGTTTCCTCTTAGCTTACTGTTAGATTTTGATTCCCTCCCACCCCATTTTTTTTTATTTTTTTTTGCACAAGGCTGCAGATGATTGTGCCAAAGCTGTGATGAGCAACTTAAGCGCCCACGGAGTCAAGCTGGTGTTGCCTTCTTTGTTAGCCGCTCTCGAGGAGGATTCGTGGAGAACCAAAGCCGGTAAAAATTTTGTGCCTGGCCTTCTAAACCTCTTAGAGAGAGTTGTAAAGCACTGTGAAGCTCGCAAGCATTTGTTGCTATGTGTGCTTTACCAACTTTACACGGAAATTCTGATTAGGTGCAGTTGAAATGGCCATTCTTCTATTCCAGGAGTGACAATCTCAAGGCCCGGGGGCCAGATACGTCCCCCGCGGTACTTAGATCTGGCCCGCGGGGCTGCCCTGGAAACAGCGAAGGATCGGCCTGCAGTGCTTCTGCCAGTGAAGATGGGCTGGCTGAAACCCTCTGCCATGTTTCTGGCTGAAACCCTCTGCCATGTGCAGCCCTCCCGAGCTCTGTTTTCACTGGCAGAGGGTTGCAGGAGGCCTTGGCAGCCGGAAACGGAGCTCGGGAGCCAATTTTTGCTGGCAGAGTGCTTGGGCCACCATAGGCGCCCCCGACAGGAATGATGTTGAGCTGGCCACACACAATGTTATTATTAGCTGTTTTTAAAAATCGAGTGTTTTTGCTCCCAGAAGAAGAAAACGCGTGATGCCGCGGTCAGAAAAAACGCTGCCCAGGAACAAAAAAATTTTTTTGACTCAAATGTAACAACGGATGCTAGAATGTGATTCGGGGTGGAATTCCATGCTTAAAAATGTTATTATTAGCTGTTTTTAAAAATCGAGTGTTTTTGCTTCCAGAAGAAGAAACAGAGTATTATTATTATTCTATTATTCTACCCCTATAACCCGGATTTGCAAAAAAGCTGCAGGGACCAAAGTAAGGCATCAGCCATCCTCCCACCCAAGAAAAATTAGCCTTTTGATAGAAGCAGTTCCCCATCCAGGGAAATCTACCTTTGCGTGCTGAAGGAAATGCTCCCACCGGTTCTTCACTGCCTTCTCTTTATTGATCGTTTTCATGCAACTTTTCCCGCCACCGTAGTCCCTGAGAAAGATGGAATTTCATCGGCTTTCCAATATCTCATGGAGATTGTTCAGTCAAGCAGGTCCCGGTTGTCCCCAGAGGTGTTTTTTTCAAAAGGCAACTGGACTTTCTTTGGTTTTCCTTGAAGACGTTTCGCTTCTCATCCAAGAAGCTTCTTCGGTTCTCAGTCCAGTTCTTCTTCAGAACTGAAGGAGCTTCTTGGATGAGAAGCAAAATGTTGTTCTGCCCCAGTTACAGACCCCAAAGAACGCAGCACACACAAAGTCTGTGCAAACCTTAGTTTAGTAAATTAAATCAGTCTTTTTTTCAGACAAAGGCTGTTAATTAACTTTCTTAACAGCCTACAAGAATCCAAAGAATAAATAATCGTAACCTTACTATGGTTAGCAGAAAGCCCAGAAGCAATTTGCAGGGAACTAAGATCAAGACGCAAAGGAGAGTGAACGAAGTTGTTCCCTGCAAATTGCCTGTCGTCGTCCTTCCTTAAATAGGCTAAAGGAGTGGCCAATTAGCCCCAAGCCTTACTCTCGAGGAGACCTCCTCCTGAGGAGCCACTCCTGCCTTTTGGCAGCTCTGCGCGCCCGTGCATCGAGAAGAGGCTCCTCCTCTTCTTTGCTCTTCACTTATGGGAGCTTCTGGAGGTTCTGAAGGCCCTGGCTGAATCCCCGCCTCTGGCACCACATCTTCTCCAGCCTCCTCACTGTCCGACTCGAGTGCCAGCTGCACAGGCTGCTGGCGCAGCATCACACCAGCCTCCTCGCTGTCGGAATCAGCTACTAGCTGCACAGGCCGCTGACGGGCCACAACAAATGTCTTTGAGGAAAAACCAAGAAAATCCAGTTGCCTTTTGGAAAAAAAACACCTCAGGGACAACAGCAACAGCTACCATCCAATGTCACACAAAAAGAGGAGCAGTTAATTCCAGTTAATTCTACTCTCCTTGAATAGTTTCCGTCCATTGTTTCTTATCCTGCCTTCCGGTGCTTTAGAAAATAATTTGAGCCCCCTCTTCTTTGGGGCAGCCCTTCAAATACTGGAATCTTACTGTCATGTCACCCCTAGTCCTTCTTTTCTCTGGACTAACCAAACCCATTATTTATAATGGGTAGTTGATAGTACAGTGGTCTAAAGCACCCTGTTATTAAGAACAGCTGCCTGCAATTACTGCAGGTTCGAATCTCACCAGGCTCAAGGCTCAAGGTTGACTCAGCCTTCCATCCTTTCTAAGGTAGGTAAAATGAGGACCCAGTTTGTGGGGGCAATAAGCTGACTTTGTATAAATATACAAAAGGATGAAGGCTATTGCTTAACGCATTGTAAGCCGCCCTGAGTCTCCGGAGAAGGGCGGCATATAAATCAAATTTAAAAAAAAAATGCTTTAATCTCCAGGCCTTTAATCATCTTAGTTGCTCTTCTTCGCACTTTTTGCAAAGTCTCAATCTCCTTTTTGTAATCTGGGGACCAAAGCTGGATGCAGCATTCCAGGCGTGTCCTTAGTAAGGTTTTATAAAGCGGTACTAATACTTCACGTGATTTTGATTCTATGCCTCTGTTTATACAACCCAGGATCGTATTAGCTTTTTGGGCTGCCGCCGCGCACGATTAGCTCGCGTTTTAAGTGACCGTCCCCTCGGACTCCAAGGCTTTTCCGAACAGACTATTTCCCTTCCAGTGGATCATGAATTGGCTGTACCCAATTCCTACAAGTGGGACATGGGGGCTCAGTGGCTAAGACGCTGAGCTTGTCGATTGAAAGGTCGGCAGTTCAGCAGTTCGAATCCCTAGTGCCGTGTAATGGGGTGAGCTCACGTTCCTTGTCCCAGCTTCTGCCAACCTAGCAGTTCGAAAGCAGGTAAAAAATGCAAGTAGGAAAATAGGGACCACCTTTGGTGGGAAGGAAACAGCGTTCCGTGCGCCTTTGGCGTTGAGTCATGCCGGCCACATGACCACGGAGACGTCTTCGGACAGCGTGGCTCTTCAGCTTTGAAACGGAAATGAGCACCGCCCCCTAGAGTCGGGAACGACTAGCATATATGCGCGAGGGGAACTTTTCTCTTTAATTCCTACAACCCTCCTTCACACGCCCCTTAATCGTCTTAGCTGCTCTTCTTTGCAACTTTTCTAGGCTTTTAATTTGCTCCCGGCTCCCGAGACCTACTTGGGGTTCCAGCAGGAGATCAATGGCTTCATGCTACTGCTTGGCTCCAGCGTCAAAGCTTCCAGGAGCCAGTTGAGGGCGCAGAGCTGACGGAAGATGGAGTCGCTGTTGAGACAGAGAAAGGCAGGCGGACTGATTGACAGCAGGGGGGAGGGGGGGAAACAGGGAAGGGGCATGGAAGGAACATGCAGGAAGACTTGAGGCTCTCCTGACCAAGGGAAATGCTCAGAGATGCAGACCAGAAGTTCTGCTGACATCCATTTTACAGCTGAATTTCTCTCCGGAATTGGCTAATTTGCTATCATCCTTTCCCGTCCCTTGCCGGAGAGATTTCTAAGCAATGGGGGGGAGAGGGTACCTGCCTTGTCCTCTGCCCCAATGAATCCAGCTAAGGGGAAGAAGTTTTGAAAAAGGAGTTGGGGGGGGGGGTCTTAGCTGCTGAGAAACACGGGCTAGGGCCCCCCCCCCAGAGTTTTGGCTTCAGGATCCCGGGATCAACTGGACAAACTTGGCATCTTTATAGCAGTTTTCCTTGAAACTGAAATGACGGGAAAAGTTACCATTTCGAGGAAGGATTTGTGAACGTGGATTTTTACAAGTTCCTAGGAGATAATAATTGGGGACTTTGGCATAATTGAAGGCCGAATTGGAGCAAACGAGAAAGCTGGATCCAAAACCTCTCTCCCCCTCGCTCTCTCTTTCCCTTTCCCTCCTTTTCCCTTTCCCTCTCTTCCTCTCTCCCTTTCTTCCTCCCTCCTTCCCTCTCTCTCCCTCTGTCTCTCTTTCCCTTTTCCTCCTTTCTCCATCTCTTTCTCCCTCCCTCCTTCTCCCTTTCCCTCTCCTCTCCTTCCTCTCCCTCCCTCCTTCCCTCTCTCCCTCCCTTTCCTTCCCTCCCTCCTTCCCTCTCTCCCTCTTTCCCTTTCCCTCCTTCTCCTTCCCTCTCTTCCTCTCTCCTTCCTCTCCCTCCCTCCTTCCCTCTCTCCCTCCATCTCCCTTTCCCTTTCCCTCCTTCTCTCATCATCTCTATCTCCCTCCCTCTCTCCATTTCTCTCCCCCTCCCTCTCTTGCTCTGCCTCCCTCCCTCTTTCCTTCTTCTCCCTCCCTCCCTTTTCTCTTTTTAAAACAAACAGGGGCCCATTACAGATTTTTACCCCCTTTGTGAGACAGAATTAGAGACCAAAAAACCCCCAAGACGAGTGGCTGAACCTACAAATGCGCTTCCGGATGCTTTTCTGAAAGCAAGCCATTATGGATGGGGGTGAAAGGCCGAGCCATTTTCTTCTTCTTCTTCTTTTCTGTCTCGCTCACCAAGAAGCCTCCTGTTAAAAAGAACCTGGAGAGAGAGAGAGGAACAAAGAGAGATAAAGAGAGAGGGAGAGAGGGAGGGAAAGGGAGGGAGAGAGAGAGAGAGAGAAGGAGGGAGGGAGAGAGAGAGAAGAGAGGGGAGGAAGAGAGGGAGAGGAGGGGGAGGGAGGGTGGGAGGGAGGGAAGGGGGAGAGAAAGGGAGACAGGAGGAGAGAAAGAGAGAGAAGAGGGAGAGAGAGAGGGAGAGAGAGATGGAGGGAGGAAGAGGAGGGGGAGGGAGGGAGAGAGGAAGGGAGAGAGAAAGGGAGGCAGGAGGAGAGAAAGAGAGAGAAGAGGGAGAGAGAGGGGGAGGGAGAGAGAGGGAGGGAAGGGAGAGGGAGAAAGAGAGAAGAGGGGGAGGGAGGGAGGGAGGGAGAGAGAGGAGGGGAGAGGGAGGGAGAGATAGAGGGAGAAAGAGAGAGGAGGCAGAGGGAGGGAGAGAGAAAGGGAAAGGGAGGGAGCGGGAGAGAAAGAGAGAGGAGGGAGGGAGAAAGGAGGGAGGGAAGGGAGAGGGAGAAAGAGAGAAGAGGGGGAGGGAGGAAGGGAGGGAGGGAGAGATGGAGGGAGAAAGAGAGAGAGGAGGAGGGAGGGAGAGAGGAAGGGAAAGGGAGGGAGGGGGAGAGAAAGAGAGAGAGAGAGAGAGAGAGACACCAACGTACATCAGTAAAAAAGGGACGTGTTTGTGTGGGGGTGTTTCTCGCCAGCCGCCAGCCACCCAATTTCTGCCCACTCAGAAGTCCATCTTCATTAAAGGGCCGCCTGACACCCCCTCACCCCCCGCCAGTAAAGATGACCCCGCCTGCCAGGACCGCAAAATAATGTGGCTGGTTGTCCTCACGAATCCGTGTTGGCATTTTTCAGTCCCTGGCAGCTAGAAACGTCCTTTTTGGGCAAGAGCTGGGACGATCTCCTGACAGCCGGAGGCCCTTTGCAATCTTTCGGAGCAAAGGGACTTAGGAGGAAACAGCTCAGATTAACAGAGTTGGAAGGGACCCTTATAGGTCATCTAGTCCAACCCCCTGCCTAAGCAGGAGACCCTCCACCATTTCTGAAAAATGGCAGTCCAATCTCTTCTTGAAAGCCTCCAGTGATGAAGCTCCCACAACTTCTGAAGGCAACTTCTGCTCCATGGGTTGATGGTTCTCACTGTCAGAAAAATTCTCCTTATTTCTAGGTTGAATCTCTCCTTGGTTTCCATCCATTATTCCTTGTCTGGCCTTCGGGTGCTTTGGAGAATAGCTTGATCCCCTTCCTCCTCTCTGGGGCAGCCCCTCAAATATTGGAAGACTGCTCTCATGTCTCCCCTGGTCCTTCTCTTCACTAGACTAGCCATGCCCAGTTCCTGCAACCGTTCATCGTAGGTTTTAGCCTCCGGTCCCCTCATCATGAACTGCCCCCCGAGATACGAAATATCCCTGATCTCCGTGCTTTCCGCCGTGCCCTCAAGACCCTGATGTTCCAACAAGCGGGGCTAAACATAGGAACATGTGAATGTTTTTAAAATGTTATCTAATTTTAGGTTCTATTTAATTGGGCCAAACTATGCTATAATAATAATTTTAATTAGCAATTTTACGATGTTTGTGTATCTGTATTTTTCTTGACTGTGCACCGCCTTGAGTCCTACGGGAGAAAGGCGGTATAGAAATATAATAAATAAATAAATAAATAAATAAATAAATAAATAAATAAATAAATAAATAAATAAATCAATCAATCATCCTGGTTGCTCTTCTCTGCACTCTTTCTAGAGTCTCAAAATCTTTTTTATAGTGTGATGATCAAAACTGGATGCAGTACTCTAGGTGTGGTCTTACTAAGGCTTTATAGAGTGGTATTAGTACCTCCCTTGATCTTGATCGTATCCCTATGTTAATGCAGTTTAGGATTGCGTTGGCTTTTTTGGCTGCCGCTGCACACGGCTGGCTCATATTCCCCAGCCAGGTGTTTCTTAACCTTGGCGACTTTTAAGACTTGTGGACTTCAACTCCCAGAATTCCCCCAGCCAGCACTGTTTCTCAACCTTGGCTATTTTAAGGAGCGTAGACTTCAACTCCCAGAATTCCCCCAGCCAGTCTGAATGTAACATTAGACCTGGCCCAACCACCCACAGCAGGATTTGAGCTCGGTGTGGAGAACTTCAACTCCTGATGTCCACAGTCAAGGTGGTAAGAGGAAGCTGAGGTCAAAACCCAAAGCAGCTACTAGGGGGAAGAGAGGTCATCGGTCAATGCAGCAGGAGGGAGGTTGAGGGCACTTACTCGGGTTCGGATTCGGAGTCTTCCTCCGAGGATGAGGATGGGTAGCGAGGGGGCTGAAACTCCGTCCTTCTCCTCTGTTCCTCCCTCCGTTCTTCCAGGCTGGATACGTTCCTCCTCTTGATGGATTCTTGGCGAAGACTATGGAAATATCCCCGCCCGATCTTCACCGAGTTGATCAGATGCCTGCCGAAAAGGAGGAGGTGTCAAACGATGCATAAAGTGGAGTCTCCAAGCATAGTGGAGTCCACTCAGCTGTTTTAGCTGAAAGTCACCCAAAGTCACCCAGCCAGCATTCATGCCTAAGGTGGGACTAGAACTCACCGTCACCTGGTTATTGGCCCAAAGTCACCCAGGCAGCTTTCAGGCCTAAAGTGAAACTAGAATTCACCGTCTCCTGGTGATTGGCCCAAAGTCACCCAGTTGGCTTTTATGGCTAAGGCAGGACTAGAACTCACTGTCTCCTGGTGATTAGCCCAAAGTCACCCAGTTGGCTTTCATGCCTAAAGTGGAACTAGAATTCACCGTCTCCTGATGATTAGCCCAAAGTCACCCAACCAGCTTTCATGCCTATAGAGGAACTAGAACTCACAGTCTCCTGGTGATTGGCTCAAAGTCACCCAGCCAGCTTTCATGCCTAAGGCAGGACTAGAACTCACCGTCTCCCTGTTTCTAGCCTGGTGCCTTTACCACTAGACCAAACGGGCATTCAAAGCCACCAAAGTTGGCTAATTCGCAAATTGGCCGTGTTCTCGGAGAGCGACTTTGCCCTGCTCCAAATCGTCAACTCTCCCTGAGCCTGCGGGAGCCGAGTGCGAAAGCTTCCCCGTGTAACCTGACGCCAAAGGAGCATCCCGTAGGCCGACGTACCCTGATGGCAGATGAAGCCACTGGCTACCCCGCCAGCCAAGGATCTGGCCTCGGTTCTCCTTGGCGTAACCGCCGCAGCTCTCTCTGCCACCTCCACCGTTTTTTTTGGAAACCGAGCACACCGAACGTGGAACGTGGCACGGTGAAGCCTCCCAATGGGCAGGGAAGCTGACGTCCTTTGTGCTCGTAATCGTCCTCGAACATCCAGTTGGGCTTTGCGAGGGCCAAACAATGAAACGACATTCATCTGCTTGTACGACAGCAGGGCGACGTGACAGCTCTTTGTCTCCCGTTCCCAGACATGGCATTTGGGCGGGCGGAGGTGGGGGCGGGGGGGGGGGAGCGTTGATTGTGGGGGAAAAAAAAACCCCGCAATTGTATGGAAATGTGAAAGCTTGGGAAGCCGGGCGATCTACGGCGAAGATCCTGCGAATAAACTGGACTTAACTAGACTGTGTGTTGTATGTCTTGGTCATAGAATACATGTGGGTATATACATCATTTTGTATTTATTGTTATTTATTTATCCTGTCATGTTTATGTAGTGTAAAATTGGGAGGTGGTGATCCTTTGAGAGCAACGAAATTTCATTTTTAATCTCTGCCAATTAGTGTACTGTACATTCAAAGTGACAATAAAACTATTCTATTGTATTCCATTCTACCTATTCTATTCTATTCTATTCTATTCTATTCTATTCTCTATTCTATTCTATTCTATTCTGCATTTTATTCTATTTTTCTATTCCTATTCTTCTCTTCTCTTCTCCCCTCCCCTTCTACTCTACTCTACTCTATTATTTTCTCTTTACTCTACTCTGCTCTGTACTCTTCTCCTCTCTTCCCTTCCCTTCTACTTATTATTCTATTCTATTCTATTCTATTCTATTCTATTCTATTCTATTCTATTCTATTCTATTCTATTCTAATTTTCTATTCTATTCTATTCTATTCTATTCTAATTTTCTATTCTATTCTATTCTATTCTATTCTATTCTATTCTATTCTATTTATTCTATTCTATTCTAATTTTCTATTCTATTCTATTCTATTCTATTCTAATTTCTATTCTATTCTCTATTCTATTCTATTCTGCATTTTATTCTATTTTTCTATTCCTATTCCTATTCCTATTCTCTTCTCCCCTCCCCTCCCCTACTTATTCTCTTCTCTTCTACTCTACTCTACTCTATTATCTTCTCTTTACTCTACTCTGCTCTGTACTCTTCTCCTCTCTTCTCTTCTCCTCTCTTCCCTTCCCTTCTACTTATTCTTCTCTTCTCTTCTCTTCTCTTCTCTTCTCTTCTCTTCTCTTCTCTTCTCTTCTCTTCTCTTCTCTTCTCTTCTCTTCTCTTCCTCTCCTCTCCTCTCCTCTCCTCTCCTCTCCTCTTAAGACAGCTGGCCTTGCTCCTTAGGAAAAAGCCACCCATGTACACAATTGCATTATGATACTTAACAGAACAGCAGAATAACAGAGTTGGAAGAGACCTTGGAGGTCTTCTAGTCCAACCCCCTGCTGAGGCAGGAAACCCTACACCACTTCAGACAAATGGTTTATCCAACCTCTTCTTAAAAACTTCCAGTGTTGGAGAATTGATAACTTCTTGAGGCAAGTTGTTCCACTGGTTAATTGTCCTCACTGTCAGGAAATTTCTCCTTAGTTCTAGGTTGCTTCTCTCCTTGATGAGTTTCCACCCATTGCTTCTTGTCCTGCCCTCAGGTGCTTTGGAGAAGAGCTTGACTGCCTCTTCTTTGGGGCAGCCCCTGAGATATTGGAAGACTGCTATCATGTCTCCCTTGGTCCTTCTTTTCATTAAACTAGACACACCCAGTTCCTGGAACCATGTTCTTCATATGTTTTAGCCTCCTAATCCTCTTCCTTGCTCTTCTCTGCACTCTTTCTAGAGTCTCCACATCTTTTTTACATCATGGCGACCAAAACTGGATGCAGGATTCCAAGTGTGGCCTTACCAAGGCACTCTTTGATAAGCTACTATCCAATTCAGCTTGTCCTGCCTTCAGATGCTTTGGAGAATAGCTTGACCCCCACTTCTTTGGGGCAGCCCCTGAGATATTGGAAGGCTGCTATCCTGTCTCCCCTAGTCCTTCTTTTCATCAAACTAGACATACCCAGTTCCTGCAACCGTTCTTCCTATGTTTCAGCTCTCCAGAACCTCTTAAATGTATGCATGTATTCCACTTGTATACAATTGAATCAATAGAACTCTAGGGGATATTTACGAAGCGGTTGACTCCCAAAATCCATAAACAGGTTAAAAAACATCCAGGGTGAGCATAAATTAAATCTAATTAATTTTCTAAATTAAAACATTAAATTAAAAAAGTAATTAAATTTTGGAGAATAGATTGACACGCGGCTGAGTATTAAAGGTACAGGCAGCCCTGGGGATATTTGGGACACTGAGTGGTGTTTTCAGCTGGTTTTAGAAAATACACTTTTCCCAAAAGGTTTCCACAATTTTGGCCACTACTGTGCAACGGTTCGTTTAGTGACCTTACGATGTCACAACAGCGCTGGAAAAAAGTGACTGTTGAAGCATCTCCCATGCTCACCCGATCGAAATTCGGACGCTCGGCAAACTAACTCACACTTATGACGGTCGCAGAGTCCCGGGGTCCCGTGATTTCCCCCTTTAGCGACCTTCGGCCAAGCAGAGTCAACGGGGATAGCCAGATTCACTTAACAACTGTGTTTACTAACTTTTAACAACTGCAGGGGATTCGCTCCACCCTTGTGGCCGGAAAAGTCGTAAAATGGAGCCGAACTCACTCGACAATGGTCTCGCTTAGCAACCGAAATGTCGACTTCCATTGTGGTTGGTAAGTGGAACTTTGAAAGAAGCAAAGCAATTCAATCTTGACAAGTCCAGTATTTGAGGGGCTGCCCCAAAGAAGAGGGAGTCAAGCTACTCTCCAAAGCACCTGAAGGCAGGACAAGAAGCAACGGGTGGAAACTGAACAAGGAGAGATTCAACCTGGAAATAAGGAGAAACTTCTTAACAGTGAAAGCAATTAACCAGTGGAAGAGCTGAATTGCCTGATCATCAGAGGCTTTTTTTTCCTTTTAAATGTCTAAAGGCAACTCAGCTTGGATCGTCAGGCATCGTCTTGGATTGTCAGCTTGGATCGTCAAACACAGCTTGACGATCAGGCAACTCAGCTTGGATCGTCAGAGGCATGTAAAAGAAAAAAAAAGCCTCTGATGATCACGCTGCTCAGCTGCGCATGGGAGGGGGGGGCAGGCAGGGATTTTTGCTACCAGTTCTCCGAACCACCCACCTCCATTGCTACCAGATCGGGCGATCCAGTCCGAACCGGGAGCATTTCATCCCTGTCTGTGGGGGTGGGAAGAGGGGGGCAAGTTGTCGTAGACTCCCTTAAGAGCTCCCAAATTTTGGACTTCTGCAGCATCTTAACGGCACTGCCCTCATTAAAATGCAAATGCATTTCAAACGAACTTCGCAATACATCGATTAAGAGTAATTGAGCACCGGCTGACCGTACGCTGCGAACATATATTTTCCTGCCACCTGCCAGACAAGGGCAGTGTCTTCCTTCTAAATGAATAACTTTCGTCAGCGGGGAAAAACAAAGAGGTATTTTTTTTTTTTTTTGCGAGAGCTAATCATTTGCAGCAGCAGAATTCCCCAGCTGCTTTATGAAATTGAATTAACATAGATAAAGGTCAGCCTTGGGCTGTTGCCAAATAAAAATGACCCAGCGACGAAGGAAGTATATAAGTTGACTGTAAATGCACTTTTGGGGGCCGGTTCGGCGAGGCCGAGACGCGCGTTTCATTACGTTTAAACCCGAGCGATTTGTTAATTCCGACAGAGTTTGAGAAAGGATCGAGACAAATCTTTGCTTCTGGTCTTACCGAGGTCCCTGATACACAACATCTGTGTATCAGGGAAATACACAGCAAGATGAAATAAAAAGATGAAATGAAAGATGAAATTTTTTATTTTAAAAGATGTAATAAAAGCAAATGTGCAATCGATTCATTTTCGGCTCAGCGGGAAGCTCAGCTGGGCTGTAATGAAAATTAAAAGGAACGTTTCGTGGGAAAGGAGAAGTGGCTGACCGGGGTACGTTCAGCGGAGGGTTCAAGATATAAAATCTAAGCCTTCGGCGATGGAAAAGCGTTTTTCAAAATATGGGTTTTACCAATGCTTACTGGAGTGCTAAGAACATGTTGTGGCCTTCCAGCGGCCAGCAGAGCTAGTGGGAGACTCAGACAGTGAGGAGGTTGGGGAGGAACGTGGGCCAGTCCTGGAGTCTGGGGAAGGCTCGGATGAGGGCTCTGCGTCGGAGGCAGAGAGAGAGCCAGGGCCGTCTGACAGCTGTCAGCTGCCTTCGGAGTCGGACATCAGTGGGGCAGAAGAACAGCTGGATCCTGTTCCCAGTGGGCGCATGCGCAGAGCTGCCAGGAGAAGGGAACAGCTAAAGAACAAGGGTCAACTCAGGAGTAAAGCCACAGGTGGACAGTGAATGCCCCCCACCCCGAGGGAATAAAGAGGAGCGAAAGGGAGAACCTCTAGCTAAGATTCTGTGCAGTTTGAAGAAACCCCCAAATCCCACTCCTGGCTGGCCTTGCCCGCCCCTCCCAGGAGTCCCCATGTGGCCCGTTTTGAATGAAGGTAAGTGCAGGGCACGTGCGGAGGCTCGGGGAAGGCGAAAAATGGGCCTACCGGAAGTTCGGGAAGGCCAGAAACAGGCCCTTTTCCGGCATCCAGAGGGCCTCTGGAGCCTGGGGAGGCCGTTTTCGCCCTCCCGGAGGTTCAAGAAAAGCCTCCAGAGCCTGGGGAGGGCAAAAACGCCCCCTCCGCCGTGGTGCAGGAGGCCGACTAGGCCACGCCCACCATGGCCACGCCCACCCAGCAACTGGGCGGAGAACCCTTTGCTAAAAGTTGTGAAGCCCCACCCCTGCCTTGATTGCCCCAATTCAAGTACGACCTTTGGAGGTTTGCAAGGGTGGATGATGAGCAATAGGAAAGTACAAGACAAAGAATTAGCCATGGCTGAGTCGTGATTGATTCGGGGGCCTTAACGCTTCGCTGAAGTGTCTTCACTTTGCAAAGCCGACAGCGGCTGTTGACGGAGGTTGGGGGGGAGTCTCAGCTCATCCGTGAACCGGCTCACTTAAAAGAAATATCTGGGCCTAACATTAAACCCGAGTCGCCATTAAATTATACCACGTCTATCTTCTTCATGTTACTTCCTTTGATCACCCCGGGAAGAAATGCCTGGGAGGACATCTTGTTCCTCCTGGAAGGGAACGCTTTGATTTATTTATAAAAAAAGTTTTGAAACACATCAACAAACAGAAGCGGTAGCTACAGACGTAGGAAAGGGGAACCCCCCACCCCCCCCCCCCGGAAAGGAAAAAAAAAAAGTAATAAAATGTCAGGAAATAAAGAGGGAGTTTGCCACTGTTGGGAAATCCAAAATTCCGTTATTTCATAATGAATTGATTGTATTAGAATATGGTATCAAGTTGTTGTTGTTTTTTTAAAAAGAAAATAATTGGAAATCTATACAAAACTCAGGACAGGACATTAATATTATGAATTGATCATTAGTTTGAGGATAAAGGTATGGGTGGGTGAGCCTCGACTTACGACCACAGCTTGAGACCAACTTTTTTATCGCTAAGCAAGTTAGTCATTAAGTGAGGTTTGCCCCATTTTACACCGTCTCCTGGTGATTGGCCCAAAGTCACCCAGCTGGCTTTCATGGCTAAGCCAGTCCTAGAACTCACAGTCTCCTAGCCTGGTGCCTTAACCATAGACCAAACCAGCTCTCTATATGTTTACCAGTCAAGTGGGAATGCTTGGATCAACATATCTTCATTCAAATGCCTACATTCAGTTTCTGGAAGGGTGCCTTAAAGCTTCAAGACCGTTTCCATGGCTCTCTACATTTCTTCAGGGGGCTCAGATAAGCCCTACCTGGTGTAATGATAAGCCTTTCACTTCCTTTGTGTGATGCTCTCTGAAAAAGCAATGAAGAGACAGAGAGAGACAGAGAGAAGAGAAAGGGGGGAGGGAGAGAAAGAGCAGAGAGAGAGAGAGAGCAGAGAGAGACAGAGAGGGAGGAAGAGAGAGAAGAGAGAGAGAGGAGAGACACAGAGATGGAAGAGAAAGAGGGGAGGAGGGATGGAGGGAGAGAGAGAGGAGAGAGAGAGACAGAGAGGGAGGAAGAGAGAGAGGAGAGACACAGAGATGAAAGAGAAAGAGGGGAGGAGGGATGGAGGGAGAGAGAGAGAGGAGAGAGAGAGAGAGAGGGAGGAAGAGAGAGAGGAGAGACAGAGAGGGGAGAGAGAGACATAGAGAGAGGGAGATAGAGAAGGAGGGAGGGAGGAAGAGACACAGAGACAGAGAGAGGAGAGACAGAGACACACAGAGAGAAAGACAGAGAGGGAGGGAGGGAAAGAGAGAGAAGAGAGAGAGAGAGGAGAGAGACAAAGAGGGAGAGAGAAGACAAAGACAGGGGAGGAGGGATGGCGCGAGAGAGAAAGAGAGAGACAGACAGACAGAGAGAGGAGAGAGAGACACACACAGGGAGACAGAGGAGGGAGGGAGGGAGAGAGAAATGGTTCTTTTGTTCATAGTTCAAGGTGAGCTTCCTACCTCATCTGGGCGAGGTCTCTCGGGAGAGTCCTCAAATCCTTCTCGATATGTCGAATAGGCAGAAGTTTCTTCTCTGGTTCCAGGAGCTAAATTAAACAAAGGCCAGCAGAAAACAAAAGGAAACTGTAGTTCACAATAACCACGACTTAATCTTCCCTCTAATTCGGGAGAGTAACTGAAAATAACCAGCAGAGGCAGCTATACCCAACGTGTCTCCTCTCAGCCTAAATTCTGGGAACTTGTTTTTTTTTTTTTTTTCAAAAAAAGGGGAAACTCTGTGATGGAGTTTCCATAGCAACGTCTTGGCCATTTTGGACACCATTTTGACTTGTTTTGACCCTGTCCTGTGGGACATTCCTGCCCGCAGGACCAGCTAATCCAGCATTTCATCGGATCGGGGTTAAAACTTACCTTTGCTTTCGACTTTTTGGAAAGCTCGGTTTCTACCGGTTCGGCTAATTCTTCCAGAGCCAAGTCTTCTTTGCAGAGATCCTGAAACGAGAGGCAACAGGTTGGTTGGTTGGCACATCGTCTTGGCATAAAGAATCTGCAAGGTTCATGGGAAAATAGAATAACAGAGTTGGAAGGGACCTTGGAGGTCTTCTAGTCCAACCCCCTGCCTAGGCAGGAAACCCTACACCACTTCAGACAAATGGTTATCCAACCTCTTCTGAAAAACTTCCAGTGTTGGAGAATTCACAACTTCTGGTGGCAAGCTGTTCCACTGATTAATTGTTCTCACTGTCAGGAAATTTCTCCTAAATTCTAGGTTGCTTCTCTCCTTGATTCGTTTCCACTCATTGCTTCTTGTCCTACCCTCAGGTGCTTTGGAGAAGAGCTTGACTCCCTCTTCTTTGGGGCAGCCTCTGAGATATCGGAACAAATCATCCAGGACTGGATATTGATCATGAAAAATAAAAAATAAAAAAATAGTACTTTCCAACCAGAGCAGCTTTAAGCTTTGTCGGACTTTCCAACTTTCTAGAATGCTGGCTGGCGAATTCTGGGAGTTGAAGTCCACACAGCTTGAAGTTGCCAGGGCTGAAAAACATTGTTTCTAAACACCTCCAAATTATAATCTGGAAAGGGGATTCTGCATGGCAGCAAGGAAACCTCTTGGCGTCTCTTAGTTGATGGAATGTTTATGAATATTCCCGGGCATCAGATCCTTTAGCAGCAGCTGTCTGTCTGTGAAAGGCATTTTTTTAAAGAGAGAGTGGCTGCTAATTATAAACTTGGCTACAGAGCATGGAGAGAAAACTCTTTGGACATGGGTTCTCCATAATATTTTGAGGAAGGAAGGAAGGAAGGAAGGAAGGGAGGAAGGAAGGAAGGAAGGAAGGAAAGAAAAAAAGCAGGAAGGAAGGAAGGAAGGAAAAAAAGAAGGAAGAAAAGAAGGAAGAAAAGAAGGAAGAAAAGAAGGACCTTATGTACCTTATGACTACCATTAAGTGTTGTACCTTATGATTCTTGACGAACGTAACTTCTCTTTTTATGCACACTGAGAACATATGCACCAAAGACAAATTCCTTGTGTGTCCAATCACACACTTGGCCAATAAAGAATTCTTTCTATTCTATTCTATTCTATTCATGTCACCCCCTAGACTGTTCTTCATATGTTTTAGCCCCAAGCCCCCCGATCATCTTTGTTGCTCTTCTCTTCACTCTTTTTAGGGCTTCAACATCTTTTTTTAGGTTTAGATTACACGCTTTGGATTCTATCTTCCGGAAGAGATTTGCCTAATTTTCCTGCAGTTTAGGAAGAGAGGTATAATAATATTATATATATATATATTATTGTTACTCGTTGGATGTAAAACTTTCATCCACCATCCAACCAACCTGCAGCTTTCCCGCCTCTCTTGATCTTGTTGTGTTATCGACAAATCTCTCCACTTGTTCTATCTGGGCTAAGTGACTGTTTTCAGGGCTCGCTTTAATCTTTGATCTAAGACTGCAATGTTTATTCTTTGATTGTGGGCAACTTTGAGACCTTCTAACAGGGAAAAGAGAGAGAGAGAGAGACATCAAAAGTTTTGGGGGCTGCACTCCTGCCCTTATTGACGATATCAGATTACTCTTTCCATCTTCCAACTCTTGTTTTTTTCTTTTTCAAGAATCTTCATTTTATCATTGCTGCTCTAATTAGGAAAAAATGATAGATAGATAGATAGATAGATAGATAGATAGATAGATAGATAGACAGATAGACACCCTATTTCTCCCAAAATAAGACATCCCCTGATAATAAGCACAATCGGGCTTTTGAGTGCATGGCAATAAGGCCAAGCACTTATTTCAGGGTTCAAAAAAATATAAGACAGGGTCTTATTTTTGGGGAAACACGGTAGATAGATAGATAGATAGAGATAGAATATTGTATATATGATAGATACTGTAGATAGATAGTTAGATATAGATAGATAGATAGATAGATAGATAGATAGATAGATAGATAGATATAGAAATAAATATTGTATATATGATAGAAAGATACTGTAGATAGATAGATAGACAGATAGATGGATGGGTGGATGGATGGATATAGAAATAAATATTGTATATGATAGAGAGATAGAGAGAGAGACAGAGAGAGATAGAAATAAATATTGTATATATGATAGATAGATAGATAGATAGATAGAGATAGATAGATAGATAGAGATAGATAGATAGAGATAGATAGATAGATAGATAGATAGATAGATAGATAGAGATAGATAGAGATAGATAGATAGATAGATAGATAGATAGATAGATAGATAGATAGATAGATAGAGATAGGTAGATATACAGTAGTGGCCAAAATTGTGGGAACCTTTTGGGAAAAGTGTATTTTCTAAAACTAGATAATAACACCACTTTTTTGGGGGAGTAGTACCATAAAATTATATATCAATGAAAAGATAATTTAATCAAGAATGTAATGCAATAACTTTTATGAAGGATTTGCTATTAGAATAGCAGTTACAGTATAACGAAGAAAAGAGAGTGCCTCCAGAACGCTGTGTCAGGTGCGAACCCTGTTCAGGATTGTCCATTGCTGACGTGGTATTTCAAAGCCTTGGTGGGGTTATTTATAGGTCTTCCTAAATCTTTTGACTTTGCTGGTCAAAAGTTTGCAAAAGTTGATCCTGGGACTCCACGAGCTTCATCAATAGGAACCATTTTACCAAGTGCCCGACTTTGGATTACGTGACCACGGAATGCTACAACAGTCGTAAGTGTGAAAAGCCGTCAGAAAGTCATTTTTTTTTCCTGTGCTGATGTAACTTTGGTCACTAAAGGAATGGTTGTAAGTCAAGGACTACCTGTGTTGAGTTTTACTTTTGAGGTGGAAACTCGCTGGAGAGTCAGGATGATGGCAGAGAGCCTATTCCACGTACGGTTTGCTAATTGAAAAGGAACGAAAGGTATTATATTTTGCCTGTTTCGGCGAGAGGCTCCAAACTCAAGCCTGTACATTTTCTCAAGAGATTGTTAAAGTATGCATTATTAATGTTAATTGCTAATGTCTGTCTGGCGTTATTCTCCCCACCCCTCTCTCTCTGTCTCTCTCTTTCTTTCTGGTATTCAGATTTATTTTTACTAAATCCTCACGCCTGTAAGAAACACAAAAGCTTAATTAAAAGTAGCAAATCAGTGGAAGGAAAACATGAAATGAATTAGATGAGCTTGAGAAATTCTCCAAAGCCTTCCAGGGGCGGGTTGTGGGGGGGTTCAAACTAGGCTTCTGTCGGAAAGGTGGGAGGGGGTGAGGGGAAATTCCCGCTCCGGATCAGGCTGTCCCGTGAATTCTGCTGGGCAAGGATTGCTGCTGGTTCTAGGAAGCTATATTAAGAGAAAAAGAACAATAATGTAAAAACGAGAGGGGAGTTGATGAAGAAGTGAGGATGAGAAAAATCAATCAGAATAGAGCTGAAAGGGACCCTGGAGGTCTTCTAGTCCAACCCCCTGCTCAAGCAGGAGATCCTATATCATTCACACAGCTGGCTGTCCAGTCTCTTCTTAAAAACCTCTTGTCAGCGCTTCGACGCTGGCATAGAGAGCAGAAGGGAGAGAGATAAGCTCTGAACTTTTGCCTGCTAAATCCCTTTGAAGTCGGGTTGTCGTGGAAATGAAGGGGGGGGAGACATTCCTGGGAAATGACGAGACAAGAAGTCTGAAGAATGACTTGGAAGATAGCCAATGAGAAGCAGAGATTTGGGGATCGGAAAGGGAGGGATTGGGGGGCAAAAGGTCAGTCTTGTCCGCATCGAGTCATGATCCGGTGGCTGTGCTCAATTAAAGAAAAGATTTCCTTAAAGATTGGCAGTTTGGAAATTCATTTATTTTGAGATAGCATCGAAGTCTGACACCTCTATGGATGGAGTTCTGGTGGTAAGCTGTTCCACTGGTTGATTGTCTTCAGTTAGGAAGCTTCTCCTTAATTCTAGGCTGCTTCTTTCCTTGATCAGTTTTCAACCATTATTTCTTGTCCTGCCCACTGGTGTTTTGGAGAATAATTTGACCCCCCTCTTCTTTGTGGCAGCCCCTCAAATACTGGAATCCTGCTATCATGTCACCCCGAGTCCTTCTTTTCTCTGGATTGGCCAGACCCAAATCCTGCAACTGTTCTTCATACGTTTCTTTTTGTCTCCAGACAAAAACTGCGGCAGGAACGGTTGTTCAATGGGGTGAAAACTCACTTAGCAACTGTCTTGCTTAGCGACAGACATTGTGGGCTCCATCGTCGTATGTCGAAGACTTCTTACACCTGCGTCCTCCTTCAGTTTTTCTCGTAACGTCTTTCTTTTCTCTGCATTCCCTGTTAAAACACGTTTGGAGAAAACGCATCTGGTGAAGACACATTGGTGGAGAATTTGGCTAGCTTTACGTTCTGGCTCTTTTCTGCAGATCGGCCAAAATTTATTTTCCAATGCCAAACCGCCATCCGGATTCGGCTTGCCAGAGCTCAAATGCTTGTTAATCGTGGTCTGTAGCAGGGTTTAGATTTTTCCCGGAATCTCGTAACCTAAACGGTCTAAAAGATCTCTTTTCATTCCTTGCAATGTCCAGAAGCGTCCTGGGTAATATTATTTTTTTCTATAATTATCAGCTGCCGTGGGAGGATTCCAGGCTTAATGGCAGTCTAAAAATAAGTTTCTAATAAATAATGTTAAAACAATAAGCAGGAGAGAGGCTTGCAACGGTGCTCATAAGGGGGAAAATCCTCTCTGCTGTACATACAGCAATATCAACGTTTGTCGTTCGTTGCGTTCGTGTTTTTACTCTGACGAGATTTTTTTCCTCCCGTCTGGCTAAGAACATGCAGAGCTGCTGCCTCTCGCTCCTCGGCCTGCCTACTTCTGGGATACTGTGAATAAACATTAACAGAACTGCTGGGTGGTATAATTGGATTGCTGCTTTTAAAATGCACGAGCTGTTTCCGACATAAATCCAATTAAAGTCTTACTTAAATTTAGGCTGGGAAGGATTCCGGAGTTATTTGATTCGCCCTTGGTCTTATTCACCCTTGCAATGTAATATCTGAAAAGCACCGTTTTTCCCCCCACCCTTGTGTAGTCTGCATTTAAAAGAGAAAGCATGAGAGAGAGAGAGAGAGCATGAGAACAAGAGAGAATGAGAGAGAGGAGAGAGACAGACAGAACAGAGAGAGAGAACTAGAGAGAGGAGAGAAAGAGAGCATAAGAACAAGAGAGAGAGAATGAGAAAGAGAGGAGACAGACAGAACAACAGAGAAAGAACTAGAGAGAGAAGAGAGAGAGCATAAGAACAAGAGAGAGAGAACGAGAAAGAGAGGAGACAGACAGATAGAACAGAGAGAGAGAACTAGAGAGAGAAAAGAGAGAATAAGAACAAGAGAGGGAGAGAATGAGAAAGGAGAATGAGAGAGAGACAGAGAATAAGAGAGAGACAGAGAGAATGAGAAGAGAGAACGAGAATGAGAGAGAATGAGAGAACGAGAGAGGATGAGGCAGGATGAAAGAGAAAGAGAACGAGAGAATGAGAGAGAAGGTGAAGGGAGAATGAGTTAGAGAACTAGAGAAAGAGAGAATGAGAACAAGAGAGAGAATGAGAGAGAGGAGAGAGAGACAATGAGAGAGATACAGAGAGTAAGAGAGAGAATAAGACACAGAGAAAAAGAATAAAAGAACGAGAGAGAACAAGCGAGAGGACAAGCGAGAGACAGAGAGAATGAGAGAATGAGAATAAGAGAACGAGAAAGAACGAGAGACAGAAAGAGGATGAGAGAGGACAAGAAAAAAAATGAGACAGAAAGAGAACAAGAGAGAATGAGAACGAGAGCGAGAGAATGAGATAGAGAGAGAATGTGAACAAGAGAGAGAGCGAGAGAGAATAAGAGTCAGAGAACTAGAGAAAGAGAGAGAGAGAAAGAGAGAGAGAGATATGCAGACTTGATAACTTCTGGACTCTGACTTTATTGCCTAATGCCCAACTGCCAGTGCCATGTTGAATTGGGCACCAGATACTTCTTTTATAAGAGTTGTTAGCGGCCACCAAAGATTAAAAAGCCATCATTAATTATCTCCCGGAGCTCGTTGAAAAAGCATGTTCCACCTTTCGCGGCAAAGATCCATGGTCTGTCACTGGCGTCAGAACAGAACAGAACAGACAACAGATTTGGAAGGGACTTTGGAGGTCATCTAGTCCAACCCCCTGCTTAAGCTTTCCTATACCATTCCAGATAAATACTTGTCCAATCTCTTCTTGAAGACCTCCAGTGATAGAGCACCCATAACTTCTGGAGGCAAGTTGTTCCACTGGTTAATTGTCCTCACTGTCAGGAAATTTCTCCTTAGTGCTAGGTTGCTTCTCTCCTTGGTTAGTTTCCACCCACTGCTTCTTGTCCTGCCCTCAGGTGCTTTGGAGAATAGCTTCACTCCCTCTTCTTTGGGGCAGCCCCTCAAATATTGGAAGACTACTATCATGTCTCCCCTGGTCCTTCTTTTCATTAAACTAGACATACCCAGTTCCTGCAACCGTTCCCTTTCATTCTTTTTCCTTCCTTTCCCTTTCCTTTCCTTTCCTTCCCCTTCCGTTCCCTTCCCCTCCTCCTCTTTTCCTTTCCTTTCCCTTCCCCTCCTCCTCCTTTGCCTTTTCTTTTCTTTTCCTTTTTCTTTTTTCTTTTCCTTTCCTTTCCTTCTTTCTTCCTTTTTTTTTTTTTTTTTTAAATTGTTTTATATGCCGCCCTTCTCCGGAGACTCAGGGCGGCTTACAATGTGCTCAGCAATAGCCTTCATCCTTTTGTATATTTATACAGTCAGCTTATTGCCCCCACAACTGGGTCCTCAATTTACCTACCTTAGAAAGGATGGAAGGCTGAGTCAACCTTGAGCCTTGGCGAGATTCGAACCTGCAGTAATTGCAGGCAGCTGGTCTTAATAACCAGCTTAATAACAGGGTGCCTTAGACCACTGTACTACCAAGGCTTTCCTTTCCTTTCCTTTCCTTTCCTTTCCTTTCCTTTCCTTTCCTTCTTTCCTTTCCTTTCCTTTCCTTTCCTTTCCTTTCCTTTCCTTTCCTTTCCTTTCTCTTCCCCTCCCCATTTCCTTCCCATCCCATCCCATCCCATCCTCACTGTCAGGAAGTTTCTCCTTAATTCCAGGTTGCTTCTCTCCTTGGTTAGTTTCCATCCGTTGCTTCTTGTCCTGCCCTCAGGCACTTTGGAGAATAGCTTGACTCCCTCTTCTTTGGGGCAGCCTCTTTAGTTCTTATCCTGTCTCTTTTTTTGCTTCTTTGCCAGTGAGCATAAAGTGACTTTGCCTGATCGGGTTTATTATTAGTGACATTAATAAAAGGACCCAGTGCCGCAGCCAATGCAGTTTCTTCTGAGGCTAAACCAGCTGCTGTGTGAGGAATCGGTGCCAGAGGCATTTGTCATCTTACATTTTTCACGTTGACACGTTTTCAGGCATGTTTTGTTCCCAAGCTGGACTCCAACCTGACAATTTGGACGTCGAGGTTGCGAAAGAAGAGTCCCGAGTTTGGAAGGAAATCAGCTTTTCTGGAGCCAAAAGGTAGAAATGTATTAACCGTCGGACACTTGGATAATCAGCGATTCTCAAGAAGAGTTAACCCATTCGGCAGGTTTCAAAATAAACAAACAGAAAACAACAATGTTGACTAAGAATGTGTCTTCTCAGGATAGTGATATATTGAAAAAAAAGTCGTGTTTTAGGGTCGAGAAAAAGGGGTTAAGTTGAGAAATAAATAAAACTGTTTGAAAATACCGTATTTTTTGGAGTATAAGACGCTCCGGACTAGAAGATGCACCTACCTTTTTTGGTGAGGAAAACAAGAAAAAGAAATCTGCCTCTGCCTCCCAGCAATGTTCCCTCGTTGCAGCAAACAGCAAACAGCCTGCTTTACTTTCATTTTCGTTTTCAGCATAGCTTGATGAGCACAAGAAAAAAAAAATCTGCTCCCAGCAATTTACCTCCTTGCAGCAAGCAGCAGAGGCTCTAATCCTCTAATGAAGAATCATCAAGTCGCCTGTCAGGGTTCCAACGGATGCCATAATTAAATCATGAGCCTCGAGCCAAGCTTCGAAAGAAATCCAATTATTTATTAGGAGCTCCATGTTGGCATGTTCCCAAATGAAGCCAACTCTGACCCCACATAATTTACAGCCCTAATCATGACCCTGTTTCCCCCCTCCCCCCAGGGTATGTCATCAATCACATTTGCCAACAGAGCAATTTCGCAGGTTGTAGAGATCACTCCCCTCCAGCTGCTGTGGGTAACCCTGGGAGACAGCCTTGAGAAAGATATGTCTGAAATGTGCTCCTGTCTTTGGCTGCCATGTTGCTTTGTCGGTTTCCCATCCCACTTGCCTATGGCAACTCGAGAGCAGCCAGGGATGCTTTGCGAGTTGACCTCGTAACTCTAGAAACCTATGTCTGGTTTTTCTTCCTTCCCTTTCTCCCTCTTAATCCTGTTTCCTTTCATGCAATGTCTTCCATGAATCAGCTGCTGATTTAACAGACAACAGGTGATTTAACAGACAACTGATGATTTAACGGACAACTGATTTAACGGATAACTGATTTAACGGACAACTGATTTAACAGACAACTGATTTAACGGACAACTGATTTAATGGACAACTGACAATTTAATGGATAACTGATTTAACGGATAATTGATGATTTAATGGGTAACTGGTGATTTAACGGATACCTGGTGATTTAATGGATAACTGAAGATTTAACAAAAGATGCACACACTTACCGGAGGTAGCTGTCCCAGACCGTGGAGTGTGAGTTTTCTGGGATCGAGGTAAAGCGGGTCTCCGAAATCCTGATAGGGTTTCCAGCAGGGGGTAAAATACCCCTGTTGCGAGAGTTGTTTGGCTCTCCGATGATAGCTCTCTCGAAATACTTGTTCTCTCGGGACATCCCAGCAATTGTAGATGGTTTTGCTCCGCGCCTGGATCTTTAAACCTTTCTGGGGAGGGATAGGCAGTGGTCTAATCAGCACAAAGTAGCGAGGATCACTTTTGGGGATCAGGGGCATCCTGCCTCTGTTGCCCCGGGGCGGGTTCCAATAAGAAACTCAAGTCATCAATCGATCAATAAGCTATCGATTTCTTGAGTCCAGCCCTTGTAAAAAAAGCTAATCTACAAGCAAATACTCTCTTTGGGTTCACTGTCTTGGGCAATCAGGGGTTTTCCACCCATCAAAACAAACCACGATTGCTCCAAGCATGTTGGGCTGTTGGCGGCATCCAAGCCAGGATTCCTAATTGGCCTCCCAGGGGGAGCAAAGCTCCTAACTTCAGTCGGAAGGTCTACTAACCCTTGAGACAAAGCAAGCTTAACACCTCCCCCCCCCCCCCGCAACCTTGCCTTTGGGGCTCTGCAAAACCCCAGAAATTAAAAACCAGGTTTTCCAACAAGCCGTGATGAGAGACCCTCACTGAGATCTATTCTAAACCCAGTTTGGATCTAATGTGGACTCAACTCTCTGAATTCCCTTACTACGACCGTGTTTCCAAGTCTGCGACATCCATCCATGCCCCTACGCCTATCTCTCTCTCTCTCCCCCCCCCCTTCCTTTTCTTTCTCCTTCCTCCTACCAAGTTCCTAGTCCCTAAGAGTACTTTGCCTTCCTACCCTGCCCGTTTCCAAAGCCAAACCCGCAGCCCTCCCACCCACTACCCCATCTTCCCCATCCCCAAACTTTCAAGTTTACTATCGGTTGGAACTAGGCTTTTGCTCCTATCCCCAATTTTTTTTTTTTTTTTTGTTATTTTCAAGATACTAGTCCCTAAGAGGTCCTTTACAGCTAGGAAACTGAAAACCCCAAAGGTCTCATGGCTGAACTGAGGCCTCTTCCCTGAGCTCTCACTCACTCCAAGCCCAACGACCCCCAACCTGGGGGGGCGGTTTCCCCCCCCCCTAGCCCCCTCCCCTTTATAAATGCTTCCTCCTCTTCCTAACTTCCCCTGGGCATTATAAGGCTCCAGCTAAGCCCAAGGCCTGGGCTGGGGGCTTCCATTAAAGTAGAGGCAGGCATTTTCCAGCCGCGCCCCCCGCCCCAATTTGGAGCCTCCCCCTCCCCGCCGTCTTTATCCTGCCCTCTTCCCAACTGCTTTGGAAGGAAGGCGGGGCCGAGAGAAGATGGCGTCGCCCTTGGTTGCCCTTGGCAACCGCAACTGGCAAAGCGCGCGGGCTTGGGATGTGTGTCCCTCGGGGCTGTCCGTAGCAGCCAGCTGAAGCTGGTTCCGCCCTTTCTATTTTGAACGCAGGAATGAATGAATGAATGAATGAATGAATGCATGAATAAATGCACGAATCTTCTCGGGTTTTTTTTTGTTTGCTTGGTTTTTTGTTTTTTTTTTTGCAACCACTTTTATATTTTGCCTAATTAAAGATAAAAAAAGGAGGGATGAACTCTGTTCCCCACCTGCATTTTTAACTCCTCTTGCTTATTTGTACCCTATGACTATCATTAAGTGTTGTACTTTATGATTCTTTTTTTTTTTAAATTTAAATTTTTATTTTCTTTAAAAACACAAACATACAATACATCTTTTTGGAACAGAGCATTGATCCGGTCATAAATTTGTTCAACTTTTTGTTCATCTTTAACAGGATTTTATATATTCTATTTTTGCCATAACACTTATCACATATCTCAACTATTACTGTCTTATAGAAAGCTAGCTCATATTAACTTAATCAAAGCAATTACCCTTCTATTAATCCACCTTAAATCTTAATTCAATTATGACCTCATAATACATTTCACAATTCTTACCCCAAATGCTCACTATTAAAAATACAATTCAAACATGTTTATATTTCTAAATCTCATTTCTATTTCTAGAACTTCCTTACATTTTAGTATTACTTCATGTAATATTCATTAAGTCTTTATTTAATTATTACTTCATCAAATTTAAACCTTATCTCTAATCTTGAAAATATACCAATTTAACATTTAAACGAAGTTCTTAATTCAAATAACACAACATAATACAATTCACAATTATTTCCCTAAATTCTATCTATTTAACATACCATTTATATAAAAGCCAGATGACTTTATTTAGTATTATTTAGTTTATTTAGATGAGTTTTATTTAGTAAATCATAATCCAAGAATCCTTATGATTCTTGATGAACGTATCTTTTCTTTTTATGTACACTAAGAGCATAGGCACCAAAGACAAATTCCTTGTGTGTCCAATCACTCTTGGCCAATAAAGAATTCTATTCTATTCTATTCTATTCTTCGGTGGGGCGGGGGAGGAATTAAAGTGTTTTTTAAACTTTTTAAGAAGTGTGGATGACAGCTCCCAGAATTCCGCAGCCAGCATGGGAATTCTAGGAGTTGAAGTCCACCCATCTTAAAGAATGTTGGCCGGAGAATTCTGGGACTTGAACTCCATATATCTTCCCTGCGGATTAAATTGAAAACCTACCCTGAATAGGGGCTGGACCTGATGGCCTCCCAGACCCCTTCCCTCTCGATGAATGAACGAGAAACACTGATACTGCAATAGCAAAGTGATGTCTATCGGAGCAACAGAATAATAGCAATAAACTACTCTTTTAACGAATGAGTAATTTTTAAAATAATTGCATTACATCATACACTGGGTATACACTCGGCCCCGTTTCCTGACTGTATTGCTAATTGGCCAAGTATCCTGCTGTTTTGTATGGGTAGTCCTCAACTTAAAACAATTTTAGTTTAGTGACTGTTCAAAATTACAACATCACTGAAAAATGTGACTTAGGAATCGTTTTTCACACGACTGTTGTGATCAAAATTCAGATGCTTGACAACTGACTCACATTTATGACGGTTGCAGTGTCCCGGGGTCATACATACATATGCTGGGGTAGACCAGGTGTCTCGATAGAAAAACACTTAATCTCTCCCCTGGCTCAAGCTGAAGTTTTGGTGTATTCGGGTCTTTTCCCGTGTAAGATTTATAGTATCTTGGCGACGTTTCTACGAGGTCCCACTCGTCATCTTCAGGCTGGTGTCTTCGGCTTCGTGCTTGTGCGAGGAAGCTTTTCGAGAAAAGACCTGAATACATCAATAAATAAATACATATATACATATATTTATTTATATATATGGGGGGGTGTATTATATATTATCATCTTCTTCTTTTAACGACCCCATAATCCCTTGCTAGGTGGCGTCTGAATGGAGCTGAATGTTTACTGGCCAGATGCCCTTCCTGTCGCCAATGCGGAGTTTTCTTCAGCAGATATATTCTCAGTGTCCCCAGTGAGAGAAATATCTGCCTCTACCTCGGCTCGAACTCACAGCCTCCTGACTGTGAGGCGAGAGCTCCAACTCTAGAGCACCGCACCCATCCTTCCCTCCCTCCCTCTCTTATATTATATATAATTGTCATTGAGATGGAGGACTAGAAAACGAATGAAGGAATAAATGAAGGAATGACCTGCGCCTCTTCCCATCTAATTGTTACTTTTGGTTTCATTGATAATTTTAATAATTAAATGTTCCTTCTTAAGGGCTGCTGACTCACTTCATGTTATTGGCCTAGCCCGTGTGACGGCACTCCATACTGGGGCGCGTACATGGCCATCTCTGCCTTTGGGGAAGCCTGCAAGTCAGCTTCTAAGTTGTGAGTTTGTCGTCTAGTCTCCATGGCAGCTGAAGGGATGACGTGAGGAACAATTCTTGCTGCATTCAGGGCACCCATTTTGCTCCGGGCGAAGGATTTTGAAAAAAACGGAGGCACAACCTGGGTGGCATTGAACCTGCTCTGTGATTCAGCCGCAGGTAATTTCAGATGTGGCTGCCAGCGCATAACTCTCGGCAACTCGACGCGGATCCAACCTGGCGTTGCATTGTTGATTTTCTCGTTCCTCAAGCATCAAAGCCGGGTGGCTTTCTTGGCTGGCGAAGAGGGATCCATTGCGTGGCCGAAGGGGAGAACGAGGGTGGAGAAAAAACAAGCTTTTTCTTGCCCGTTGTTGCTACTGATGCAACAGATCTGCTTCGTCCGCAAAGAAAGAACCACAAAGAGTCAACCTGTTCTCCGAAGCACCTTGAAGGCAGGGCAAGAAGCAATGGCAGGGGGGTTGGGCTAGATGACCTCCGGGGACCCTCCCGATTCTGTTACTGTAAACTGAAACCAATCAAGGAGAGAAAAGAGCAACCTGGAGTTTGGAGAACCGGCAAATACCACCTCTGGCTGGCCCCAGAGTGGGGAAGGAATGGGGATTTTGCAATATCCTTCTCCCACTCCAGGGGAAGGATACTGCAAAATCCCCATTCCCTCCCCGCTCCAGGGGAAAGATACTGCAAAATCCCCATTCCCTCCCCACTCCAGGGGAAGGATATGCAAAATCCCCATTCCCTCCCCGCTCCAGGGGAAGGATACTGCAAAATCCTCATTCCCACCCCACTTCAGGGGAAGGATACTGCAAAATCCCCATTCCCTCCCCACTCCTGGGAGAAGGATATGCAAAATCCCCATTCCCTCTCCACTCCAGGGGAAGGATACTGCAAAATCCCCATTCCCACCCCACTTCAGGGGAAGGATATTGCAAAATCCCCATTCCCTCTCCACTCCAGGGGAAGGATACTGCAAAATCTCCATTCCCTCCCCACTCTGGGGCCAGCCAGAGGTGGTATTTGCCGGTTCGCCAAACTACTCAAAATTTCCGCTACCAGTTCACCAGAACCTGTCAGAACCTGCTGGATTTCACCCCTGATCTGGTCCCATCAATGCTAATCGCTTAATCCTACACAGAGAGAGAGAGAGAGAGACACACACACACGCCATCTATGTGTGTAAATGTAACCCCCCCCTCCGTCACGCACTAAAGTTTTCCGTGAAAAGTCCTTGGGATTCCAAGCACGAGTTTTGCACTGATTTTGAAAAAAGATGGCAGACTTTCTTTATCAATGCAAATGAGCCTCCCCTGATGAAAAAAAGGAAAACAAATGGAATTTTAAAATGCAGCTAATCAAGAAGTTAAAGAGAGGTTAATCTTCCTGGATTAATCAAATTGCATGCATGAGAGGAGAGCGAGCAGCGGAAGGAGAGGGAGACGAGGGAGGGGAGACGGGGGGGGGGGAGGAAGAAACTTCCTTCGGCTGATTCCAGATGTGGTGGTCGGACAGGTAATTCTCGACTGACGATGGTTCATTTCGTGACCGTTCAAACTTACGACGGCCCTGAGTAAAAAATGGGACTCGCGACCATTGTCACACTTAACGACCATTGCAACCTCCCCAAGGTCACAGGATCCAAATTCAGAGGTTTAGCAACTGGTATTTATGACGGCTGCGGGGTCACACGATCCCCTTTTGCGACCTTCGTTTAAGCGGAGTCAGGGGGAAACCCAGATTCAATTAACGACCGTGTTCCTGACTGAACAACGGCAGTGATTCACTTAACAACAGAGGCAAGAAAGGTTGTAAAATGGAGCAAAGCTCACTTAACGACCGTCTCACTTAACAACTGTTGGGCTGTTGGGTTCATTTATGTAAGTGGAGTAAGGTAATGGTAAAGGTTCCCCTCGCAGATATGTGCTAGCCGTTCCCGACTCTAGGGGGCGGTGCTCATCTCCGTTTCAAAGCCGAAGAGCCAGCGCTGCCCGAACACGTCTCTGTGGTCATGTGACCGGCATGACTCAACGCCAAAGGTGCACAGAACGCTGTTCCCTTCCCACCAAAGATGGTCCCTATTTTTCTACTTGCATTTTTTTACCTGCTTTCGAACTGCTAGGTTGGCAGAAGCTGGGACAAGTCACGGGAGCTCACCCCCTTACGCGGCACTAGGGATTCGAACCGCTGAACTGCCGACCTTTCGATCAACAAGCTCAGCGTCTTAGCCACTGATGGACCTCATAAAACAGCGATGGCCAACCTTTGTGACTTGGCAGCCTGGCTGGAAGAAGGGGAGAGGAGAAGTAGGCGTGCAAATGTACACATCCCTTGTGCAAGTGGTGGGCCGACACACACGCATGTAGCTCGACTTGTGTGAGCAGTGGGCTGGCGTGCATGCAAGTGATTGCCCGCCGACCTGCTGCTCACACAAGTTGAGCTGCTCACATGTGTGCACTTCTGGCCGGCCACTCGCACGTCCCAATTCGGCTCAGTAGTGGGCTGCGGCCCACACCCATAATTCAATGTGCCCCTGTGCCCTGCCCCCCATGCATGTGCGCGTGACCCCCCCCCCCACGCTCCCCACGCTTTTGGCATGCAATAGCACAGTGGGCCCGGTAGGCCCGTTTTTCGGCCTCCCCAGGCTCCAGAGGCTTTCTAGGAGCCTGGGGAGGGCAAAAACTGCCTTCCCCATCCCCCTGGAGGCCCCCCAGAGGCCGGAAACAACCCGTTTTCCGACTTCGGATGGCCCAGAAGGCCCGAAAATCATCCGGGCGGCGTGTGCATGTGCGCTGGAGCTGAGTTAGGGCAACGCTCGTGTGCCCACAGATATGGTTCCGCATGCCACGTGTGGCACGTATGCCATAGGTTCGCCATCCCAGTTCTATGCTGTCTGGAAGAACCCGAAAAAGAATTCCCATTTCCTGGGAACTGCAGGAAACGCGAGAGGCCATTCCGTTGCTCAAAGATGTGGACGTCTCAAAGATTTTCCCTGGTGATCCGCTGGTTTGCTTCGCCCGGCATGCTCCATTCCACTCCGAGGCCGTTACAGCTGAAAAAAGAAGAAGAAGAAGAAGAAAAGATAATAGCCGCTGAGCCAACTACATTACATTTTATGGTTTCGTGGCAATTATGCTGCATTTTATGGTGTCATAACATATTACGTTTTATGGCTTAATATCGGCGTTCGTACTGAGACAGGGATGCACAGAATTCTAAGAAGGAGAGAGGTTTTCTACGTGCAACGAAGAGACGTTTTCGGTCGGGTGGGGAGACTGGAAGGGACAAGGCAGCTGAGACAGGAAATGCACTTAATCAAGGTTAACACATAGATCACTCAACCAATCAGAATAGAGCTGGAAGGGCCCTTGGAGGTCTTCTAGTCCAACCCAAAGTAGAAAAATAGGGACCACCTTTGGTGGGAAGGTAACAACACTCCGTGCGCCTTTGGTGTTGAGTCATGCTGGCCACATGACCACGGAGACGTCTTCGGACAGCGCCGGCTCTTCGGCTTTGAAACGGAGATGAGCACCGCCCCCTAGAGCCGGGAACGACTAGCACCGATGTGCGAGGGGGACCTTTACCTTTACCTTATCTCTGTGGTCACTGCTTTCGTTCCTACGTTGGGCTCAGAGAGCAAGTGGGTGACCCCCAACGGACGTGGAGATGGGAGCCATCAGGAAATACGTTTTTGCCAAATGTGCCTTGGTCTCTTAGTCAGAACATGTTTGTTTTGGAGACCCGTGGAATGTAATTCTCTCTCCACCCTAACCCGAGGGTGAGACTCTCAGTGAGACTTTGTTTGAAAAGACCTGGTTAACACTTGAAATGCCTCTCCTTGCAGAAGGACGTTGCTGACAAGGCCACCTAGTCATAAATAATGGAAGGAAAGGCTGTGAGTCAACTAAGCCACCTAGGTAGAGTTGTTCCAGTTTGTTGGTCCATGGATAGGTCAGAGAAGAGGGTGTCAACCCTCTTTGCGTCAACACAGAGTTGGGCAGCATCCAAACAATATAATACAATTCTTTATTGGCCAAGTGTGATTGGACACACAAGGAATTTGTCTTTGGTGCATAGGCTCTCAGTGTACATAAAAAGACAAGATACAAACGCAAGGTTAGTCATTATTATTACTACAGGCCCCCTCGCATCCTGGACATAAACTGTTTCAACTTCTTTTTATTTATTTATTTATTTTATTTGATTTATATGCCGCCCTTCTCCGGAGACTCAGGGCGGCTTACAATGCGTTAAGCAATAGTCTTCATCCTTTTGTATATTTTATACAAAGTCAGCTTATTGCCCCCACAAACTGGGTCCTCAATTTACCCACCTTAGAAAGGATGGAAGGCTGAGTCAACCTTGAGCCTGGGGAGATTCGAACTTACTAATTGCAGATAGCTGGAGTTAAATTACAATGCATTAGTCTGCTGAGCTATCTAGGCTCCTAACTTCTACCCTCAAAACGACGCTATAGAGCATTGCACACCAGAACAACTAGACACAAGGACAGTTTTTCCCCCGAATGCCATCACTCAGCTAAACAAATAATTCCCTCAACACTGTTGAACTATTTACTAAGACTGTATTACTATTATTCTTCTCTTCCTTCCTATCTCCTTTTCTACTTAGGACTCTAACTTTGTCCCTTGTATCTTACAATTTTTATTAAAAATCTTAAAGCTGCCAAGTTTGAGGCCCCCTGAGCTAAAGGAACAATCAGATAAAAGGCAACTTAGCCCACATCAGCACAATGGGCTGGGCGAGAGGCTCCGAAGGGACCCTCCATAGTTTCTTGGGTTGTAAAGGAGACAAAGGGAGAGAGGTTCATTCAGATTTGCAAGATTCTGCTAGTGTAACGTAACAATAAAGTAGGGTTAGCTCCTATGTCTCTGGAGATTCTCGGTCATTCAGGTCAAGGTTGTCCGTTCTGAACTGAAGAAGCTTCTTGAGTGAGAAGGAAAACATCTTCAAGAAAAGGCAAAGAAGTCCAGTTGGCTTTGAGAACTGAAGAAGCTCCTCTGATGAGAAGTGAAATATCTTCAAAAACAAAGGAAGTCCAGTTGCCTTTTGAAAAAAAGCATCTCTGGGACTAGCTTCTGTGAATTTGTGTCTGCCTTGTAAGGTTGACAAGAGAGTGTAAGATGGCAACCATCAAGGTTAGTGTGTGGAACCAGAAAAGAATGAAGACACAGCTTCTCACTGTATGTTACAATGAGTGACCACTGGAGCTCATTGTGTGTGGTGTGATGTGTATGTGAGTGAATATAGGAACATCATTTCATCCATTGCTTCCAGAAGTAGAATAATTCAAAGCCACCCATCACAAGTATCCATCCATCCATCCATCCATCCATCCATCCATCCATCCATCCATCCATCCCCTTTCAGAGAAGATAAGGTTGTCTCCTGTTGAAGACCCATTTCAATTATCCAAGTGTGGGACCTCATGGTAGGTTCTCTAGAACTTCCATGTCAGTCATGCGTGGTCCTTCTGAGGTTCTTTCCAATACTAGGATTCCCTGAGGCAAAGTTGGGACTGTAAGATATGTGTGTTGCCAATTCACTACTTTTTATGCTTTCAGGTCTTGGTAGATCCAGGGGTGGGCTGCTGGGGGTTCGCAGGGGTTCAGGAGAACCTCTAGCTAAGATTCTGTGCAGTTCGGAGAACCCCCCAAATCCCACTCCTGGCTGGCCCTGCCAACCCTGCCCCTCCCCTCCTCTCCCTTGACACTCCGCCAAGGAAGGAAATACGAAACACGACAACTTCTTATTCCTATATTGGCATAAATACCTCACATATACCCAAACGTTTATTAAGGACAATTGGTTGCTACATCGGATACAGTATACAGAGAAAAAAAAAATGAAAATATAATCAGTTAAGTCCTCCATGAAACCGGGGAGCAGAGATGGGTGTCATGTTGCAAGGAGCATTTACGGAAGAAGGACAAGGCGGTGGCAGCACTGTTACAATGGCAATTTTGGGATCTGAGGAATTTTAGCATTGCTTGCCCCGATGCCAAATCAGCCCTTGAAGTTAAAAGAGGCTCTTTTTAGGATGAAGACGAGTCAGCTAGAAAAGAACCGAGTGTGGTGAGAACAAAATTTTAAAAAAAAAAAACATATCTTCTTCAGCGCATTGTAAATCAGTGCTCTGGACATCTTGGATGGAGGATAGCAACTCATAAATTATTTTAGTGCAATATCAGTAGTAGGGCAGTTTAAGCACTTAGGTGAGACTTCAGCAGGCCATGGTGAAGAAGAACTTGGGCAGGGTCACGTGGCCGTCAAGAATTGTCCCATTCCATCCAACCGTGGCTACTTTAAGACTTGTGGACTTCAACTCGCAGAATGTCAAGTCCACAAGTCTTCAAAGTGGCCAAGGTTGGACAGCCCTGGTGTAGACGTTGGAGAGGAATCACCACAAATGGTTAATGGGGGACAAAAATTGTGTAATGCATCAGGTTTCACCTAGCAGGTGAGATCTCAACCAGGGTTTGAAGACCTATCTTGGCCTTAACTGCTCCATCTCTCCGTTTGAGAAGACCAAACGTTTCATGAGACCTTCACAAGATCTCCAGATATCTTGAGACAATCTCTTAGCCGTGTTTGGGCAAAATGACTTCCTTGGTTTCAAGGCTAGGATCTCTATTGGTGGGATGAACGTAATGGTTCATGAATGATGATGAAGCAAGCCATAAAGAGGCTTAGCTCAGAATGATGGGTCTGGGAACTTTGACCATTTCTGAACATGGATTGACTGAAAGCTTAGATGATGAATGAGTCCTTAAATTCTTCTCAGCAAGACCAAAGATTGTTGTAGATCCCTCATGCAATGAAGACGTCCTGGCTTGGAAAGTTGTGGTGGCTAGCCATTTCCCACAATGCCCCCGTGGAATACCGACACCAGGCATTGTGGGAAATGTCCACAACAGTGCCACTAAATTTACTTCCCCTTGAAAGTCACATTGCCAAGTTTTTCTTCTCTTCTGGATTTGCCCCAGCTCTAAATCTTCATCCTGAAAGATCTAAAGAACCAATCTTGACTTCAACACTTCCTCAAAAACTTCCAAAAAATTTGCTATGCGGTGAAATCTTTCTCGAACTGAATCCTTCTGACACAACATCACCTCTCTGTTTAAGAGAGGGCCCATCAAGTATAATTTTACACCACTGATTGGAAAGCCTCCAAGACCAGGTCAACGCTACCCTTCCCTCCCCTCGACCCCCAAGCCCAACGTGAGAGCTCAACACGTCCATTCAAGAGTAGCCAGGGACATCTACAAGGAAGAAGGCCTTTGAGTGAAGGCAGCTGTAGGGGTGGTCAAAAGATGGAAGGGGCTTTTGTTGGGGAAGAGGGCCTCGGGCAGGGTCTACTTCAGGCACAGGTGGCTTCTTGGCTATCCAAAGGAATCTCATTGCCATAGCTGCCGTCCCCGTACTGATAGTAAGGAGGTATCTGTGGAGCTTCGATGATCAGGAGACCTTCGGGGGACAAGGAGGCGAAGACCGTGGTCGGGTCCACTTCCACGGGAAGTCTGAGGAGCACAAAGAGGGGAGAAAAAAAAATTAAATGGAAGACCTTCCGAGTCTCAGACAAGGGTTCCTTCTGCTTTTCTCCTTGGCAAAAGATAGCAATAGAATTTAGGTTTATACAGATAGCGACTGTTTCACACTGACAACCATTGCAACATCTCCATGGTTCCATCCATGGATCAAAATCTGGGCGCTTGGCAACTGACTCGGGAGAACCTCTAGCTAAGATTCTGTGCAGTTCGGAGAACCCCCAAATCTCACTCCTGGCTCCCGTTCACCCTACCCCGCCCCTCCCAGGAGTCCCCACGCGGCCCGTTTTGGATGCAGGTAAGTGCAGGGCGCGCATGGAGGCTCGGGGAGGTGAAAAAACGGGCCTACCGAAAGTTCAGGAAGGCCGTTTCCGGCCTACAGAGGGCTTCCGGAGCCTGGGGAGGCCGTTTCCGCCCTCCTGGAGGCTCAAAGAAAGCATCTGGAGCCCGGGGAGGGCAAAAATGCTCCTCTCCCACCGTGGTGCAGGAGGCTGACTAGGCCACACCCACTATGGCCACACCCACCCAGCAACCAGGCAAAGAACCCCTTGCTAAAAATTTTGAAGCCCAACCCTGAGGGGGGAGGGATGTCACTTAACAACTGTCTTGCTTAGCAACGGAAATCTTGGGTTCAATTGTGGTCGTAAGCCAAGGACTACCTGTAATGTTGACTTTTCATCGCTCTCATATCTTCAATAATCACGGTTATAATAATAAAAAAAAAGAAAAGAAAAGGAAGAATAGGGGGGGACAAATTATATTATTTTATATGCCCAGGAACTGTACTTCAGAAAGCATATAAATCAAATTAAAAAAAAAAATAATAATCTGAAGTCCTGTTTTCCTTAGGATTAAATCTCATGGAATTCGGGAGGATTTATTCCCGATAGAGAGGCCGCAATCTCACCGGGTGTGAACAAAAGACACCTCCTGTGTCTACCACTTTTGATTTGATTTGTGCTGACTTCACAATCTAATGCACAGCAGATAATGTCTCCGAAAAAAAGATAAACCATCAAGAGTTGAGAATATGGTCCCCGAATACGCTGAATTTCTGGGAACAGGTTAAAACACCAACTCCCTGTGAATGTTGCCTCATGTGTTTTTGTGAGTCCAACCTTTGTGTTAATCTTCAAAGAACCAGAAAGCAAACACTGTGAAATCTTTGGGGAGCCAACTTCTTATCTACAGTTTTGGTCCTATCTAATGATTAATGAGGTTTCAGCAGGCACCGGGACCTTGGCTGATCTTCTCTGGCCTCAGAAGCTAAACAGGATGGACTTGTTAGTACTTTGATAAAAGACCTCTGGGAACCTTGTGGTTATAGCTACACAGCGAGGTGGAAAAGAAACATCCCTGGAAAAAAAAAATAAGGATATTGCCAAGGACATGTTTCGACCACAAACACGAGTTTGACCGGAAGAAGCCTTTACGGACAAAATGAATCATCCAAAATCCCCTGATCAACAAATCCACTTCCTTTAGCTTTAAAGCAGGGATGTCCCATCCGGATAATTTGAAGACTTGTGGACTTCAACTCCCAGAATTCCCCAGCCAGCCATTCCTAAGGGAATTCTGGGCGTTGAAGTCCATGGGTGTTAAAAAGTCGCCAAGATTTGGACATCCCTGCTTTAAAGTTTAATGAAGGAAGATACAAAAGAAAGATTTGTACGGGATTAATTTTCGTGGTTTGTTTTTCTTTCCGCCTTCGAAAGTTCGAACTTTGGGTTAACTCCGGAGAAAAATTCTTTGGCAAGCAGGTTTGGCCAGATGCCTTTTCAAAGCGTGCCCAGTTTAATGCATCAAAGTAAACACCAGCATGGGGGTAAGAAAATATTGCCCTAATAAGGAACTCTTAATGAAACCTAGGATTCCACACCTATGCTGGTTTAGCTCTTTATAATCCTTTGCATAATGTTCTACTTCAAGTTAGAGCTTGAGCTACAGATGTTGGGTGTTCTTTGAGGACACACAACCCACATTCTTGTTGAAACACTGTTTGTAGTTGCCTGGCATTCTCTCCGACTGTCAGGAAAATTCAACTTCAGAAGATTAGAAGAACAGAGTTGGCCCAGAGATTCCCTGGGCCGAGTTCGGACATCCTACCATTCACAGCCTTGAGTTGACGAGACCACAAGAATGGTGTTTACACACCAGGTGGTAGACAAAACAAGTCAACAGTCCTACGGCAGCATAAAGTTATATCATAGATCATAGAATCTCCTGCTCCTGCAGGAGATCCTGAGAACCACAGAGAGGAGGGGGTTAGACTAGATGACCTCGAAGATCTCTTCCAACTCTTGTTATTCTGATCCTTCTCTTCGCCAATCTAGCCACAACCAGTTCCCTCAATCGTTCCTCATACGGCTTCCTAGAAATATATTACTGAAGGCGTCTTGCGCAGCGTTCCTCACTCTGATGTTTCCGCTGGACCCAAGCCTTCCCAGGATGATTGGGAAACCTTTAACGTGGCTCTCCGACAAATTTGGAAAAGCTTCATCTAAAAAGTGTGACCTCCTTTTCCCTCCCCCACACCCCCACCACCGGTCCCCCCACCCCCAGTTTGGGAGAAGAGAGAAAGTTCTGGATGAACTTTCAAAGCCGAAGAAAGGGTAAACAAGCACTTGGAAGCACCATTAGGCAACAGTGCCAAAATAAGTCCGAAGAGCATGTTTGATGAGTCACGGGTTCTCGGGTGACTCGGCAGCTGAATCTGTCCGGGCTCACCCATCGGCCTTCTAAAATTCCCCTTCCTTCCCAGCGAACCCACAAGCATTGTGAGGTTCAACATATTATGCATATTTTTTTGCGTGCCTGCCCAGCCCTGGACTATATACAGTACAGAAAGGATTATAATATAAATTTTGCCGAACGAAGCAGTGCGAACTGTTTAAAATTAAGCAGCGTTTCCTTTCGTTCTCTCCTATTGGTTTTTCCTCTTTTAATAATATCATACAGGAGTGGCCAAAATTGTGGGAACGTTTTGGGAAACGTGTATTTTTGAGGTTTGATGGCTAATAACACCACTTTTTTTTTTTTTTTTTGAGTTTCAAGATAATCCTAATCCACTGCTGGAATGGCCTGGGAATAGCCCAGATCTTAACCCAATTGAAAATTTTATGGAGCCGACTCAAGAAACTTGTTAGTCAGAAGCGACCCAGCAATAAAACCCAGTTAATACAAGCCGTCATTCCATCTCGGTTTCACATGATAACAGCTGCAGAACTAAAAGACTTAGTTCACTCCATGGGAAGACGTTGTAAGGCCGTCATTCATGCTAAAAGTTACCCAACTCACTGACATGGAGATCATTTTTGTATATCTCATTTTTTCCTACATGTTTCTCTTTTCTCCTTTACACTGTAACTGCTATTCAAATAGCAAATCCTTCGTAAACGTTATGGCGTTACATTCTTGATTCAATGATCTTTCCATTGATATATAATTTTATGGGACTACTCCCCCCCCCAAAAAAGTGGTGTTATCAGCTATTAATATTCTGTTCTAACGCCACGGGATTTTGCCCCAAAGGTGGAATACACTTTTCCACTGAGCTCCAGGACACAATTAATGATGGCTTTTTAATCTTTGGTGGCAGCTAACGACAATCGAGCGCCCGATACCAAGAAATATCAGGTGCCCAATTCAACACGGCACCGGCAGTTGGGACAGTAGGCAGTAAAGTCAGAGAAGAGAAGATACCAGACAGCCATTTGTCCCGAATAAGTCTCCTGCCTTGAGCAGTGGGTTGGACTAGAAGACCTCCAAAGTCCCTTTCAACCTTGTTATTCTACGTTCTATCTTCATGTTCTAGGTTCTGCTTCTCTCAAGGCTTCACGCAGAATATGAAAGCTGAGTCCACACGGGAAGAGGACCGTGGTCTCGTTTGGTGTGAAGTAGGTCAACGTCTGTCTTGCATCATGAGCTCATTGGCTGTTTAAATTCGGATCCTCAACAGAGGATGCCAACTCGATTCCTGCCCGGTGACCAAGAGAAAAAGCTAGCAAGTTCCTTCAATGAGAGGAAGATCTCAATTTAGCCGCCCATCCTGCAAATACTTGCTCAATGAGAGCATCTCCATTAGTCAATGGGGACAGTGAGAGGCCATTCACGGTTGGTGAAAGCTCAGCGGGATTTCGTGACACCCGGGCTTCAAATGACCCCCCCCCACTCCCCCACTACAGGTAGTCCTCGACGTACAATAGTCCATTTAGTGACCACTTGAAGTTACAACAGCACTGAAAAAAGTGTTTTTTCCACACTTATGATTATGGTATCCCCATAATCATGGGATCGAAAGTCAGACAGTTCATATTTATGACGATTGCCATGTCCCGGGGACGTCACACGATCCCGTCTTGCGACCTTCTGACAAGCCAAGTCCTCAGGGAAGCCAGATTCACTTAACAACCATGTCACTAACTGAACAACTTAATGACGGTGGCAAGAAAGGTCGCCCAAAGGGGGCAAAACTCAGTTTACTACGGTCTCGCTTAGCAACAGGAATTTTCAGGCTCCTTCGTGGTCTTACGTCGAGGGCTACTTATATACAGGTAGTCCTGGACTTACAATGATTGGTTTAGTGACTGCCCGAAGTTGTAACGGCACTGAAAAAAGGGACTTGCAACCATTCCTCGCACATTTGTAACATCCCCATGGTCAAGTGAGCAAAATTTTGGCATCTGGCCACGGGAATCTATTTACAATAGCTGCAATATCCCAGGATCACATGATCACCACTTGCGACCGTCTCTTCTTACGGCCAGCAAGCAAAATCATTGGGGAAAAGCTAAATTTGCTTAAGAAACCGCCAATTCACTTAAGAACGGCCATAATCCGCTTAACAGCCAAGGCAAAAACAAAGGTTATAAAATTGGGTGCAGCTCAACTAACAACCGTCTTACTTAACAACAGAAGTTCTTGTCCCAATTGTGGTCGTAAGTCCAGGACTACTGTATTTTCTTAGGGGTGACATGAGTATCAGTGCTCCAATATCTCAGGGGCTGCCCCAAAGAAGAGGGAGTCAATCTATTTTCCAAAGCACCTGAAGACAGGACAAGAAGCAATGGATGGAAACTAATCAAGAAACCTAGAACTAAGGAGAAACTTCCTGACAGTGAGAACAATTAACCAGTGGAACAACCTGCCTCCAGAAGTTGTGGATGCTCCAACACTGGAAGTTTTAAAGAAGAGGTTGGATAACCATTTTGTCTGAAGTGGTGTAGGGTTTCCTGCCTGAGAAGGGGGTTGGACTAGAAGACCTCCAGGGTCCCTTCCACTTCTGTTATGCTAACTCTAATTCAAGCCTTTGTTGTCTTGAATAGGAAAAGAAGGAGGGGGTTGTGATAAGGATGAGCAGGGTTGGGAGGGGGGGGGGGAAGGAAAGCTTGCATTTCAGATACATTCCTTTGCTAGAACGTCAGTAAATGAACTTAACTCCCGTGGGTAGCTGGGACATCACCCAGATTGAAATGCAAGATGAACCGAAGGATCCCATTTCTTTGAAGCGCTGGCAAGGGCTGCTAGGAATGAGTAACTTTTACCCTGAAAGAGTAGGCGAGGGAGGAGGCCACCTACTTTTGACATTGGTATTTGAGGATTAAACTTGATGTTTGGATCGGGTTTTAAACTGGGGGATTCTGGGAGTTGAAGTCCCCGCGTCTCAAAGTTGTCACCGTTGCGAAAAAACACTCTGTTAAAAGGGTTGTTTTAAATGACCCATGTCTGAATTTGGAGCCATTAGAAAAATGTGAATTAGAAAGAACTCAGAAATACTTACTGGATTTTCTTGGTGAAATTCTTGGAAACGATTCCTCCTTCTGCTTGTTGTTCTTCATGTTTACCTGATAAAAGAAAGTTAGAAAGTTAGGAAGGAAGGAAGGAAGGGAGGGAGGGAGGGAGGGAGGGAGGGAGGGAGGGAGGAAGGAAGGAAGGAAGAGAAAGAAAGAAAGAAAGAAAGAAAGAAAGAAAGAAAGAAAGAAAGAAAGAAAGAAAGAAAGAAAGAAGGAAAGAAAGAAGAAAGGCAGAGTTGGGTTGGGCTGAGAGAGAGGGACTGGGACCAAATCGGTTTGATCCTTTAAAACATTTTCTGGTTTTGCTTAATCAGTTCTGGAACTTTGGATGAAGTCAAAATTATGGTGTTGCATAGCGTGCACACAGCCGAATTTAGAGCTAGTTAACCCTGGTTTACTAGAGTTATTTAAAAATGAAATTCACTGGGTGCCCTCCAGCATCTCACCGCTCTAGTCCTCAGTGAGGCAACCTATGTGGGTTGTGAGGCTAAAAAAAAAAGTTCCCTGATCACCAAGGACAAATGTAGTTTACATAAGGAAGACTGGGCTATTCAAAGAAGGGATAGCAGCTTTATTTTATTTATTACATTTTAAGTAGTTTTGCACCACTTTGTCCTTAAAAAAATATTGCCTTCTATTCGGATGCTAATTTTCTGTGCATAAAAATATATATATTTTTTCCAAGGAAGCATAACAGATTGTGAATTTTCCTCTGCAGGCAACTGAAATAGCCGCTTCCATCTAAACTAAACTCCTGTCTTTTGAAGAAATCTATTTCAACTGAAATTTGATGCCACGAAAGAAAATAGAGTTATAAAATACTGTAAATGTTGCACTGGGGGGCTATAGTACTAATGGCTGATAATGGGTAACATTTGGCATTTGCAACCTGGCTCCCATTTTAAGGGCCTGTAGCTTTAAAATGTGGCTTTTTTAAAAAAATTGCATTATATAAATTTTAAATGATAATGTTTCAGCATCCTGTAAATGGGCTTTCCTTCCTGCTTAGGATTGTTTTTAACGAAAATGTGAGCTCAACATTTCATTTAAAAAAAGGCTCATTCCCTCCAGCATTAAAATTCTGCCTGGTTTTATATATTTTAACCTATTTGTACCTTTACAGCTGCCACCAGGAAGAACGGGAAGGGGAAGGAGGAGGAAGGAGGAGGAGAAACAGAAAGGAAGGAGAAGGAAGACAGGTTGAAGGTAGAGAAGAAGCAATAGATAGAAAAAGAAAAGAGGAGGAAGGAGGAAGAAGGAAGATGGAAGGAGGAAGGAAGGAGAAGGAAGAAAAGGAGAAAGAAGGAGATAGAAGGAAGGGGGAAGAAGAGAAGAAAATAGAAAAAGAGGAGGAGAAGGACAGAGAATGTAGAAAGAAGAAGGAAAATAGTAAAAATCGGAGAGGGAAGAAAAAGAGGAGGAGATAGGAGAAGGAGAAGGAAGAAAAAGAAAAGGAAGAGAAAAAAGAGAAAGATGGAGAAGTTAAGTAGAAGAAAGGGGCAAGGAAGGAGAAGGAAGACAGGTTGAAGGTAGAGAAGAATCAATAGATAAAAAAGAAAAGAGGAGGAAGGAGGAAGAAGGAAGATGGAAGGAGGGAGGAAGGAGAAGGAAGAAAAGTAGAAAGAAGGAGATAGAAGGAAGGGGGAAGAAGAGAAGGAAATAGAAAAAAGAAGGAGAAGGACAGAGAACGTAGGAAATAAGAAGGAAAATAGTACAAATAGGAGAGGGAAGAAAAAAAGAGGAGGCGATTGGAGGAGGAGAAGAAATAGAAAAAGGAAAGGAAGAGGAAAAAGAGAAGGAGGGAGAAGTTAAGGAGAAGAAAGGGGCAAGGAAGGTGAAGGAAGACAAACAGAGAAGGAGATAGGTGGAAAAATGGGGAGAAGAGAAGGAAATAGAAAAAGAAGGAAAAGGAAAGGACAGTGACGTGAGGAAGAACAAGGAAGGGAGCAAGGAAGATAGAAGGAGGAGAAGTAGTAGGAGAAGGAAATAGTGGTGGGGAGGAGGAGGAGGAGGAGGAGGAAGAAGAAGAAGAAGAAGAAGAAGAAGAAGAGGAGGAGGAGGAGGAGGAGGAGGAGGAGGAGGAGGAGGAGGAGGAGGAAGAAGCTTTTCCTGGTCAGCTCTCCCCTCAATGGCGGCTGAAGCTCTAAAAATCAACCTAGTCACCATGCTGCGCGTTGGCAGGCTGAGATTCCAGGAACAGCTGCAGTCTGAGGTAGCACTATAAACACTGAGAAACTGTGCCCGGAATGGCATTCACGGGCAAGAACGGGGCTGCTGGCAGATGGCCAGGCTCTATTTTCCTCGCTGCCAGCTTCTGAGCGTGATGCAAAGGAGCAGGAGGCAAAAAAAGAATGAAAGTAAAAACTGGGTTTTTCCAAATATTCCTTTGCGTTCGTGGGTGGATAAACTGGGGTACAGACAGGGGGCAGCCTTTAAGCCCCCCCCTTCAAAGACCTCTAGGAGGAGGAAATGCAATAAATATGAATCACCTTGTAGGGGAGATTGGCAGCATAAACATGTAATACATAAAGAAATAGAAAATAAAGATATAGGTAGGTAGGTAGGTATGGAGAGAGAGAGAGAGACATGATAAATGATAGATGGATAGATAGATAGATAGATAGATAGATAGATAGATAGATAGATAGATAGAGTGGATGGATGGATGGATGGATGGATGGATGGACGGACAATAGATCATAGATGATAGGTAGGTAGGTAGATAGATGATAGATAATAGATAGATGATAATAGATAGATAGATAGATAGATAGATAGATAGATAGATAGATAGATAGATAGATAGATAGATAGATAGATAGATAGATAGATAGATAGATAGATAGATAGATAGATAGATAGATAGATAGAGTGGATGGATGGATGGATGGATGGATGGATGGACGGACAATAGATCATAGATGATAGGTAGGTAGGTAGATAGATGATAGATAATAGATAGATGATAATAGATAGATAGATAGATAGATAGATAGATAGATAGATAGATAGATAGATAGATAGATAGATAGAGTGGATGGATGGATGGATGGATGGATGGATGGATGGATGGATGGATGGATGGGGAGGCCGTTTTTGCCTTCCTGGAAGTTCAAGGAAAGCCTACAGAGCCCAGGGAGGGCAAAAACATCCCCCCCCCGGCCATGGCGCAGGAGGCTGACTAGGCCACGCCCACCATGACCACACCCATGTCTATCCAGCAACCGGGGAGAGAACCCCTTGCTAAAATATTTGAAGCCCACCCCTGCACAAGTCTTAAAGTAACCAAGGTTGGAGACCCCTGTTCTAATTGACTCTAATCTGATCAGTCAAGTTCAGTGCCATCGGAAGGATCAATTCCAACACGACAGCTAAATTCCATTCAGGAAGCCATCCTCTTCATTGTGACTTTGTACAGCCCTAATATTAATCCCATTTAAATGTCACGTAAACTTAATCAGGTTTCAGAAGTTTGTTTCTTTTTTTACACAGGGATCCCGCAACTAGGTATCTCTGGAGAGGCGAGAAGTGGTAGCGGAACATCAATTTTAATTGATGAACATAGTAATTATCCATAAACACAACCTACGTAAACAAAAGCTCTTTTGGGGGCCGGGGTGTTCCTCGCTAATTTTTAAAAACGGGAGAGAAAAAAGTTCGAGAAAGAGTGATCGAGAAAGAAAGAAAGAAAAAGAAGGGCAACGGGTTGAGCTGGTGGTAGATCGTAAGATTAAGGCAAAAATCACGTGTGATAAATAAAAGAATGGATCCATTTTACAGATGGGAAAACCGAAACTGAGAGGGGGAAAAAAAGCAATTGGCAATGTTGAATGGCACTTTGCATTCAAAATATCACCTATGTTGAATAAATAAGACGCATACCTATGCCTACAGAGAGAGATAAAGTTAAAAAGACTTTTTTAAAAAAGGTATTATTTTTGGATAATTTTCTTAGAGAAGAATACTTGGCTCAGATTTATTTCAACACTCTTTGTGGTCAAAAGAGTTGCCTAACCAGAAAGACCGCACATGTTGTCTAACCACACTAATGCTGGATTAAACAGTGAAAGGACAAAGTTGGGCCTCATCAGCAAAACTTTAGAAACTTAACCGCACAACTGATTTCGCATCATCACATGCCAATTCTTGCCAAGTTTGTTCGTTTTTAACCTCCTGTTAGAAAACGAACAGCTCTTAAAAGGGAAACGATCAACAAACCTTGAGTTTCTTTTAACAATGATTTGGGGTTCTCCCAAACTTGATTAATCACGTCTTTTCTTTTTAACAATAGACAAGGGCCCGCTTTTTCTAAAAAAGCTTATTTCGTGCCACGGCATAGCAAGAAGTACATTCTGGATCTTTCTCATTTGTCGTGATTTTTTTTAAAAAGTAACGTATTTGTGACTTGCAAATGAAGGTAGGAGAAGAGTTAAATTAATTAAAAAGAATTCATATTTTCCTGTGCTGTGGTGGATCCTAGGATAGGATCAAAAAAATAAAAATGAAAAATGAAAAATGTAGCTCTAACCACGCCTGTCTCCTTTTTATATTCTTTACAGCACTATTATTATTTCATCCAGATTATTTTTTTTAAAAAAAGAAAAAAGCCATAATCTCTCTTGGGAGGCTTTCGAGATTCTGTTATTCTCTGTGATTTATTAACTAAAGTAAAATTGGCTGAGTTTAGAGACAAATACACTGAGCTATATTAACCAGAGTTAATGTCATTCCTGTGTTCTCACACAACCCCATAAGCGTGAATCCTGCAAAAATTCTCATTAGCTTCTTTCATCCCCAAGAGCCCATGTGGTCTAGGACAGAAGGTTCTAGACTAGGAATGGGAAGATCTAGGTTCTCCTTTGGGCACAGAAGCTCAAGGGCCCATGTGGTCCAGTGGAGAAGATTCTGGACTAGGAATGGGAAAATAATGGCATATGAAGGCAGAGATCTCTGTAATGGTAGTTTAATACTCTGACGTTTTAATACTCTTTCGTCTGCAGATGGCTGACGAAAGCTTAGTAAAATAAAATTTTAATTCTTTTAAAATTTTAAAATCTTAAGTTCCGGAGTTTGCAGTATGTCTGCTTCTTTATACATACATACATACATACATACATACATACATACATACATACATGCATACATATATATATGTTTTGTGTTTGTCATATTGTGTTATAATAAAAATAAAAATTTAATAAAAAATTGTACTCAAACGACACACTGACTAATGAACGATGAAATGTTTGTATTAAAGGGGGGGAAAAAAACCTTTTACCAAAAAAAAAAAAAAGAGAAGCTCCTGATCAGAAGACCCCCCCCAACCAAAATCAAACCCTCACCATAAACAACACAATCATCACACCCAACACAATTGCTTCTCACCTGACACTTCCACGTAACCTTCCTTGGTCTTGACCGACAGCTCTTCAGGTTTAAAACTCTGCACGTTGACGCAGACTTTCCAAGGCTCGCCCGAAAAGGTCGGGGGGCTGGAGGATCCAAAGGGACTCCCTTCAGGGTGAACCCCAAAACGAGAGCCGTACCCCGGAGGGGAGAAGCCACTGCTCCGGGCCACCCCTGACCTTAAAGGGCTCCCCCAACCTGATGTGAGGGGCGAGCGAGCCCAATCCGGCCAGTTGGCGGTCAGATCCCCAGGAAAAGGTGACATGTTAAAGTCATCGTCCAGAAGCCGAGAGGACAAGCCGGATTCCCTGAAGGGATCTCTGAGATTCCGATGCCGCCCAGGGTAGCAGGAGAAAGGGATCTGGTTGTCAGCCATCCTTGGGAGAGATTCAGCAGGAGGAAACTAAAAGCAGAATCAAAAAAAGAAAGAAAGAAAGAAAGAGAGAGAGAAAAAGTTTGCCAACAGGTGCAGAAAGAAAGAAAGAAAGAAAGAAGAAGAAAAATCTGAATTCTCCAGTCTTGTTCTGACTTTTCTCTCCTGCTTGTATGGGATGACAAGAAATCTGCTTGCCTTCTTCTTGCCCAATCGGAATTAAAAAAAAAAGAAAATAAAAGCAAATCGACAACAATCACCCTGAATTTTTTTTTTCCGCCAGAAGTTTTTGACAAGTCCAAAACTGAGCCAACAAAACTTTTAAGTTCAGAACCGGAGAGGGGGAAAAAAAGCCACTTGGAAGAGAAGCGAAACGTCTTCAAGGAAAAAAACAAACAAAAATCCAGTTGTTTTTTCCAGGGGGGAAAAAAAAGCACCTTTGGGTTTCAAGAATCAACCCCTCTCCAAATGGAAAAAAAAAAAGAATAAAAAAAGCACCAGGATTCCCTTTTTCTCTCGATTGAAACCACCCCGAGTGCCACTCTGTGCCAGATCAGAAGCTTAAATAAACCGGCTTGTACCAGTCGAGAAACTTCGCTAAACTTCCAAACTCT